GATGTGTGGGTGTGATATGCAAACGCTACCCAAAACACAACCCTCAGCCTCTTGGGCAAGGTTAATATTTGAAAGTCTTCATACAGGGAGACAGCTAGTAAACTAAAATGATAATTTTCTCAATTTTTCTACCTAAAATCTACCGCGTACATGATCTTGCTTTTAAACGATTATCTTAAAAATGTACAAAATATCATATACATACACACACAGACAGATATAGAACATCTTGCAAATTGTAGGCAAAGAAATTACATGTCACCTTTTGGTTTCCGTTCAGTACCACCGCCACCCCCCGCCCCATAAAGATGTCCTACCGTAAAATTTAGAACTGTGTTGCTGCCTTGACATGGTAAGGACATTACCACATTATCTTCCCTTATTTAAACTGCCACTTACAGTAAGTACAGTCTCAGTTTACAAGTTACCAGAACACATGCCACTGGAATAGTAAGGCCTAGGAAAATAAATGTTGTGTTTCCTGTTTCCCGACCGACCCTAAAAAAACCGCCGACCCTAGCCTTATTTTTGTGTGGACCCCTGCATATTGCTGAACCAAAACATTTTGCACGACGCTACCGAGAGAATCGCTGTCATTGGTGGAACATCGGGCGCCCCGCTAGCGTTTTGAAGTCGTGTAAACAACGCTAATAATTTGTCTGATTTGTTTGTAAAACAAAGCCATCGACTCCGAAAATAAGTTTAAAAGCCGATACATTTACGAACTAATCGTAGAAAATTCCCTACCGTACTGCACCATCAGCATGCGGCGGCCGCAAAAATTCGGCAACGCGAAAGAAAAATGTCTGGTCCATGATAGCAGTATTTCTCATAAAAATAATGTATATGATTTATTTTTCCCTCTTTGTCGGTCTTTTAGTCCCAAAACGTCTAAAAAAGCGGAAATTTGCCCATAAAACCGGACGAGGAAAGGTAGCTATCGACGTAAACAAATTATAAGCACATGGCGAAAACAGTAAAAATCGGCAACGGGACAGAAAAATGCCTGGTCCATTTATCGATATTTACCATGAAAATGTCGTCTGTGGTGTATTTTTCCTCTGATGTGAGTTTTTAGGTCGCAAAACCTCTAAAAAAGCAGAAATTTGCCCACGAAAACGGACTGGCAAGGCATGGGGGAGGGCGCTGTTGACGCCTGCATGACCCCCAAAGGTTGAAGGTCATAGGGCACGTCCATTGCGCAATAACCTTAAATCGCCGATTTAGCTAATTTTTTGGGGTTTCAAATTGATACAATCACACTATCGATTTTTAGGCAAACAAAGGGATAGAAACCAATTAAAATTTTGTGCAGATTAATTTTTTTTCTTTAGAATTCTTTTTGTTTCTTTTTTTCTCCCAAATCCCTGGGAGAACCATGAAAACCTGTAGACTTGAATCAGGACCTGAATCTGAATTTAGCCCTGCAAGGGCTAGGGACATCTGTTAAGTTCTTCGAGCTGATCGACCGTTTAAAGCTCCATGATCTGACACCTGAGTACCTGAGTGATGAAATATAATATTGCACAATCGATTTTTCATCATGTTCTGCTTATATAAACACAGCAATCAGCAAAGTACTAAAAAAAAATAAAAAATAAAAATAAAATAAGATAATCCCTACCTACCGACCCTAATTTTTTCTGGACTGAAACAGGAAACACAACATTTTTTTTCCTTGGCCTAACAACACTAGTGTCTATTTACATCAATACTTTCACCACCATACAAAAATACAGCATTTGATTTCCATCTCTTTTTAGTATTTCTGTGTATATAAGCAGGGTTTTATCTAAACAGGGGAATAAGGGCACTGCTCCCTCATGTAACCAGCCAGCTCCCTCATACCAATTTTCAAATTGAACCCTATGTGGCTACTCACACACTTAAAGATGTAAAAACAATACAACAATGCATTCTAGCATTACAAACTGTGATACCCTTATTAGAAAATCCCCCCTCGGTTGCTTCGTTCCTTGCCATGCTTGCGATCTGCTCCCTCATGCTAAATTTTTCTAGAAAAACCTCTGTATAAGGCCTCGTTCATGATTCAAATGTGTTCCGGTTTGGCCACGATCCGAATCGAAACGAAATATATTTTTGCGTCCGTGATTCAAAATTTGCACCCACACTGAAAACGGTTTCACACCTCGAATTGACTTACATTTCATATGTATATCACAATTTCTTTGAACATTTCCTGGGAACCCGGCTCGTAAGGCGGAGAGTTTACGCCTGTTCGGGCGAGTAGTCGCTCGTTTCCGACTCATGGCCTACGAATGCGAATCGTTATGAATCGTTTCAGACCACCTCGCGAGGTGGTTCAAAATAAATCGCAACGGAACCGGTTTGGAGCGTTCACGTTCCCAAATTTATTTTTTAAAATCGAATTGATTCGCAACAGATATCCAATCATGAACGGGGCCTAAATGAAAGAGACAATTAATTACATAGCAACCATTTTTTTCTCGCTTGCCCAATGTTATGGTTCAAAAGCAAAGATTAATGTTTGGCAAAAGCATCAGTCCATATCTACTGTGTGATACCGTGTGGCGTAATGGTTAGGGTGTATGGCCCAGAACTCAGAGGTCCTGGGTTTGAATCCCTGACATGCCCTTACATTTTGCCCCTGGGAAAGGCCCTTTACACAACTTTCCTCACTCCACTCATGTGGAAATAAGTACCTAGCTTTAGTTAGGGATGTCCCTCGGAGAGAATGTTAAATGGAGATCCCGTGTCTGGGGAGAGCCACACCTCAGGCATCTCTAAAGAACCCATCACACCTTTCGAAAAAGAACAGGAGTATACCTCCATGTGCTATGGTCCAAACACCACTATCTAACGGTTGGTGATTCACTACGGACTCCAGGAAGAATAGTGTGGAAATTATACTGATGAAGATCCTATTCAAACAAACAAACTGTCTGCCATGATTTCTTAGAACTGAAAATAGTGATTAGCAAGTTTAATGTTACAGAAAGCCTGATATTATCAGTGGTAATTACCTCAACAAGCCAGCTAGAATAAACTTTACAACAAGCAATTGTGCCAGAAAATATGTTTCTACTGGCAGATCATACACATGGAACAGCAATAACTGTATAATATTGATCTTGGAGTGGATTGTATTCTGTACCATTGGATTATCAGATAGCAAAATGAGAAAGTCAAGAGTGTCCCTTTACATGTCCTGGGGTGGTTTTTAAAGCCTAGAGTGATCTATGGATATATAATATACAGCCAAACTTGTCTAAGATGACCAATCAGGGGAACAAGGAAAAGTGGTCTCCTTAGACAAATGGTCTTCTTACACAAAAAGCATGACAAGAAGACAAAGAACAAGATATTCGCAGCAAAATTTCCACCCATTTTACAATAGACTGCTCCACTGAGCCAAAGTAACATAGGACAAGTGGTCGGCTTGGGCAAGTTCCTTAATGTGATATTCGATTTTGTTTCCTTGTTGTTTATCTACTTAATATCAATGATTTACTTGATACCAAAGATGAACCTGTCAAAAGAGTGTAATATTAGTTGTACCATTTTTATTGGGTCTCTTGTTTAACTCATAAAAAATCCTTTGAAAATATTTAGTATGCAGAAAAAGTTGTGAAAATAGGATAAAATTAAAAGCTGCTGTCAACCAGCTATCATGGAGACTTGCACTGTACAGAAAAAAACCTAGCTTATCAAGACGATCAATCAATTCATCAATCGCCTTTATTTAAACTGCAGGGCCCCATCGGACTTAGCTGCTCTTGTTATGATCAATTATTTGTGCTAAGCAGATTATCATTACTTTGTTGTCAATGCAATTGGGCTCAGTAACGAATGCAATGCATTATTAGAATACTGAGCAGCCAAAATACTCACTGGAAATGTCCTTAGTGCTGAAAAAACAATCTAGATTGACATTACCGGTAGATGTAATAATATCATTTGAATGCATGCTTTATTCTATAGGCAAAGAGGAACAAACTTGTAGTTTGAATACACTTGATAAAATAACCTCTAATATCAAACTTTTTCTTACTTAAGTTACCAATCTTAGGAAAAAAGCATGAAAGGACAGAAAAAAACTTTCACATATGAAGAGCAAGGTAAATAATTTTGGGATCGTTGACCAAAAAAAAAAAGAAAGAAGATATAGTGAAAGGCATTTCGTAGATGAATACTGCAATCAACAAAGTGTCCCTTAGGCACCATTCTAGGCCACAAGAAAACCACTGATTTTTTTTTAAACATGAAACCATAAATCATATTCATGATATTGCCACCACATTAGTCTAACCCCTAAGTTTGACAATAAGAGATCATCATATGACACTAGGGTGGTAACGATTTATATCCCGAGAGATTTGAGACTGATCTCTACACATGGGAAGGGGGTTATTGGGTTATTGACAAACTCATCAGTCACTTTATTAAAACACACACAGAAAGGAAATTTGACCATTTAATCCAATCGTACACCAAGCCAACTCCCAATCAGCACATCCAAATTAAACTGCATTAAATATGAGACAATCCACGACCCAAAGAAAATGTCGTATCCACCAAACAACGACATATCGAAGGAATGATTTTTGTGGCCCCCCTCCCACTTGACTCTTTGGGAAAAGACTGACACAAATTCTAATCTGCGATAACCTCTTCAGACACCTCTTTCCCCCTCTGCGTCGGTCTCTCTCAAACAAACACAAGATCATTATCCAGAACTTAAGCCAACCAAGATAAGCTAATCGCTGAGAAAAATGGGCCATGTAAGTGTTTATTTGTGGGACGATTATCTGTGAGGTACGGTAGGATTTGCTAAGCGGCCCGCAGAGCGGTGTTCCCCTCTTACGCCTCGGTGGCTTTGGCTTGGGGAAAGGGGGCCCAGTAGCCCCTCATCGCCAATGCAGCCGACAACTTCTCCCCCGGAAAACACCCCACAGCAAATCCCCGCTTACCAACCCGCACAGAATTCCTTCGTCAAGGGTATAGCTACGTGAACCTACCTTGTGTTTTGCTGCTGTTGTTGGAAAAGCGGTGGAAAAGTTGGGATGAAAGAATCGAGGGATCCAGCTCGCCACTCGACAGCCCGCCATCTTTTTATGGGCGTTTCTATGTTCCGTAGGAGGGAGGGCGGGTCCGCCTATGGGTCACTGCACTCGGGGTGGGGGATGGCTTTATTATTGAGTAGAGTAGAGTAGAGTAGAGTAGATCTTTCGTCAAAATATCAAAACATAGAAATATTCGAGTCAAACAATACATAATTAGACAAAATCTAATTATAAACATTGTAATTGTTTATTTATACAGATACATACACTGTAGTATATCTGCCAAGGTTAACTAAAATTGCTGGAATAAAAATAGATCTCTGCCCTGTAATGGACTGGTCCAAGCAACATGGCGACGGATGGAAGGTAAGGAATTTTCTATGTTGCGTTGATGGCATTTTGCTCAGTTTGCGTCTTGTCTTTCAGGCCAAGACACACTGCTGTGTACCCACAGCATACATGAAATTGTCTTATTTTTGTATGTACATTTTCGGGCGTCTAGATCGACTTGTACTAAAGTATTGAAGTTAATTACTGATGCGTACGTACCCTAGCCTGCTATTTTGATTTGAATCGATCCACGCATCTGCCCCAGTTTGCGTCGCTATAATTTTCACGCATTATTTCACGGTTGAACCTTCGTCAAGTTGCCTTATCACCCGTGGAAAGAGACATCTTCCCGAAGGCCGTGTGAGCTCAGCCTTTCGTGCGGCTAGTTTTTGAACTAGCAGGGCTTGAATATGTGCATGTGCATGAGAAGAAGTAACAAAATAAATTATTTGCCTTGATGGATCTTACTTCATAGTCCCTCAGGGGGACAGTACAGTGTTATCCATAGGTGTTTGTCATAAGGCCACACAGACATGATTTGTGGTTGTGGACGATATCCTATGGACATCAAAATCTATCACGAGAATGCAGAAACAAACTCTAATGTTGTTCTGGAGAGCCGAATGTTAGCAATTAAATTTGATTAAATTTAATTCCAAATATGATATAAAGAAATAAAAATAGAATGCAAAATGTTCCAAGGCTGATTGCGGCTCAGCTTGCTCAAAGACTGGAGAGAGATCCGACCTGCACAAGAGCTGGGACTGAGGGTTAACTTATGCAGAATACAGTACACCATGTTGTATTTTATTTATGTCATACCAAGGACATTGGTCATGCCCACCTAAGAAAACACACATTTCAATGCGAAATGTGCTAAAATTTGATGTCCCTGAACAAACAATTGTAGCAACACAAAGTTCAACATCCGAATCCAGGATTCGAATTACATTGTGCTCTATGGAAACGTGTTTAAAATTTTCAATAAAAACATTTGGAAGCCCATGTAATAACCAAATAAAACCCCATGTGATACCACTAGTTATCACATGGCCCAGAACACCCATATCCAACATGATCACAACCTGGTATGACATAAATACTATTATCAGTCTTCTATCCTTGGACTTGGAATTATGAAAAAACAAAACAAGCATTGTGTTGACTGTATATCCGTTATCACCATAAAATATAGCTTATCAGATTATCTATTGCATCTTATCGGTTAAAAAAAACAGTTAAAAAAGAAACTCAAAAGAAAAAGCATGACGCTTCAACTTGGGATGCCTAATATTAAATAGGTAATAATTGGGATTTGAGCATTACGGCATACGTATCACTAATGTATCATTGTCCAACACTGAATACAAATTCATTAGTTTTTTAATCAGTTTTTAAATAGGTTGAAGTCCTGGCACTGACAGATGCGATCAACACAGGCAATATTTTGCATTTGAGTTTCCCTTTGAGGGTCTTTTATCATCAATTGGGTCATCTTTTTGTGATATTTAATCCCTTATATGTCAAGGTAAATCTCATAAACCTTACACATAGGACATCAAAGTCATCAGCAAATCCTGCAGAGCACCTACTGAATATTAGTGCAAAACAAATCACCTTCACAGCAGTAACTTCCTAGCAAGCCGCTGGGATGTCGCAGTATAACGTCACGCACATCAATCGTGAGAAAACCAAATCCCTGGGCTGGGCTTTGGAAACACAGTTGTTGTATGAAAAGTGATTGGCACAGGCAGAGGTCTTGAATGGGTAAGATAAGGATATACTTAAATCCCAATCCACAGTCATTATTAAGTTTCAACAAGACTTATTTATCATTGACAGTCAGAGATGGTTAGGTGTTTCGCACAAGATCTGGCACAAGATTGTGCTTGCCACTAATTTCCAAGCAGACCATAACGCTTCTGGTTGCCGAGATACATGTGTTGGAAATTGGGTGTATGTGAGAGAAGCTTAGTATATAGTATCCAGAAAACATGATTTTTCATCCTGATATCTGCTTGTAGCGTACTTTTCCCATATTTGGGTCGACTTTGCAAGTTCTATACATGCTGTTCTTCTGAGTTCAATTTCTGCTTGTATCATCATGTTATTCTTAATGTGTCATCATTTTTGATAGATTAATGCTCACATTGTCATGAGAATTATAAATTTTCTCTTTGTTTTTGTGTAAATTATAATGTTAAAGACTCAGTACCAAGCTATTTCCTGCAATTTGAGGGGCAGTTTTGCTGGCAGACTCTTTAAGCCAATTAGTTTAATGACACCTTTTTCCATTTTTGTCCATCAAAGATGACGGATTGGGCAAAATTTTTGTCTGTCATGAGCTGGAAAATTCCATCAAAAGATAGAAAGACAGATGCTAGCTAGATTACTACTGTGCTGCAGTCCAATCTAGTACTTGAACTACTAGTATGTTGGACTTTTCAGACATCAACAGTCCTGCCCTGTTGAACTTTATCCTGCTGGGTTCTTTGCCAACTGCTACATGCATAGGTTTCGTGCAAGGTTGTGTTGCATTTTTCCTGGTCTTTGGAGACTACGTCCATCCATAATTGTATGGTGGTTCCAACTGTTATCAATACACGGTCTGAAAAAAATGGAGGTGTTCACGGAACTACTAGTACAATGTATATGTTCTTGGAGGGAGGGGGGCAAAAGACAAATGATCTGATAGCGGTAATGATACGTTTGTAGTACAGAAGTGACTATGAAAACTGTGAACATAAAAGAACCGTGAAAAACTTGAGATTTACAGTAGTGTTGTTGTTCTTTCTTCCCATCCCCCAGTGAAACACCATAGCCATGTTGAGGAGAGGTCTACATAGGGTGTCTGGTCTGGCCTGGGGACCGCCCAGCCGACTGGCATCGACTTCAGCAGGCAGGGAGGTACGACTGTGGTTCAGACCTGCTCTCATTGGTGGAGGGGTGGCCGCTGTGGCTGGCACCGTGCTATGGAACTGGAGAAGGTATGTTTGTTTGTTTGTTTGTTTGTTCTTTTATTATGAATGATCTCCATTAGTGTAAATTTTACACTATTCCAGTGAATCACCAGATATATCTAGAAGTATTTGTACCATTGCGCACCAAGGCATGCCCCTACTCTTTTTCAAAAGATGTGTTAGGAAAATATTTGAGTCAAATTTGACATGAAACATTTCTTGTAACATTTCTTGCAATTTCTTGTGTTGTACATTGTACCTTGTACCACATTAAATTTGATAGTTTCCACTGTCACATGTCCATCTAACCAACTCACGTTTCAGTCGAAATGTTTGATTGTTGCCTTGCGTTTTCCATGCACTTGACTTGTCAGCTTGAACAGGGATAGCACACCCACATATGGTACAATGGTTTGTAGCCAATTAGTAAATTGGAAGGCGGGTCTTGATTAAAGTTTCAGCCAGATGGCTCGTACCCAGCTCACCCATGTGTGGTTATTGTTCACCCTCCATTGCGATAATTCCATCCCACAGCCTCAGGTCACGACACTTCGATTTGTCTGCACTCTAAACATAGCTCAGTTTGGCCAAAGTTATGCTTCTATTAATATCTCAACGTTGAATAAAGTAGAAAGACTGAATACATGACCTGACATGAAAGTTTCAGTTATATAAGTTTAGGTAGAATGTAGGCATGTAGAGTTAATGTAAATCACTTTATGTTCGCGATAGCAAAAGTTTGCAGTCTGAGAAAAATGGACATGTTCACTGAACTATGTAGAGGCAGGTGCAGAAAGGTGGTAGCGGCAGGTGCAGAAAAAAAAAGTTTGCAAATTATTCATTCACGGTTAATGATAAGTTTGTAGTAAAGAAGTGACAGCGAACTGTGAATTTAAAAGTACCACAAAAAAATTATGTAACTGTAATTTACAGTATGTTTCTATTAATATCCCGACGTTGCATTACGTATAAAGACTGAATACATGTACATGATAGGACATAAAAGTTTTAGTTAGATAAGTTGAGGTAGTATGTAGGCAGTGTGAAATGTTTCTGTGTTAATTATGGGCAGAGGAAAAGGAGACCCACTCCTGATCAGTCCTGTGGAAAAGTTGTCCAGCTGCCAGCAATTCCATCAGAGCGTGGTCCATTGACTAAATGCTCATCAGTGTGACAATCTAATGGAAGGGCGTGTCCAATACCCCCTGTCTTGTTAGCGAAGCTCGGAATTCACCTCTACAAAATGCTGGAAACTTCTTTTCCTTCCAGGGTCTTGTACATGCATGTGTGTGTGTATGTGTATGACTGTAGCTCAGACACGTAAGGACACACCAATTTTTTACTTGTTGGCTCTTAATATGAAGCGACAGGGTGAAAAATTAAAATAAAAAAAGAAATAGGCCAAGGAACCCTCGAAATCTTACGATAGAAGCCATGAAGTCAATATAACTTCTTTTCTTTTCTATATAACTTAGGCTAGGTTGTAATTCATACGATAGGAAAACTGTAACCAGGAAGACTAGGACTTTATTTCAACCGTTGGGACCAAAATATAAGCATTTTGGAGTTAATTCATACCCTAAAGTTTTTTTGCAAATCAGGAAAAAACCAAGAGACAAATCCGAGAAATGATTCATTAAATTTTCATGGCCTAAATACAGATAAAAGAAATGCCATCACAAACAATAGCTAACCGGTGCACATGTCTAACTTTTCTTAATATAAAACTACGTTGAATATTGTCTGGTTCATAATCATCTCATGCAACATTAATCTTTATCAAGAAGAAGTGAAAAGAGAAATCAATATGGATTTGCAGAGGCAAGCTGTCTTTCCTATAATATACAATCTTCCAATTAATGTGATTGGTTTGTCTTGGCTGTTTTAGCAATCATACGGAATTGGAAGTAGAATCTGCATTAATTACACAGTATATACAGGGATGGGTGTTTCAAGTCGTCCCCTTCACACTGATCTGCTATAGTAGCCAGGAATGGGGTGGGGTCATGTGGCATAAAGGTAGAGTGTTCGGCTTAGACCCAAGAGGTCCCAGGTTTGAATCCTGCCCAGTGTCACTGATCTGGTGCCCTTGGGAAAGGCACTTTACACCACTTTCCTCAGTGCACTCAGGTGAAAATGAGTACCTAGCTTTGGTTAGGGACGTCCCTTGGATAGGACGTTAAATGGAGGTCCCGAGTTAGGAGAGAGCCGTGTGTAACAGTGCTAACTGACCATGCTAAATGGTCGTGCGACCTTTTAGTGTAATGGTTAGCGTTGGTGACCGCCAAGCGGACAACTCGGGTTCGATTCCCGGTTGTGACATGCTCGCCCCTTTCGGTTTTTACAGTGGCGCCCAACGTGGGGCTCGAACCCACGACCCTGGGATTAAGAGTCCCATGCTCTACCGACTGAGCTAGCCGGGCCCCTCGGGTTCGATTCCCGGTTGTGACATGCTCGCCCCTTTCGGTTTTTACAACACCCAACTCACGTTAAAGGACCCACCATACTGAATCCTTTTCTTTTGCAAAACAGAAAAAATGAAGTGGACAAAATCCAAGAATTATTGATTTAAAGGGTATGGCCCCATACATTAAATGAAGAAAAGGGGTCCTTAGGGAAATAAAAGGACACATGTTGGGTGAAATTGAAACAGATGAACAAGATGAATGTGATTATCACCACTTGGCTCTTTTTTCCCTTGATACAAAATAAAAGTTGATCATACACATGTATATATGTGTCAGTTCCAACGTTTGGATTCTGTATTCGAATTTTCGAAAGCGGCGCACACGGTTAGGATGAAACGCGTTCGAATCGTTCTATGGAAGCCATGGAGCCCGGGCCATTCTATGAGTATGAACAGCTCCAAGTTTAGGTGCACATGCACCCAGTATTTCGAGCCCTGAATTGTACACTACTAACACACGTATGTGGAAGCATGTGGCTCACCATTGATTTATTCATGTATGGACCCATTCCTTCATAGTTGAAAAGGATTGGTCGCCCTTATCACCACATGTAGTGCCTGCAGCTAGGAGCGTGACTTTGTTGCAGACATTTTGATCTGGCAGGTCTAATTTTCACAGACAAGCCATGAAATTTGCATCACCCATGTAATCAACAACAGCCCTGCATGGATCAAAATCTGCCTACAGGCACCGCATGCGTGAAAACATCACTTTTACGCTTTTCAGATTATTGTACCAGAGGCTACAGCTCATACTGCTTTCAGCATTTCAAAATGGCTCACTCTTCAAATGCAAGCTAGAACATGTAGAAGTAGCTCCGAGACATTATTTCAGGTTTCTGTAATACTGTTAAAGGCAATAATTCCAATGCGGTTTTCAGGACAGCAAAACGAGAGATATTCTGGATGAAGATATCTGATATTGACATTTACTGCCATTTCTTATGACGTTTTCGTCATCATTTCATACTTGAAGTGTTTAGTCCCAAAAGAAGCTAGGTGATGTGTCTCATTATTTTTAGGGTACCACCCATAAGTAGCTAAAACCAGCCTTCAATACAGAATAAGCATCCATTTTCTGTTAGCAACGTGGCATATTTGCCTCACAGATTATCATTGCCATGGGATAGTATTGATACAACTTATTGCATCAAATTTAAAATAATTTAAAGTCCTAAAATCCAGTTTTGCTGCTCTGAAGTTGCATTTGATGCCTTTGAAAGGTGTGTTGTAAAAATGATTATATGCAAAATTCTGTTAATCCACCCTTCAATTGATTATTTGGCCATGTAATATTGGAAAAAAGAATGAATTTGTTAATGTGCATAACTTGGTTGAATTAATATTGCATATAATTCAGGTCATCATTCATGTAGGTATTGATCTACCTTCATCAACATGAAAGACCCGATCTATATGCAGATTTTCCACCATCCTTTATTCCGTAACATATTGACAAAGTCAGCGAGCCGTGTCCTTTGAAGCTAGAGGGGAATTGTGACTACGCGAGGTGTAAATTTTAAAGCGAACACCCCTCGAAGGGGATGGATACCGTAATTCTTGATTTTTTTCACAGTACTTTCATGTTCCCGGTTTTCACGGTCACTTGTTTACTGCAAACGTATCATTACTATTACACATAATTTGCCGACTTTTTCTGACACTTTGAATTTATGAATATGCTGTATACTACTACACATTTAACATATTATGTAAACCTATGAAAATACTTAGGTGCACTGGTGCACCCACAGAAAAACATTGGGTACACAGCTCCAAATTTGGGTGCACTAATAAGGTGCACATGTACCCAGTATTTCAAGCCCTGTACATGTATCACAATATAAAACTAGACAGCAGACAATGAGATATACAATGTGCAATGTCTAGATTAGTAATAAGTGATATGATTGATAACCATGGACTCCAGGTAGATTATACAATTTCATGTTGAAAGCTGATTTCGCACCCTGCTATCACCTGATATGTATCTCAGTCCTTTCCCAAGGATGGTGTTTATTGCATATTGACTAGGTGCTAAACCATAGGATTTAAGGCAGCTTGAAGTAGTTTATTCTGATGGACTGCCACAATTGGGGACATACTATCTGAGGTGTATTTGTCAATATTAGAATCAGATGAAAGAGTACGGAAAGAGGCTTTTGTGCAGGGCCTGTAACATTTGTCATATGCAGGGCTCAAAATACTTTATTCTGCATACCTGCACTGGTACAGGTCATATTAAGAATTACCTGCACCAGACAAATCTCACTGCACCACTCAGATTTTTAAAGAAGTGTGAATCATACTTGTCTATAAACCATTACAAAACTATCACAGTGTTCGAAATACCTGTCTGCAATCTGCAATCTGCAGATAGATTTTCAAGATTGCAGAAGAAAAATTTATACAATCTGCAATTTTGCAGAAGGAAAAGTAGGCTCCAGATTCAATACGTGTAGTTTTCAATTTAGCAAACTAGAACTCTCTGGCCCCAAGGACAGACAACACTTACTAGTAAGCTCCAGGACCTGTTTTGAAGCAACAGGAGCTTCTTCACTAATTTGCATCATCCTTGTCTTGACTTGTCTATCTTTTGTTTCCCTTTGGACTTACAGAAATTTGTCTTCACTAATTTGCATATGATACAATAGTTTGTACTTATAAACCTGGAATTCTCTTAGTGTCACTGACAAAAGGTAGTAGTCTGACCATTTCAGATAGCACCAAAATCATATCGAGTTGCTTAAGAGTTAAGTACTGTGTCTTTTATTAGTATGTTGTGTGGAAGGATGATATGTGGGTGTGATTACTAGTACATTTACAGGTAAGGTATGATTTTAGTTGTAGTAGCTTGTAGTGGGAGACAGCGGTGAAAGACCCGTGAAGATACCAGTAAATTTTCTGTGGAGATTCAGAAGGATCTATAAAGTCTGAAATTAAAAAGAGTGATAGATTAACCTTAAAAGAATTCCAGTAATGCTACAGATTTACAAAGCTATATATGATGTAAAAAAGACATTAATGGTTTGAGAAGGTTGTAGTATGGAGGCTTGTGTATTTGCAGAAAGTATTTTCAAATTGCAGAACAAAATTTTGACTCTTCTGCAATATTGCAGAGCACTGAACAAAAGTATTTCGACCACTGTATCACCATTATTTATTTCTTTTATACTTCATAGGTGGTGACACTATAAGCACCACCTGCACTAACCTGCATATACCCAGTATTTGGAGCCCTGCTGTGGCAGGATTATGACAGTGAATTGAGGACAGGCCGACATTAAATAGTGTCAAGGACAGTCGAGGACATACCAAACTCACCACTCTCCAGACGGGATTTCTTTAGGCTATTGACTTGATTTTGATTTATTATGCTATATAAAATGATACAGCCAGCCAATGCAAGGCAGGACTACTTAACTAGCTGGAGGCTATTTTAAGGCATCCAAAGCAATTTCTGGATTGTCAAAGTCAATTTTTTGTTCATTCTTTTAATTTTAATGTAGTACTACAATGTACATGTAAGTATTGTCTGTCGAGACAGATGGCTCGGCCAACAACTAAGTTGAATCAATCCTGTCTTATAGCATACTGATATCTGTTAGCCAAAAATATGATGTCACTGACGGAAAATGGTTGCTTGTTTCATATCGTAGGCTGGAACCCAAAAATAAAGAGATGCCTCGTGTAGCTTGTCGCGAGCTATTTCATTTGCTTTGAGTACAAATGTATGAGATGATGGGCTTACAAGTTACATGTTCAAATGTTGGAACTTATTCTTCTTGTGATCATTTCCTCGGAGAGGCCCAATCATCACACGAGGTTTCAGTTATTCCCCATATTTCAAGTATGCTCCAGTGTCTGAGTGGCCCTACAACAAGTACTGTAAATCACTTTGTGTTTGCTGTAGCAAAAGTTTGCGGGCTGAGAAAAATGGAGGTGTTCACAGAACTATACATTCACAGTGGCGGCAGGTGCAGCAGAAAGAAAGTCGCTGAATTATATGTTCACATTAATGATAAGTTCACGCTACAGAAGTGATGTTGAAAAACGCAGCTTTAAAGTACCACCAAAAAAATTGTGGTTTACAGTACTCTGCAATATACTGTAGTCTCCATCAGACTTCAATATTGGCTGACAAATACCCTCTAAGTGGTCCTAATATTGTTATATAATCTGCCCAAGGGGTTAACTAGGGATAACGTGACCACTTATGTTCTCAGAAATTTGATGGATGGCTAACTGCTCAAGAAGAAAATATCCTATTTGGTCAATTTTCATTGTTTTTCCAGCTGCCACAGCAGTCTGGTGGAGGCTAATGATGCTTCCTTAGTTAGCTGTGCTGGAAATAGCAACAGGCGGCCTGGGTATACAAAATGTACATCTGCAAGATTGTACAACTTAGCCTGGGTGCCAGACTGTTGCCAGGGGCTGCATACAAGCTAGCTCCTCGCCTCCGAAAATTTTACCATAGACACCCCCTCAGACTCTGAGCAACAGGCTAATCTTTGAGAGATAAATTAGACTCCCATGTGTTAACACTAGGCTTGGGGCTTGTGGTTTATGAGTCGAAGGTAATATTGTGTGGAGCCAGGGTCTGGCATACGGGCTACAAGATTGTTGACTGGAAGTCGCGTGCAGGATACATGCATATATAGGGAGGATCATATTACACACTTCTGTACATACACAACATAGTTACATGGATAAGTATTAAGGAGGCTAGTATGTTATGTAATACTATTGTTATTGTGATAAGTTCTTCAGTAATACTATGATAGTACTGACATTAAGACAAGGATCTGTAGCAATCTTTTCTGTCACAAAACAGCTACATTTTGCTGTCAGTCATTTGGTCTATGTTTGGGATGTGCTAAGTAAGAGGGCAGTCAGAAAAATAAGGGTCAAGGGAATAACTATGTTAGGTCTTTGAAGTGTACCTGTTATACAGTGTGTATGAAAAAAAATTATGTCCCTTGCAGGGGCCCACTAAGAAAAAGCCTACCAATACAGAGGAACTTACTCTTCCATGATGATATGTTGTTCCTTGCAGGCAGCTGAGGGCGGTGGAAAGCGTGTCGGTGGCCCATGCTGAGGGGAAGGAGATAGATGTGGTGGAGACAGAGGAGGAGGGGGAGGGGGAGGTCAAGAAGAAGAAGAAGAAAGGACCAGGCTTTCGGGACAGGAGGGTGAGTGATTATTTGTTCTCTTTTATTCTTTATATTTTATTTTAAAAATTATTTATTTTTTGCCCTTTCAATCCTTTTTTTTTAGATCCAACAACCGACAAATCAAATTGTTGAGGCCTTAGCAGGACAAAATATTTACAACTGGCAACTAAAAATGTTCTGAACCAGTATTAAAACTTGCCTATTGCAGGAACGGAAAAAAAACAGTAGAATTACATGTATGATCAGCCACAGACTTGACAGCATTAGCTTTGGTTGTCTTGGATTGCATTCGATCACATGGGATCGATTCATCTCATTGTGTGAAGACAGGACCAGAAAATTTACTTTGAAACTACAAAGAGGACGTATTGCAGCAGCTTAAAGGCCTATATTTGACCACTGTAAAAAAAAATCAATTTTTTACCCTACATGGTGACCTTTATGGCTGGGAGCTTCTTTGTAAAGGTTTTGACCTGTTATCAGCGGTAGTGGTTTTCATATGTGTGCAGATATTCTACAGCGGTACATGTAATCATGTTAGGCCACGTTGATGTGATTATAGGGATGACATCTACACTGCATGAATTTTCGTCTGTTTTCAAATGGATTTTGACCACACTACATAGATCTAAATTGTATAAAGCAGATTCAAAATGAGCAAATTTATTCCGTAGATTGCAAAAAAAATATTGGAAAATGGTACTAATGTCATAGAATGCTAACATCTATTCCTAAGGAAAAGAAGAAAATGTGTAGAAATGAAAATGAAGAGTCTATTTTTAAATTGCCTTACTATACTCTGTGTCATGGTCTTGTAAGACAGATGAAATGCCTACATGTATGATAACTCTGTGTGTTAAGTCATTAAATTTTGTTCAACCTTCATGACCACATTTGATAATGAAGGCAACTTTTTTTTTCAAAACATTTTTTTTAGTTGCATTCTCACATCAGTTTTGGGGTTCCCAGAGGTTGTCATCCATGTAATCAAATGGCCTTACCAAAAGCAGGAGAGGCCAGAGACCATTTTTTACAGAGCATTTCTACTTGTAACTAATTGTCTCTGCAAGTCTGGATTTCCAAAGAGACAAGTAGCCTTTTTTGCCAAACCGTCTTTTTATTCACATGCTCACATCAGTTTTGGGGTTCCCAGAGGATGTCATCCATATAATCACATCAATATGGCCTAAGTTTCCCCCTTGCCTGCCTGGGAAGCTACTTTGATGGAACATTACCACATACGGTGTTAATGAAGGCTGTAGATATTCCACCCACGTTTTCTGTCATCCAGAGATCACTCACGTTAAGAGAATGTTTTGACATTCATGTGGAGGGGCTTACAGCGGGGATTAGACACCATTGGTGAGGGTAAATCTTCCCAGATCTCACTCCAAATCCCCACAGATCAATTGGTTGTGTTAACACCTTTCTTAGCTAAGGCCTGTCTTCTATTTGACAAATAAAATTGTAAATGCTGGGCTCGAAATACTATTACATGTACATCATGTATCACCTGCATATGCATGTTGGTACAAGTAAAATTGGAGCTGTGCAGGTATTTCTGATGTCAACCTGTTACCTATACCACGTACTGGGTATATATATATATATGCAGGTTAGTGCAGGTAAAATTGGAGCTGTGCAGGCACGTTTTGATGGCTACCTGTGTCTAACCTGTGCTAGGTTATTTACTAGATATTTGTACGTTATACATGTACATGTAATCAACGTTTAATCTAACTACATTTTGTATCTGGCAGCAAGGATCAAGAGCTAGAAATACTATCTTTTTGTAATTAGTTGTTAGATAACTCAAAAAGGTGTTCATTATTTTCCAGTGTTCATTCTATGATACGACCATGATATAATTGGGAAATGTAAAATGGAATTTGGTTGGTGACATTAACACCTTAAAGACCTCAACCAACTTGCAACAGACTGAATGTAATATTCTCTATTGATGGAAGGTCTTGTTCATGATATGAATAAGAACATATTGATTAATCCATGTTTTTCTGTGCTGGTGCCGTGCTGTAGGTGATTGAGTATGAGAACAGAATCCGTGCTTACTCCACTCCAGACAAGATTTTCCGCTACTTCGCTACACTGAAAGTCTACGATGAAGAGGGGCACCATGAAATCTACATGACTCCGGAGGACTTCGTCCGCTCTATCACACCTGGTGACAAACAACCAGAAGGTAGGGCCTAGGAAAACAAATGTTGTGTTTCCTGTTTCAGTCCTGAAAAAAATTTCATTTTTTCTTTCTTTTTTTTTTAGACTTTGTTGATGTCTAGTGATCCAACTTACAATACAGTTTAACAAGCCTAAATCAGGCCTAAATCAGTTCTATAATATAATTTTTTTGTTTCTTCCCTATAAACAATCCAGGACTTGGACTGGACCAGTTTAGACATGTGCACATCAAGGTAAGTGATTCGATTCACAAGATGAAGAATATCTCGGATTCTCAGATCTATTTAGTCTACACAATTGCTAAATATAAAGGAACTTACCAAAGCAAAGTGTATGTTTCAAATGTTTATGGAGAATATGTGACAATCATGTTGTAGAGATCAGAGACCAACAATGCTGCAGAATTCATGCCAGAAAATAAAATTGCCTTCAGCATGAAGTGCTACAATTGCTGACACGAATGATCTTGATTGTGACAAGAGTCACCATGGCTTCTATGTGGACATGAATTTTGGGATCTCTGGATACATTATTTTCTTCGCCTTTCCTGAAGATGCCTAACTATGCCACTTTAATACCACTTTGCATGAAGAACTGAACTATAACACTACTGCATGTCCAGGGCCATCCCTAAGTATCATAATCTTTGACATCCATGTCTGCTCTACCCACTACTGAGACCTGAAACAACAAGATTTCTCCACCGACCGAATGCTCTCTTGATCAATTGGAAAGGAAGTTCATTCATTAACCTGTATGTCTAGGCACTCCACTTCTCTCTTGCTTTATTTCCTAACACACCTTTTTACATGTTCTTTCTTTGGATGTCTGTTTGTGACCCAAGCATCACCACACTGCTTCACACGCCGAGCTCTTGGCGGTGAGTCCAAGCATGCCCCCTAGCTGTTAACATCGGTCCTGCAACCTTGTCAAACTGGCAATATGGCTGAAGAGTACTGGTAAAAGTTAAAAAGAAAAGCATTTGACTGAATTGGATTCGGTTTTCATTGGTACTGATGCAAGTATAGAAAGCATATTAAACTTTGTTTTGTGTGTTGCACATGTCTCACACACAGTTATTAATATGAATTTACAATGTTACCTTGTTGAATTCTTAATATTATATATCTATACATAATTTGAAATATGTCACTAGAAACTGAAAAGGGGGTATTCCCAACTCAATTCAAAAATGAAAAAGGATTCCGTTGTTGTTTTCAGCAAATTACCTCAGTGGGGTGTGACACATGTTATCCCAATCACATTAAAACATTTCTTTTTCCTCTTGGTGCTTTAAGCCCCCCTCCCCCACAAAGAAGCTATTGCTGATATTCATAGTAACCTTGTTTTCTTCACCAAGTTTCCAGAGAGAAGTGAAGTAAGACGAATGTTGCTTTTTACTTGATCCAAGTGAACGCACAATCTTTTAGGGAGCTGTTAAAACACACGCATACTAATATGACACAACTTTGGTGTGTTTGCCTAATGTCTGTGCCGTGTGTTGTGTTCATGTGCTTTTGTAATGTTGCTGTCTTCTGCATTCTTCTTCAAAAGCTTCACGATCACCATTCTCTCCGTATGGTGAGTTCTACACGTTGTTAATTACCATACTTCTGCATCCAACACGTCACCTAGACTGACAGTATCTTTAGTTTGTTCAAAAACTGTTAAGTTAGGCCACACTGATTTAATTTGTGGATGACATCCACGCATGCTTGATTTTCGCCTGTTTTCAAAAGAAGAAAAAAACTGATGAGGCTGAAGCCTGGGTGCCATCCTCCTTAATCCATTGTGGCGGCAGTAACTACGAAAGACGGCACCCAGACTACAGAGGCTACGCAGAACTCTAGAACTCAGTACGGTGCACCGGTGCCAACTTATATATGCTGCAAAACACGAGCATGTGCCAGCTTGTTGTAAAAGTACCGGTAGTCATGTACAACTGCAAATTCGCAATACCAGCTTTGCATTCCTGTGGTTTATCAGTATTTTTGTATTGGTGGACTTTTTTTTCATTCGCCCGCTCGCATTAGTTTTGTGGTCTCAGAAGATGTCATCCAGAAAATTAAGCCAGTGTGGCCTGAGTCTTCAACGGTTCAAGTTGGTATGCTTTTAAATCATGGAAGGGTACTACATGCAGGTGTATGCAAGGCATATGGTAAAGTATAAAGATTTGCTGCTATGCAATTGTATAACGTTGAGCTCAGACAATGTACTGTCAAGCCACAAGATCTTTGAGAACCAATAAAGAGTGGGGAACAATTTTGCAACAATTTTTCGAAAGTTGTTTAATTGAATTCTGGAATGTTAATCTGTTGTCAAACAATGGCTACAGTATACAGTACCTACATGAAAAACAATGAAATAAAAACACATCTAATTGGTAAAGCAATAAATCGGAGGTAAATTACGTAGTCACCACTGCTAGTATATACTATTACATGTAGTATAGGGCATGTTGAGACTAGCTCAGAAAACTTCGTGTGTTTTGTGTCCCAGCTCCATGTTGTGTTCTGTGTTGTCGTCTGTCTTCTATCAGTCAGTGTTAAACTTTCTTTTCCTTCCTGTGTGTAGGGACTCCATACTAAAGTAAGTCAGTCCAGTGAAACACCCTCCAAAATTCAAAGTGATTTTTCAGCATGGCAAAAGGCAAAATGCTGGCTCTACTCTGTATGATAAATTGCTGGATGGACAAATGGCCTAGAAGTTCAGTGGAAAACTACAGCTGCAGTGTGAAAAAACAGCTATTTGCCTAAAGACATGGGACTATCGTGCATCCAAGTTTAAACACAAGGAGCGTATCTATGTCATTGTTAGAATTATAATGTTGTTGTTTCAATGTGATTTGAGCATTTCTCAAAGATCTGCTTTTATAACAATTTCCATTTGATATAATATACATGTAAGCCATCTACTTTATTTTAAATGCAAAGTTTATAAACATGCTTTACTCAGTTAATCCTCAAAGCAATGGCTGAAAAGAGCTGTCAAAGCATGCTGTCATTTTTCCTGCTTTAAGTTGTACAGAACAGCTAGAGTAGTATGACAGATTGTATTATTTCACACATGTCTGCATGGCTTCTACAATGAATATACCAGTACTATTATACATGTATGTACATGTATGGCTGCCCTGCTCTGAAGGAATCTGTATAATTTCATGTTTTCCACAGTGAGTTCAGGTTTAGATGTTGAAGTTGCAATGCAATTTCAGGCCAGTAAAACTTGATTTTCAAAGTAAATATCCTGGTCATTCTTTTAATGTAGTAAGTTGAATCAAACATATTCCAAAGCATACTGATATCTTTGAGGTCAGTGACGGAAAAAAAAGAGATGCCTCATGTAGCTTGTTTTGGGGGTGATTTCAAATGCTTCAAGCATGAATTTATGATAACAGAAATGTGCTAAGAAATGGCAGGACATGTCTATATCAGAGAGATTTCCTCATCCAGAATATTTTTTGTTTGCTGAAATTGCATTGGATGCCTATAAAATGTGATCACACTCACTTTGATGTAATCTTCTTTCATTAAGATTCCTTTTTTTAAGTCCTGTTTTTAAAGAACAACAAGTTCCAATATGAAGTTTTGTTCATATCCATTCATGTGTATCCAAACTTGTGAGATGTCTAATGTCCTCCATGCTCCACTCCAGGCTATACGTGCGGATGTGGAGACTAAATTTGGAGATGATGGCAACATCTTTAACAAACTGGGAGAAAATGGTCTCATCAACTTTACTGACTACATCTTCCTACTTACTGTACTGGCAAGTAAGTCACTCAGGAATGGAAAAATATTTTTTTGCTTCTGACACTTTATCATAATATCAATTCATTGAAGTATAGATACAGAAACTATGCTCACCAGCATATCATTTACATGATAATTTTTTTAAAAATAGTAATTAAATTTTGTGAGCGTGCTGGATTAATCTTGAAAGTCCTGAACTACATGTATATGTTTATCAAGAGACGGTACAAACTTTGAAAAGAAGACGTATTGTTTCCTGATTTTTTCACAGTACTAAAATTTTTGTTCATGGTTTTTGTGGTCATTCCTGTACCACAAATATCATTATTGCTAACTAATAACTCGCCAATTTTTTCCTGCACCTGCCACCAACATGAACATATACAATGTAGTTCAGTGAACACCTCCATTTTTATCAGACTGCTCAGACCTTTTTTGCTGCTGTGAACATAAAGTAAAGAACAGTTTTCCTTGCTTTGCCATGCTTAATTTATCTGTGATGTTTTTGTAGCCCCACGACGGAACTTCGAGATAGCATTCCGTATGTACGACCTGGATGGGAATGGACACCTCTCATATGATGAGTTTGAAAAGGTATGGGTATCCGCTAATTTAAGTTGACATGAGTACAAATGTACATACTGTCATCAAGGTTCATCTGTGTTGGTAGTTATATGTTTTAAGTTAAAACATTCTAATTGTTCTCACCTAGAGATTTTCTAGTCTTCTTCAATAGACTGACCCAGTGAGACTTGTCATGTGGCTTCTCTGAAGTGTGACGTCAACACTGGGTCAAAGGTATCTGGTAATTGATGTCAGCAACTGTTGTGTAGTAAAAAGTAAAGGGTGAAGGGCCCTGATGTAAATAGCCTCTTTTTACCCCTATCAGGAAGTAGTTCAGTCTCCAATATTCTTAGTTACTTAGGCCACACCGACTTAATTTATGGATGACATCCGCACGCGCATTGATTTTCGCCTGTCGCCCTCAAAAAAAAGATCACGTCCACCGAGGCTCTGGCCTGGCTCTATGCCTGGATAGTCCATGGTAGTTAGCGACAATACGGAGCCGAGCACCCAGGCTATCGAATTCGAAGCTCCACGACTAAAGAACTCAGTACATATGTACAGTACCGATTCGTAAATTCCTCAAAAAAGCCAGCATGGGCCGGCTTGTCGTATACGTCGCTATGTACTGCCGTAATTTCACAATACCAGCTTTGTATTCCTGTGGTTTAGTAGCATTTTTATTTTTGGCGGGAATTTTTTTTATTCGCCCGCGCGCACTACTTTGGGGGTCTTCAGAGGATGTCATCCATAAAATTAAATCGGTGTGGCCTTACAGTAAAAGAATACTGAACACTGAACTGCATGTACCTTGTACTTCCTTACAACATATGGCACAGCACATGTACACTGTTGTCACATTTTCACCCCAGGTCCAGAGTGTCGTGTTCCACCAAACGTCGACAGGAATGCGACACCGCGACCGCAGCACCACGGGGAATGTGATGGCTAAGGCCGGAGTCGGCAGTGCGCTGGCCAGATACTTCTTCGGAGAGGAGATGGACCAGACTCTGACAGTGGACAAGTTCTTGTCCTTCCAGTCACAACTGCAACATGAAATTCTTAGGATTGAGGTAGGAAATTGGAAAAATGGTTTTCATTTCTATAAATCTGTCTTCTTTATAATTTTCTCCCCCTTAAAGATGCATTATGTAACATTGGGATGATACAAAAAATCAATTTGCTGACCATTTCTTTACAAAGTAAGTTGAATCAACCCTCTCCATTGCCAAGTGCCGTTAAGGAAGTGAAGATGCCAAAATTTCATGCCTTAATAATTATGTATTATTACAGTTTAAAAGCTTGAAACACAGCTGTCAGCCATATTTGTTTATATTCTGGTAGTTTGTGGTGGCACCTCAAATTGCACTTCCTGTGGGCTGTTTTAGTGACAACCATAAATTTCAGAAATGTGAGATAATTGTACAAATATGGTGAAAAGTAGAAGTAAGTTACAATCGCAGGAATATTTCATTATATTAAATCAAATATTTTTTGGTGCAAAAATGTTACATGATGCCCCTTTTTAAAATGATCTCATGCTCTGTAATACCAAGGAGCTTTAAATTTCAATTTGATTTTAACCTTCTTGGTAATACCGACCCTGTGATGCCTTCTCTGTGTCCCAGTTTGAGAGATATGACCCAGATGATGGGAAGATCTCGGTGCGAGACTTCTGTGACGTCATGCTGACGTATGCAGGACTGTCAGACAACAGGAAGAAGAAGATGATGGCCAGGGTCAAGAAATACTTCAAGGAGAAGGAGGATGAGGTACATCCAAGGCAGATTTAGGGCTCGAAAACCAGATTGTTTTAAGTCAATATTTTAGTCACTTTCATGTATCTACATGTATGTAAGGTCATGTGGTGTAACAGCAGAGTGTTCGGTTCAGAGCTAAGAGTTCATGGGTTCGAATCCTGCCATGTCACTAATTTTGTGCCCTTGGGAAGGTGTAACGTGGCCGTAACTTGCCAAAAGTTGTTGATGGAAAATGTTTACTGGTTGGATATCGATCCTGGGCTGATTTTTGGGGTACTAGCCTGAAAATAAAGGGCTCATCTTGTTCCTTGTTTCTACCCAAAGTTTGAAATACCATTACTAAGGCCACACCAATTTAATTTGTTGGTTCTCGGATTCGCCTCTTCGTTTTTTTTTTATTTGCAAAAAAAAGAAATTTGATTCTGGTCCTGAATCAACTGAAAAATGCTCATGTTTTGCCCCCCAACAGTTGAGGAAAGTCCTTTTCTTCATAGTTGTTACAGTTTTCCCATCTATCATTCCAGTGGTTTGATTCAATGTTTAAATTTTAACCCAGCCTTTTGTGTTGACTTCATGGCTCATTTTGTAGCATTTAAGATTATAATAGGATGCCTAGACCTGTTTTTATGTTTATTTTTTTTCGCCCTGTCGCTTCATATTTTTTCTGAAAAAATCCGAGAACCAACAAATTAAATTGGTGTGGCCTAAATCTGCAAAATGTGCTAATGTGGGCAGTATGTGTCAATATCATACAGATTACTTTATTTAGATTTTGCTGCCCTAAAATTGCATTGGATGCCTTTTAGACATTTACATGCATCTTGAATATGCTGCCTTACTAATCTATATATATATCTTCATGTACATTATAGGACTACCAACTAGTAGTAATTCTATGAGATGTTATGTGTAGCCATTTCTATTCCTTTATTTTGAGTGTTGACATTTTGTTCCATCTATAGGAAATACCCGGAGTGACCTTCGAGGACTATAAGAACTTCTTCCAGGTCTTAAAGAACATAAACGATGTCGACACAGCACTGACATTTTACCATGTGGCAGGAGCCTCCATAGATCCAGGTACATTAACACATCCTATACCATCAAATTTATGACATTATGTCATTTTATAGGCATCATTGCATGTATGACATTATAAAAGACTCTAAATATAGAAACCTGCAAAGTTTACAGTGATAGGTTGATGAGGACACTTGCTAACAGTGGTTGTGACATTAAAGATGATAAAATGTAAGAAGTAACCTTAAAAGGACTTTTGGGAAGGGGCCAATTATACACAGAATTCTGCACTGAGGCCACTCCAATTTAATTTGTTAGTTCTTGGATTTGCCTGCTTCATTTTTTTCTGATTTGCAATTAGCACATCAAGGCCACACCAATTTGATTGGTTCTCAGATCTTTTTTCAGAAAAATATGAAGCAGTACGGCAAAAAAAAAGAAAAACAGACCTAGGCATTCTATGGTAGTCCCAAATGCTATGATAGGAGCCATGAAATCAACATACCAGGCTGGTTTGTAATTTAAACAATGAAGTTCAAACTTTTAATTAAACCACTACATTGATAGGTGGAAAAACTGTAACAATTCTGAAGAGAAGGGACTTCTTTCAACTGTTTGGGCTGAAATATGAGCATTTCGGACTTGTTTCAGAGTCTGAAATATTTTTTTTTTAAAGCAGGCGAATCCAATAACCAACAAATTAAATTGGTGTGTCCTAAGAATATTATTTTGTCCGTGACATGTTTGCAGCCACCCTGAAGCATGTAGCCCTGACAGTAGCAGGAGTGGAGCTGAATGATCATGTCGTGGAGATTGTCTTCAAGCTGTTTGATGAAAATGGTGAGTTGAACCTGTTCTCTCAATATAGTATCCACAAACTTTGCCTGCCATTTCCGGGCTAATGTTCCAGAAGCCATATTCAGCTATGTGTGACACGGCTTAACTGGAAATTAGATATAACAAAGAAGAAGATAATGCATACTTTAAGTAATTGTTTTTTTTTTTAGTAGACTTGTACTGAAAGCAGTTTTTCCCTTTAGATGATGGTGAGCTGAGTAACAAGGAGTTTGTGTCCATCATGAAACAGCGCATGATGCGAGGACTGGAGAAACCAAAGGACACGGGCTTCACACGACTGCTCTCAGCCATGCTCAAGTGTACAAAGGAAACTAAACTCATCTAACCTAGTCTGGGCTTGTTGCTGCTTTCAGTGTTGTGTTGTATAAAAAATTATGAAGAAAAAAATAATTTAGAAGAATATTTGTGCCAGATAAAGACCAGGGGGCTTTGTATAAATGCCATATTGCATATGATAACTCATGAGGCTCCACATTATCACATGTAGTTGTGATGTGACCTAAATCATAGAATTGACCCATCTGTGACTTGCTAGTCCAAGGCAAAAATGTGTTATACATATTTGTGAGTTTCTACCGAAATGAACATCTAAGTAAAAATTTATTCAGAATAGTAATAGTACCATAGCACATAGCACATGGCAGTCCTTTTAAGTGCTCGAACTGTGATAGTTGTCAGACTTAAGTGTTTTTACTTTTACTCAACACTTGAAGGGAAATACTTGAAAACTGAGTAGGATTACGGGTCTTGTAGTCAGAATGTATACAACATTATGTAACTGTATGTGTCTGTGTTACTGTTAGGTCATGTGTATGTGCTTACCTATTGTACATACTATACATGTTGGTCTGAAGTCTTTGCTTTTAAAACTATGCACTTAGGAGCATGTAAGAAAACTAGACAAATCACGATGCTTGAATAGTCTGCATAGCCTCTACAAGACTTTTGGAAGCAGCTGGAAAGAGTAGAAATTGGCCAAATACATGTAGACAGATGATATGCCAGGGGAGTTGGTCCGTGCTAAGAGAACAGTTTGCCACTCCTGAAGCCTGGTACGCTGGTACTTGCAGCAACTCTCCGGACTGTATACAAATTAAGCCTCAAAATTAAATTAGTAACTAGAAAAAAACATTGAGACTTCTGACACTACAAAATGTAAGTACATGTAGGCAGAAACTTGCCCTGGCCTGCTCATTTTTTTAGTTTAAAATATCCAGTGGAAACATAGGTGAAACATTATTTACCTCTAACTTACATTATGTGTTAAGACCAGTCATAATTGTTTTATCCGAATTGAAATTGTGTTCAACTACATGTAGGGTGCTTTTTTTGGTTTTCCAGAGTTTCTAGAGTTCCATTGGGGCAAATGACTTGTACATACAGTGCATGCTGATTGTGTTCAGTACCTTTCTTTAGTCTGCTTGTGTAGGACATTAACTATGCACAGGAATCATTGCAATGTAGAACTTCTGTATTATGGTACTAAGCAAGGTACAAAATCTAATTGAAAGATGATAAACCTTACATTAGCCATCTAATGTGGTTTCTGTTGGTTATGGGTTCAGTATTCTTATTGTTCATTCTTCTGCATCTCCCAAACTATCTGTTTGTAGTTCTAAAATATCAATTCTGGGTTGATTACATTATTGAAACTTTTAGATGACTTGTGGTTGTTTCTTTTCTGGGTAACTTGGCATAAAATACTTATATTTGTGCTCAGATAAACTTTCATGCTAACCTCTACCCATGGTCACTTATTAGTGCTACTAGTATACATACTGCTGTAACATGAGTTGAATATAAGCTATAGTATTATAGTACCCTTTTTGTCCAAAAATCCTCCACCCATCCATTTTACAACCTTACTGGGTTGTGGATAACGCAGTGAACACAGTGATGTGGTTTATAATTTCTGTGGTAAGGAGTACTCCCCGGCCCTCCCCCAGTAGTCAACTGCACGCACACGGTACCAGCCATGTACTGTGGTTGTTGTAAGACCTGAAATGTAAAACAAATAGGAAAGTATTTAACAGACAAAACTACATTACATAACTGTGACTTAGAGAAGAAAAGAAAATTCCTTCAGGACTGAAACTGGAAACACAACATTGATTTTCCTAGGTCTTCTCGACACACATACAAATGTAAATATCATGCTATTGGAAGTCTTTAACTTATTATAAGACTATATTAAGATTGATGTATACATACCTGAAGTTTGGGTGGGGGAATATACAAATGCTGTGAAGATCTGGTCTCTTTGGTTGATCCGCGTGTACGGCCCCTTCTGACCTGAGCTGGAGAATTCCACTTCAAATGTCATCAGACATCTGAAACAATCATCAAGTTGTTATGTTTCATTGTCTTACAACTAAATATGCTTTACCAGAATGTCTAACATTCATTACAGTGTCTGAACTAAATTTCAGGTGACTAAATCAATTTCATACCACACCATTCCATGGTCTAATGTGGGTATACCGGTAGACCATATTGATTTAATTATATGATGACATTATATGGATGCCTTACTATTACATAATGTACCAACATCATACCTGGAGTTGACACAGTGGTCATCCCACAGCACCAAAACTGTGTCATCTGTTATTCTATGTAGTCTTACAGATGTAGTCTGCAAAAAAATGATACTGAAATCATTAGGTGTGAGTTCACATTAGTGAGAGGTCTATGTGATGTGTGTAACAAGTAGAAAAGACTAAGGGCACAATAGCCAATGCATCGATATCATGAGTCATGAAAAAGATTTCCTCTGAAAATTCCTCAAGGCTAGCCCCAATTTGAACTGGTTGTCTGCTATAGGTACAAGGTTTACCAACAAAAGAACTGATTTGTGAACAGTGTTGCAGTGACTGTCCTTGGTGCTGAATGCCATCCAATAACTTGACTGAGAACATGCTACACAATGTAGTATGCTACTCAAGATTTTTACACACAAGATTTTATACAATATCAATAAAAGAGAAGGTCTGGACAAGAAATAGCAGAAAGTCCAAAGTCCAACAATCAAGTCAGGAGAACAGAAAAAGGAGAGCCTTACCTGGTCAGGCTCCTGTTCTGGTTTGGCACACACATGAAGCAGGAGGACTCCAGGTCTGGGGAGGGGGGTGGACAGGGACATGGAGCCTGACATAGGGAAGGGTTTGGGACCAAACCTTCTGGCATCCTGTGGAGTATTGAGGGAAAAGAATGCAACAAACTAACAGTAAACAATAAGCCAAGGCTGTCACATCCTAATGCTCACATGATGTCCAGTAAATGGAAACATAAATTGACAAAAACTGAGGTAAAAATGATAGGACAAGCCAACATTAAGTTAAGTGGTATGATCATTGACTAGTCTAGGAACTTGAAAATACCTCTGCTGCCCTCATCTCTGCAAACTGCTGGGTAGTGGGAAACACAGGTTTGCCCTGTTTTAGCCACACGTTGTATGGGTTACTGTGCTGGTTGTCCAGCTGGTACAATACATACATCATATCTGCAATGTGTGAAAAACAAAATACATTAACTCAAACAAAGTCCTGAGCAAACAAGTTAAAGTTAAAAGTTTTTAAAAATCCTCCATTTACCATGGTCAAATATGGCAGTGCCCATCTCCATTTCTGTAGCCCTTGGGCCACACAGTCATGCAGTCACTACATGTATGTAGTCCACTAGTAGTGGAGTGTGTTAAACTCCCATACTCTTTCCGCAATGTGTAGTGCTAAGAGTGTATAGTCAACATTGTTTGTGCTATGTTCAATGTTAGATCCCATAGATATATCTGTGACTCACCTGTGGTGTTTTCAGGTGGTCTGAAGTTTTCCAGGCTGAACTGGACTGTGGCCATGGGATGGATGACTTCAGCCGTGTCATTACTACTGTACACCAGCGCTGATACCTGCCAACTGATTCAACAAGAAATGTTTTTTAAAAAAGCCACCCTGGCGACAATAGGTTGGATGACTATGTGTGACTCAAATAATTGGTCACCTTGGTGACTTGACCTGGACTAATGCTAATAAGACTGGAATTGATGCACAATTGTACATGTGTCATGAGCTCATTCTAACGGAGAAGAGATATTTTGTTATAGTTTGTTAGTGGTCATGTGCGGTAAAGAATTGCGTCACTTCTTGCTTCCTTTGGCAAGCCTTTCCCTCTTAAAATCTGCTTAGTTTTCATTCATATGGTTATGTTTCTAGGTGTGGTTAATCATCATAATGGCCCCATTCCCACTTAGGATAAAATAGTCTGGCTGAAGCCGAATTGGTTCGCTTTGATCTGGCTTCGATCCGGCTTGATCCGGATCAAAGCGAATCAATTCAGCTCGATCCGGACAGTTTCATCCTACTGGGAAACGGGCCAATGATCCTGCCTACCTATCTGATGAAAGTACTAGAGAGGGGGTGTGAACGGCTGCTAGAACATCCACAGGGCTATTCATGTCACCAAGACCTGCAGAAAAACAAATGTACAATGTCAATTCTAGATCTATGTTAAGCATCATTTCATTAAGATCATCAGATATTTTAATCACTTATATAACATCTATTTCCTCACTTGTGAAAATTAGTTAGTGATTAGTTACCCCTTTCATAGGAAGTAAAGTCATTGAGTAGTTAAAGATCTAGTTTACTCACTTTTTCTGTTAGGATGGTCAGTGTAGCCATGGACCTCCTCCTCCCCAAGAAGACTGAGGAGTCCCATCACTGTTAAAACTGGTTTACGGACAAACTGCACACTGTGGGGCTCAGTCTTGTTCATCTGGAATATCACAATATCATTCAATGGATACATTATGTAGTTTCAGTAAATTACAAACTAGAGCTTGACTTATAATTAGTTATTCTAAATGCAATACAGGGCATACTAGGGTCTACATTGTTTGTTTGTGACAAAGGTATTTAAATGAAAAAAAAAAAGGAAAACAGTGCCCACAGTTATTAGTACTAACTGTACTCAAATAAACCTAAAAACTTTAGTGCAACAGCAACTTTCTCCTGTTACTCATTAAGTGAGCAGGAAAAAGTTGAGGCAAAGAGAAGGGCCAGAGAAATGCATCAACAAAAGGACTGACTGGCTACCTGTAGACTCACCACACTCCATAGAGTGCCTTTCAATGTATAACCCACAAATCATATTTGTGACAACAGTAAATATAATGCTAGATTCTTGGCCTTACCTGGAACCTCGCCAGCAGTGTTCTCTGTTGGAAGTAGTGGGGATGAAAGTTCATGAAGCCGTTGTCGTTACTCAGTAGTGAGTAGGGCACATCGGCACCAATTAGAAACTTCTGGTGCATCACAATCACCTGGAAAAACAGGATGGAAACATCAAGCCTACATGCCACCACCAGGCCAGCAATGATTTTAAGCCACCTAAGGCTATGTTGATTTTATTAATACATGCAATTTTCATTCGTTTCCAAAACAAAAAGTTTTTTAACATACTGTAAATCATACAAAGCAACTGCAAAATGATCAAACACATGCCATAAATTGCAAAAAAATATTGGAAAACAATACTTATGCTGTAGAATGCCAGAAAATGTAAGAAAGGAAATGTAAAAAATGAAAATGAAGAGTCTGCTATTTGCCATACCATACTCTGTGTGTTTAGTCATCTGTTCAACCTTCATGACTGCGTAGATTTCATGAAGGCAACTTTTTTTTCCAAACTTTCTTATTTGTGTGCTCGCATCAGTTTTAGGGGTCATCCATATAATTACATCAACTTGGTCTAAGAGTCAATATTGCTAGTGTAATGACAATCAGTTGGAAGAAAAAAGGTAATAAATAGACTACATGTAACTCAGTAATAGTTTCACCTTCGCCACCATGGCAGCATATCTGACATCAGCTCTCCAGTCTTCTGCCTTACTCCAACCAACCAGAGGGTCTGCCTCACTACAGCAAAGCAAAGTCAAGCACAACCATTTAATCAACATGTTGGTTACTAGATTTTTAGGACATCACAGTGCATGGCTATTATTTTCAAGACAGTTTTAGCTGCAATGAATGTTATACTATCATCCCCATGTTCATCAGATGGGCGGGAGATGATATTTAATGTACCAGGGTTATCATCACGTGATCTTAACATAAAAACATACTTGTTATAAATGGGAACATCCTTCAGTTTTGGGTAGTCAGTCTGTATCTTGTGAATCGTGCTCATCTCGACTGCTAGAATTGTCATGGAGTAACCTGGAGTCCCCTACAGAAAAACAACAGGACAAAATGCAAGATACATATTATACATCTGTAATGCCTACCTGTATTATACATTTGTAATGCCTACATAATTATACATTTGTAATGCCTACATGCCTACATATAGCTATATACCCTATAATACAGTTACCAGAGCTCTTTAAGGAATCTTTAATAATGGTAAATCTAGCAGAAAAAAGTACTGGAATTCTGGGCCTGCAGTGCACATATATTTCCTAATTTTAATAGTTTTTTAAAAAGTTTAAGTTTATCTTGAAACAGCATAGTAGTAAGATCTTTTGTATACTCTACTTTCATGAAGTTAAGAATCTTTTTTCTCTACTTCTACTCTATACACATTTCTTTATATTACCAGAAGACTGTTACTGTAACAGTACCTTTTTGTGGAAAGATATGAAGTCCAGCCTGACCCCCCTCTCTCCAGTGAAGTAGTTTGTTCCATTTGAGCAGTGCTCTAACAGTGCCCAACAGATCTTGGAGAAACTAGGCTGTCTACAGGATCCTCCTGGGCCACCAAACTTCAGGTAGGGGCTAGCCTTTTTCAGGCCCTCTGAACAGGCATCGTAGTAATTCAGAAAACCTACAATGTGATGAAGAATGTAAGAAAAAGTTAGTTACTTCCAGTGATGGCCCAATTCAGTACCCAGGACAGGGATAGTAAGATCCATTCAGTATCAAAGACAGGGATAGTAAGGTCCATTCAGTACCAAGGACAGGGACAGTAAGGTCCATTCAGTACCAAGGACAGGGACAGTAAGGTCCATTCAGTACCAAGGACAGGGATAGTAAGGCCAATTCAGTACCAAGGACAGGGATAGTAAGGCCCATTCAGTACCAAGGACAGGCATAGTAAGGTCCATTCAGTACCAAGGACAGGGATAGTAAGGTCCATTCAGTACCAAGGACAGGGATAGTAAGGTCCATTCAGTACCAAAGACAGGGATAGTAAGGTCTATTCAGTACCAAGGACAGGGACAGTAAGGTCCATTCAGTACCAAAGACAGGGATAGTAAGGTCTATTCAGTACCAAGGACAGGGATAGTAAGGTCCATTCAGTACCAAAGACAGGGATAGTAAGGTCTATTCAGTACCAAGGACAGGGACAGTAAGGTCCATTCAGTACCAAGGACAGGGATAGTAAGGTCCACTCAGCACCAAGGACAGGGATAGTAAGGTCCATTCAGTACCAAGACAGGGATAGTAAGGTCTATTCAGTACCAAAGACAGGGATAGTAAGGTCCATTCAGTACCAAGGACAGGGATAGTAAGGTCCACTCAGCACCAAGGACAGGGATAGTAAGGTCTATTCAGTACCAAGGACAGGGATAGTAAGGTCCATTCAGTACCAAGGACAGGGATAGTAAGGTCCATTCAGTACCAAGGACAGGGATAGTAAGGCCAATTCAGTACCAAGGACAGGGATAGTAAGGTCTATTCAGTACCAAAGACAGGGATAGTAAGGTCCATTCAGTACCAAGGACAGGGATAGTAAGGTCCATTCAGTACTAAGGACAGGGATAATAAAGTACTGTTTCCATGTAATATAACCACAAGTAGTGCACATACATAAACAAATTTATGTTACCTTGTACAGTAAAGTTCAAGTTGTCAAAATCATGGTGGTCAGGCTCATTCCAAGTCTCAAAGTTCCACTTTTCCACATAACCATCACCATACTCCTCTGTGGGCAGAAACAAGTATTGAAAACCAACATAATGTGCCATTTCTGTGTACCAACAAGGTAAAGTGGTGTGGCCTAACCTGTAAAATATAATATAGTTATGTACAGAAAATACTATGCAGTGTATTCCATGTCACCCGAGATACCAGCCTGACCATGGCTGGAAATATTCTAATTATGTCATTAAAAAAAAACTTTCAATGTGAAATGTGTCTGAAATTAAAAAAGTTAGATGTCACAAAAAATGGTAACAATATCAATTCTAATGCCTGAGTCCAGGATTCTAATTTTCGCAAAGTGGCGCACTCGAATTACGTTCAATTTATTCCATGGAACTTTTGGAAACCTGTGTGATAACCAATAGACTCCCATGTGATACACCTGTATTGAATGTTACCATGGCCCAGTTATGACATAAAAGCAGGACGTCGGCAGAACGTACTGCACCTGCGCGAAACCCGTAATGTATTGTACATAGCATTTCGGCAGAACGTCTCATATAAGGTTGTACTCGCTCATATAAGGTTAGCATTTTGACAGTAGTTTCCAAATGTTATGTCGGAAAGAATATCCTCTGCAACAAGCAAAATTCTGATGACCAAAAACCCAACAAAAAACGCGAAAATACGGGGTTCTGCGCAGGCGCAGTACGTTCTGCTGACATGCTCATAAAAGCATACATGTACAAATATGACTTACCGATGTACCTATCTGCCATCTGATACACCAGGTCTCTCCACATATACACCTGAGTCTTGTTTTCAAAGTCAGTGAAAATATTGGAAGGATTTCCCATCAGCTCAAAGCCTGGGAACATGCCATTCTGCCACAGGTTGTCCACCAGGTTATCCAGTAGGGTGAAGTTATAGACTGGATGTCCTGATTCCAGTCTAATATGAATATATAATTACATTTTATTGTTGTACATCTTTTAAATATGGCTCTTGCATAAAAAACACTGTACAATCTACAATTCAGTCATTTGTGGTGCGTTTGTTTTTAATACAGAAACCATTCTCTCTCTCTCTTTCTCTCTCAGTCTGGTCAATTACAATATGCTACAATTATTTCATTCTACCCTTCTGCTCTATATTGTGGATTCCATTACACTACGTACTGCACCAAGTCATGACTACTAAGATGTGTGTCTCCTGACGTACCTTGCAGTCACCAGATCCAGAAGCCAGTGGATACGGACCTGTTTGATACCACCCTGTGGTACCGAGCCAATCAGGGCCAAGTTCTGTACCTCATCTTCACTCAGATCGTACAGGTCTGCCCTCTGGTGAGGAAGAGGGGGACTGCAGAGACAGGTTAACAGGTACTTGACCCCTCAAGGGACTTCAAAGTCGCATAACACAGTATTTAACGTTATGGGTGAACCCCCCTTAATTATAGAAATCCCCATAGGGCAAAAAGTGTGTACTGCTACATCAAGAAAATGCTCACACTGAAAATGTGGTCATGATAGATACGGTTCTTCAATGAGAAAATAATCTTCAAGTTTAATGTTGTTCTTGTCTTGTCTAGATAATCATCTGCATTCTAGTCAGTTTCACTGTTCATAAATCTGTCATGATATCTGCTGCAGTGAGCATTTGACCAGCCCCTTAATTAGCCTAGCTATGTATTCATTTTTAAGGCACAATTTGGCGGTATAAACCGTGAGAAGGAATTCCTATATGAGGTCATATGGGGTCACGAGAAATCACATGACACAAACTTATGACAAGTTGTTATTTGCCGCATACGTAGCATTATATTCATGCTTCTTAATACACACGTATTCCTATATACAGGACTCTATACGCTATCCAAATTAGCCCTACAGTGTATAGTAACTACAGGTATATCTATAAACGATCTGAAGCAAATTGATTATGACGATCTGAATTTTCTACTCACCAAAATCCCGTGCTCTCCCAGAAATGGGTCAAGTTTCGGACGATTTTGGAGGCGTCCACGTGCACTTGGTACGTTGTCAATCCCTCGGCGCCATCAGGAGAACAGTTGATGGATAATAATAGAAAAACCAACCAAAGAAACGCACACCCCGACATGTTGTTGTTGGTCAGAACTAGTCGCTCCACTTCCGCAACGTTTTCCCGCCAGTCAGCTGTTTAGGGTTAAAGGTCACGGCGTCTCGTGCCCAGGATTACTACATGCATGTAGATGTCGAACAGTAAGTAATTTTTGGCGACGCCTCCGGAGCGGAGGCATTTGTGTACGTACTACGATCGCTTTGAAAGAATTTTAAAAATTGCACGAATGCATTCCCTAAGGAATTGCTTTTGAGGTAGCCTTTGGCTAGCCTGGGTACCATCGAGCGTTACAAGACCCTAAATTAGGGTTTCAAAACCTAAATTAGGATTTTTGGATCCTGAGCCCTGGTATTACAACCAAATGATCTGAAATTCGGTATAAGGGTACCTTGAACGTGTGTCTACAGAATAGTAGTCACATATTTGGCATACACCACTTCCAAATGACTCATTTGGGGGACTTTAATGAATATTTTCAGCAAAAAAAGGGCCAAAAGTGCTGTACCCGTTCCATGTTCTATCTAAAGAATGGCCGGTTCCATCCATGGAACACGTGTTCCATTGCGGGTTACCTGAGGTCACATTGCACCTAAGTGGTGCATAATGACCCACAAATTCAATTTTATGTGCCTAAGACCTTCAAAATGTATCAAATCTCATCATTGTTAGTTTTTGCATACCTGTAATAAGATAGGTAAAGCTTTCGAGATTCAAAGTACTTGTTGCATCTTTGTTCTCATATAGCTACTATTTAATTCATTTATTTGACAACCTTTGCCAGTTTTGCACTGGGGTAAGTTTGGAATAGTCCACTTTTGTGTGGGAGGGAGATGGACTGAAATATGCTGTATTTGCTCCCAAGCAAATGTCGGCCTTTCTAGTTTAGGGTTTGTTACCCTAATTTAGGGTTTTGTAACCCTGATTACTTGAGTGAAAAACTTGAGTGTTTTGTAACCTTCATTTAGGGTTTTGTAACCCTAATTTAGGGTTTTGTAACCCTAATTTAGGGTTTTGTAACCCTAATTTAGGGTTTTGTAACCCTAATTTAGGGCTTTGTAACCCTAATTTAGGGTTTTGTAACCCTAATTTAGAGTTTTGTAACCCTAATTTAGGGTTTTGTAACCCTGATTACTTGAGTGAAAAACTTGAGTGTTTTGTAACCTTCATTTAGGGTTTTGTAACCCCAAATTAGGGTTTTGTTAGTTTATGAGGTTTGTAATGTCCTCTGTGTTGGTGGCGGCATTAATATAAGTTGAAAAAACTTGAGTGTGCCGTCACCACGTCTTGTGATCACATGCATCCTCTGGACGCATCCTCTGGACGCTAAACGCTGTGATTTGGGCATACCATGTGTCCTTGTCATTTTTTATCACTGTCCTTTAAACTATGACACTCCATCTGGGGGCAATAACGCATTAAAAAATCATTTCGATTCAGTTTTCAGATACTGAGCAATTCTAGAATGTCCACATGATTTCACATTTTCGACAAAACGCTTTTAAATTTTTTTTGTTGCCACATGATATTACATTATTTTCAGTTTAATATATCATACGCCTGCCAGCTAGTGTAGCTAAAAGTCACTATTCACAGAAACATTCTACTGACTTCAAAGACTTCCTTCGTTTCTTTGAAAAGATCCCAAAACACGTCTGAACATACCACAGATTTCTTTAACGTCCTAGTTACAACAGGTGGTCAGAGAAGTTAATTAATCAGACCAACACGAAGTAAAAAAAACATCTGCAAAGATCCTATAATTTCCTCCAAGCTTTATTAGTCTGGAGCTAAGCTAAGAATTATTCAACTTTTTTTCAGCGTGGCAACAGGGGGGGGGGGCTTGAAAGTACTGATGTTGTGTTGAAATTACGAAATACTGTCGTTTCTTTTACCGTATCATAGTAGATTTGTGCATTAAAAATTACAACACAAATATTCGTGTGTAAGGAAAACGCACTCATCCTGGCTATTTGTTCTCTATTTAGTTTCTAGTCTCATAACAGAATATGTTAGCATTTGATCTGTTTGTGTATTTTATGTTTAAAAGATCGCAATATTGTTGTTATATATAACGTTATGTAATTTGTAATTTTACGAATTGAGTTCTACATTTGGGGTTTATTGTTTTTACAATACCTATAGAGGTAATTTTACTCACCAGATCATTATAATAACGCCAATTTCGTAATTCTAAGCGTAAAAAGAAACACACTCTCAGCTACTGTAATCACCCATCACACATCCACTCGTCACACATCCACATATGAAATCCACAACACCACAGAACAGTCAGAAACTGAGGGGTACACTCACTTAGACAATTTATTAAAACTCTTCAACCTTAACAAGGTTTGGTTCTTATTGTATAACGTCTATGGTGGTGCCAATATTAGTCATACATGAGGTATCATTTCAGGTCGACACTACAAAGATTATCTCAATAAGACCACACAGTGTAAAATATCTAGTATTACGATCGCCAATACAAATGTTACAAATATTGAGATGGCACAACCATTCAAGTATTATTCAATATCTCACACATCGTATTATCCAGTTAATATTAACAGATTGTTTCTAGGCATATGATTTGTATCCATCAACTTAAAATCATATTCACCGTTAATTCTACTAGTATACATTAATATGACAGTATTTCACAATAGCAACATCACAGTCAACAGTTGTGAACTCTGTTGTTGAAATGTTGTCTCTTTGCTTATATGTACCATTTCTTTGTGAATGTCCATCTCAAATCATCTGAAAGTACCACAGCGACTATACGTGGAACACTTTGCCATGTGATATGTCATACTCAAATCATCAGTATAATATATTCTGTTAGGCACACATGGCAAGATAGAGGTTATATGGCCTTGTAGGGAATACATGGATCATAACACGAACAGTAACGTTAAATGTTTATGTTTACCTTCGCACAATGAAGGCATAGTAGTATTGTTTGCTCTGTTTTTTCTTCTTCTCCATACAAATAAGGTCAATGACCTGGACCAGATAGCTGTAACCATGGCTTTAACAGACACCCTGTGGTGTTGGGTTACATTATGTAGCAATTAATCCGACAGGATAGGAGGGGATGGTCACCAAATATAAGAAAGCGTTTGAGAATAAACAGTGCAGTAGTTTGTTAGCCTGCTGGATTATATTTATGACGATTATTATTCATCAGATCCATACGGAATGCTTGTAGAGAGCCCTTTGAAGCTGATCAGGGCCTTGAAATTTGAACAGATGTATATGGAACACAGTACAACAGATTGCCCGACAAACCCATCATATCAATTGAGGAATCACAACTTCACAGGCATAGCACACAATGGCACATTTAGTGTTCGTTGTCCACTGGTTATAGGTAGTGTATTGTAGATCAGCCGGTCGCGCGCTCGAATCCCAGTTGTTGTCGCATATCTCAATCCGACTTGCACTCAAAGCTGTGCACACTTTGGGGGGATACTGCATTATAGAGATCTGTCAAACACAATATATGAATTTTTCAAAGTGATAGACATGATGACTATTCATTACACAGCAACATTTGTTTTCAATATGAAGATAAGATTAATATTCAGTATGCTAGTAGTCTCTTGTATCATGTCCAAAATATGTGAAAAGCTTCTTTACTGACTTGTGTTACAAGAAGCAGAATCAATGTAAGAGATAATTTTTACAGTTATACCAGGCTTTCAATATGGCCTGGATCAATCTTGTATCTGACATTGTATTACTTTCGTCTTCATGATATTTGTAGATAACAGCACGTTTCTGACTACAGCCATGTGTTACACGTACAGTTTTCCATTGGTACTTTCAGATAACCAACCTCATTTATAGCGATGACCAACTTTTGCTTAACAAGGCTACGATGTTTAAGGTTTTTATCGTCCTTAACAATACAGATCACATATCTCTTTTTGTTGACAAATTGGAAATGCTCTATACATCATATTTCTCATTATGAACATTACATAATTGTGATGTGAATTTTCAGAACGGTCCCTTTTATTTAGCAATCAACTATCAATCTAACATAAGATAGGCACTGCCATTACACACTAGGTGGAAAGGAAAATACATTATGTTAATTCTAGCTACAAACACCAGTTACCATTTTGCACATTATGTTAATTCTACAAACATCAGTTATCATTTTTGCACAATCCAATATTTCTTACTATTGTATTGACACCACCAGTATTGCAAGGTTGATATGCTATTAATTATTCCACATTTGATTGTCTAATTTATTTACAGTTACAATATATCGTCATAACCAGGAAGGAGTATTGTGGCTGTATGTTTTGTTTATAATTAAGATTGAATCTTCTAGTTTTATGGTATAATGGTATTTTTTTTCTTTGATAACCAAAATACTGGAATAATTCATACAGTTGTTGTAAATACTGCTCATACATGAAATAGTGAGAAGCCCCGGTTTCCTCCTTCCTGATTTCCATCTTAGAAAATTGCTACGTTTATCATAATATTAAAAAAAAGTGTTGCTAGAATTGGAAATTGGAGCAGCACTCTACAAGTACTGGTATCCAGTCTATCGTGGTTGGGTCAGGCTGTCTTCGGGGCTATAACGTTATTAGGTTTAAGTAGAGATAGTAGGTTCGATACGTATATCGTACACGTAGAAGTTGTTAGCAAATAGTCTTATATCACCACATTTTTCTTGTTAATGTCTGTATGAAATTAGCCCTCGGGCATGAATTTGCAATAAACATCTCAATCTCAATCTCTAATAGTTTCCCCCGCCCATATCAACAGACCGCCCGGTAGATTTGTTACGCCTGTGATAGAGTTTGGCACGCCGGGAGTTGATTAGCGTGGTGGGGATAATCAAACTCCCGCCGTGCAGAGCCTACCGGGGAACCTAGCTCAGGCGGGCGGGGAAGATCTTCAGCAGCCCCGAAGAAAACCCGCCCCAACCGCGATAGAACGGACACCTATTAACTACAGCCTGGATGCTATTCTGGGAACAGCCATTCCAAAGGCACACTAGTCGCAACTAAGGAGAATATAACATCCTGGCCATATTTGCGTCCCTCAGACGGCTGTACAATTTTTTTCGACTTCAAAAATTCTTAATGTAGGGACGAACATTTCCAAGCAGTTACAGGATGGTAACATACGTGCACATTTCTAGTATGAAGTATGTATGTTCACTTGCATGTATGCAAGTTTGTCTAACTTTGACGTTTATAACACAAACAAGAATGAAACATTTTCTAGCTTTCATTCATTCATCACGATTTTTGCATGTTGAATAATGTTGAATTTTTTGTTATTTTTCGTGTCATTATTATGAGAGCCTAGAAGACATCAACTTTTGTTTTTATGACTTTGGCCCCTACCATATGCAATCTCTAATGTTACGCCTGTGGTCGATGGTCATTAAATATATATTAATCATATTTATTATGTTTTAAAACATTTACCACATGAACACATGATTTAACAAATTTCGTCGTCAATTATGCAAATTATTCTCCCGATTTGTATTATTTGCAACTATAATAAACTATGTGAATCACCCTTCTTGAGTTACTCTCCTTCAAAGTTTTAAAGTAAACTGAAATAAATACTAACATACCAAATATCATCACGATCAATCCACAACTTCTAACGTTATGATGTTGCTCTGTCTGCGTCGCGAAATATCATTATAGAATGTTGGTGTTTTTTCTATGAGAAATAACATTATGCTATACGTTTTGTTACATTTGGACGAGGAAAAAAGGTTAGCATTTCTGTTGACGACTTTCAGTCAAAGCTGATTGACAGAATTGTGACACATTTTTGGGGGGTGGGGGTGGTAATTATAGTAAAATTTCAAATTTGGGCGAGTGATCATGTCCAATTGTCCAATAATCAATAAAGATGTCGGAACGAATTTCGTGTCCATTCCTCTCTTCTGTACTCACTGAATCTGACAGTTACGCTGGTTCATAGCTGTTTGTCTCGGGGTTTTCTGGGGTGTTGTTTACTGCCTCTCTACGGTCATTCTGGCAGTAGGTACCTGCCTGAGACCCGCCAGCACCGGCCGTAGGGGAGGGACAGACGTACCTGTTCGGCTCACCCGTGGCGGCCTGGCCTGGATGGTTTTCATCATACATGGCGGACTGAGTACCGGTCTCACTACCAGGCGAGGCGGCGGGCTGGTAGGTATTGGCCATGGGGGACGCCGCGGAGTTGCAGACTGCCTCGCTAGGGTCATGCTGGTCATATGTGTTGGACAAGGTGCGCTTTAGGTTAGTGGCCAGGGCGGGGGAGTTGTAGCAAGGTGCCTTGCGGGCACGCTGGGCGGCGCTGGCATTCTGCTGGTAGGCAGAGGACTTGGTGGCACCCGGGTTGGGGAGGATGGAGGGGTGCTTGTAGCAACTTTGGTCGGACTTGTCGCGACCATTTTGGTCATAGGCAGCCAGGACGGCCCCTGCCCTTTTTGGTTTCTGACGGGGACGCTCGGTGCTGTACGGGCGGGACGGCACTGGGTGTGTGCGCGCGCGGGGGCGGCCTGACGCGCGGTACGCTGGGCACAGCTTCGCCAGCCCGTAAGGGGCGATTTCTGACTGCGAGGATTCGGCCCTGCGCAAGTCAGGGTGGTCATTGAAACCACCCTCAGCGTAAGGGCTGATGACAGACTCTGAATCAGTAAAGCTGTCGTGATCCTCCAAACGCCCCTCAGCGTACGGACTGATCACTGACTCCTCCGAGTTGCCACCTGGAAGGGGCCACATGGAGCAGGCAGCGATCTGGTGGCCATCGCGGGATGGACCTGCAATGTTATCAGGGACATTGCGCTTGAGCTTCTGCTTGATACAACTGGTCAATGCACATACCCAAACCCCTACCGCAGCAGCCGACAACCCGCCCAGAGCTGCCCACACGATGTACCATGTGAGATCTGCATCATCGCTCGTGCTAGTAACCATCGGTGTAGTGCTGATGCCACTGGACAGTGGTGTAGTGCTCATGCTGACTGAGAAAGGTGTCGTGTTGAGGAGTGTCAGCTCGGTTACTTGTAGTGTTGTCATGTCAGAGTGTGTGCGCGCGCTCACCGCGAAGACTGCAGTGTCGGAGCCAGTTTCCGAAGAAGCCGTACAAGTGGTGTTCCCAAAGGACAAGGGCTCGGCGGTCTCAAGCCAAAGGGTGAAGCTGGACCTCCCCATGTAGTTAGAACACAGGCTGTGATTTCCTGTTTGCCCTAACAGGTTTTCTGGTCCCTTACATTTCACCCAGCCCTCAGCCTTTAGGTCGGTCACCACTCTCACGGTTAGGTTGCCTGTCGGGAGACTGTCGTGTGTGGTCGTGTGTGTGTCGTATGTTATGTTGAGTGTGTGATGTACACCGTCAGGGAAGGCAAAAGTCACTGTTGGCAATTGTTCCCAATACACGTCGCCAGCGGCTTCGTACCTGTACGCGGCGCTGCACTCAACATGCGTAACCTCAACCAGCGGTACAGGGCAGGGCAACCCGTTGGGATTGACCGGAGCCGGGGGAATTGGCAGCGGCGAGGCGGGGCAGCTTGGTGGGGGAGGGCGGACCATGATTGCCCGGATAAACTGCTGCTTGATCTTAAGGGTGTTTCCCTTGTGTTCGTACAGCCAATCGTTCGCACACGTGCAGCGCGGCAGGTTGCCGAGCCAGATTGAGATTCCCCGCGCCTGGGGCAGGGCCCTCCCTTCCGTAGCCATAGCGGCAATATCATTTCCACGCATGTTGAGACTGTGTGGAAATGACGATTTGAACCAACCACCAGACAGGAAGGTCAGCCTGTTTCCCGCCAGATTTACAGAACCAATCAACGTATTTGAGTGGAACGCGCCCTCAGCAATGTGGGAGATTCTGTTACCCTCCAGGTTCACGACTCGCAGCCGTTCAAGCCCGTAGAACATCTCCACGCCGATAGATCGCAGTTTGTTCTCAACCACGCGGACATATTCTACGGACTTGATCGCCTGCAAGGTCCCCGGTGCTACAGTAGCGATAAGATTCGCACTTACGTCAACCCACCGCGGCTGCACTCCCAGGAACGCGCCAGGCGACATCGTCAGGATTTGGTTGTCCACAAGGATGAGGTAGGACAACCTGGGCAACCCATGAAAGCAGCCATCCTGCAGCAAATCATACTTAGTACTGAGCTTTGTATGAGAACATCAAAGTATTGATTATCAAAGTAATTAAAACGAATTACCAACGTATTTTCCTCATCTACATCTACCTCCCTGTATTGGGTATAGGGACTGGAATATAACGAAAAAAGAAAACGTCAAAATTCTATGCCTGGGAGAAACAGTCCACTGGGACTAGAACCAACAACCTATAAGATTTATAAGTCTATGAGTCAAATTTGAATACATCTTTGACTAGGTTAGCAGGCTCTTAAACATGAAAACTAAGGAAGCCCCCTTTTATAAGAAAAACTTTAAGAAAAAAACTTTAAGAAATTGAACCTAAAATATTGATATGAAGAATTGTGAGAAACGCATGCTAATTCTAAATTCTCACCTCCAGACGTGTGATGTTATTCTCCAAGAGCAGCAGATTCTCGAGACGCCCCATCCCAGCAAACGTGCCGTTCTTCAGAGTCTGGACATTGCTCCGCCAGATGACCAGCTCAGACACCTGTGGCAACTTAGCAAACGCCCCTAACTCTATTGCCGTTAGGTTACAACCCACAAACCACAACCTGCAATCTGTACTACATGGGACCTTTGAGAGGATGTCTGCGTTTTCAATGCCAAGCTTGCCGACATTGTTGCCAACAATCATGATATTGGTTATCGTGTATGGTGAAGGGTTCTGAGTGGGACCCCCCTGGGTAGGCCTTGTTTCGTTTGAGCAGACCTGACAGGATTGAAACGGCTGAAACAAAGGCACAGTGTCGAAGGGACCCCTGTAGCTGGTAACTTCAAGCGGGTATTTGGTCCACTTGTGCCGGTACGCCCCAATGTCATACCGGTACTCGTGACCATCGCTACGGCTGTCACCTACACCACACCTCGCCACGGACACCTCACGGCAGCTCTGCCAGCTACCTGCATCCACACATGGCACTAGCAGCTGCATAAGCAGCAACAAAGAGGTTTTAGCCATAAGCTTTATCGCCATGATAGAGCGTTAACACACCATACTATTGATAGCAATGAGCTACAACGGAAGATTATTTTACCATAATTCCCTTACCAGAGGATTTTACAAAATGTTACCGTCAGTTTCTCCACAACTGTAGGGTGACCTGGACAGCACAGAAATCAGCCGTGTTGCCGCCGAAGTGGCGCAACGGTGGTCTGATTCCACCCGATCACACAGTTTATTACAGGTTTTGATTGAATAACTCTCCGCTATATCTAGGACGACATGAAAGAACTGAAGCATTCTTAGCCAGAAGATATTCACAAGCCACATACTTTGCGACATTTCTTCTGGCAAACAGAAACTTATAATAAAGACAGGTCTTTGATAAAAATATACATTGCTTTATAGCAGCTATCTTGCTAATAGAATATATTTATTTTTTTTCAAACTCATCCTGTATCAATCTGGAGATATTTTGGTACGAACACATAACGTTGATTCATCAAATCAGTCTGTACTGTTAGTTTCCGATTCAATTCTGTGCTTAATTCAGCTGGAATATGATACTGACATAGCGAGGCTAGCCAACTTCTCGTCTAGAGTTCCTCGCAGCTCAAGGGCCCGCATGTTAGTGCCACTGAGAGTGAAAACATCACCATTCGCCTCCTCCTCGGTGTCACGCATCATCAGTGGAACAAACTAGACGTCGAAACCAGAGAGCTGGGGTCAACACGGAGAGTCCGACTGATGTGGCTGCTTTCAAAAGAAAGACTATGCGTAATAGACTTAAACGTCAAATTTATACTTCTGTTAAAGTAACTTTAAGTCGCCATTTAGAGAAACAAAAACGATCTACTGACTTCAAAGACTTCCTTCGTTTCTTTGAAAACAAAAGATGAAAGCTCCCAATGTACGTACGAACATACCACAGATTTCTTTGACGACCTACTTATAACTGGTGGTCAGGATGTATTCATGCCCACGCGAAGCAAAACAAAAAACAACAAAATCTGCAAAGATTCTATAATTTCCTATAAGCTTTATCAATTGTATTTAATTTTGTTTAGTTTAGAGGAGGAGGGTCTTGTATAAGCTTTTCATGCTTCTTCCCTCCTCCTGCACCAGTCTTTATCCTTGTTTTGTGTTATTACTTTCTGTTATTATTTGATGTGCAAATGATGTGTATCAGCACAGTGTGTGTGTATGTATGTATGTATGTGTGTGTGTCTGTGTGTGGAGTGGGGATGCCTTTAGAACCAGAATTTTGACCCACAAGTTCGTCGAGTCATTAATATTGACTACGGAATTTATTACTGAAATTTACTACAGTAACTTCCTTCGAAAATTCCAACCTAACTCATCTATGCCCAGGGTCTGCTGTGGATGCTACATATAGTTATGTCTATAATTATGCAGGACTAGAGCATGTCGTTCCTTCTCGAAGTAATTTTGGTACCGATCTTCATCATTAGTGATGTCAACATGATTATTTGGAATTATTCAATATGTATAATTAACCTAAATTACTCCTGAGAACACCACATCTTCAGAATAGTATCTTATTACATCTTAAAGCAACTTTCATCTGAATAAAAACCTTAAAGATACTTGTATTTAAGAAATATGTAACATGTATACTCATACTTTCACCGAACAGAAAAAAAAGAATGCATTATGTCTAAAATAATCTAACTATAATCAAGTTGAATTTTGGAGTTAAAGTCAGCAGTCCTGGTCTGTCCTTGGTGCTGAACTGAGCTGCCTCTCTCTGTATATTTCCACCAACTGTGGGCAGGGGATGAAAAATAACAAAGGTAAGTATGCCACAAACATTTGAATAACTTAGTCCTTTTGTATTATTAAAAATGTTAAATCAAAAGCAGCAAAAAAATCTAATAGCACATTCACAGACTGAAAATAAAGTCAATTGGACTGTTTTATGGGTGGAGGTGTATGAGTGAAAACAAATTTAGTGTTCTAAAATACAAAGTTGACAAACCTTTTTGCAGAAGTGGTAGACTGGGAAACCTTCCACATTAAAGTAGTCCCCATGTATTCCCTGCACCAGGCTGGAACCAATGGCCTGGATCCCATACCCTCCTGCCTTGTCCCTGTATAGATGTACATCAAGGAGGGTTATTAATTATTGTGTTAAGTGGGGTCGTGTGGCGCAACGGCAGCGTGCGCGACTTGGAATCAAGAGGTCCCGGGTTCGAGTCCTGACATGCTACCGATCTTGTGCCCTCGGGAAAGGCACTTTACACAACTTTCCCAACTAGACTCAAGTGAAAATGAGTATTGTCTGTCCAGTATTCGTTTCTATGTGCGGGACACAACACCAGCAACAGCTGCCTCTGTTCCGCGTGTATTGCACTGTTGCAATTTCAATAAATCAAATCAATTCCCAGGAGTAGCAGACTGTGTAGACTGCATTGCTCACCCCTTGTTTCAGTGACATTGCATTATTGCCTCACAGGTATCAGTATGCTATGGCATAGGGTTGAGTCAACTTTCTACACTTAAAAAATTGCACAAAAATCTACCTTAAAAATCCAGTTTTACTGCCATAAAATCACTTTGGTAGTTTGGTTGTCTTTAACAGAAGGTCTCACTGTCACTAAAAATTTACCATTGTATAGTGTACGAACACTGTGTGAAATTATCACATTCAAGAATGACGTTTACAACTCACATGGGTTCCCCTGTTGCTACGTAACCCTTCAGCATCTCATCTGTCAGGTCTCCAAAACACACTTCTGTGGACTCATGGAACTCTACTGTGGCAAATTTCTCTGTGCCTGTAATATGCACATGTCAGTCATTGTTACACAGACAAGTCAGATGCATTACAAGACTACATGTATAAAACAATTTCAAACTTACTGTTGGTGCCTTAAGTTGAAGTCTACTAAGGCCACATCAGTTTAATCAATATTGTTCTTGGATTTGCCTGCTTCATTTTTTTGTGATTTGCAAAAAAAACAAACAAACAAACAAACAAACAAACAACATTTTAGGCTCTGAACTAACTTCAAAATGCTTACATTTTGGCCCCAACAGTTTATGTATTTAGCATTATATATTTCACATAATATAGTACACTTTTCAATTTTAAGTTTAGCTCCAATTCAAGAAATGGATATCTTACCTGTGAGGGAAGGTACAACTAGTACAACACCTGTGACAACTTCGTGTGTTTTTGCATTCAACCTGGAAGAATCAACATCGACAAAACATACTTATCAAAATCCCATCATAATCAATGTTTTTATTTCTGATATTTTTAGGACCCAGATAAATCTAGTCATGATTCATATGTGTGGTGCATGGTATTTCATACGTCATATTTCAGAAGAATACAAACTTGCTGTCTGAATAAAAAATAAAATATATCACCTTTTTAGTATCTTGAAAGCATCTTCTTCATCTGCTGGCTTTTCTATGATGTCACTTCCCAGTGACTGTTGGGAAATGTGCAGAAGAAAGTTTGCACTTACAAAGGTAAAATAAAAATCAGTACTACTACCACTAGTTTGGGCTTGTTATTTCTTCTCAATTCTTGTAAGTTGTAATACAGAGTATTTTTACAACCACTTGGAGTGCCTGACATCATTTTATATAATGGTTCATTTCAAATGCAAAATTGCAAAACAGGCTTTAAGCCAGTGTTGATATCACACTTCAGAGAAGTCACGTGACAAGTCTCACTGGGTCAGTCTATTGAAGAAGACCAGAGTGACTGGTTGAAAGTTCTATAGCTAGGCGAGAACAATCTCTTGTGTTTGAACAAAATTTTTAACTTTAAATGTGTAACTATGTATACCAACTCAGATGAACATTCAGAAACATTGAGTCATGCATGGCATTAATATGACATATTATACTGTGGACAACATCTTCTGCAAGTGTCAGACTTACCACAACAGTATCTGCTCCTATTATGAGGTCTGGCTTTTTAACCTGTGTGAATAGGAAATGTTGGATACTTTGTTTAAGAAAATCTGACAGTTTTAAACAAGTGTTGCTCATCTAATGGGGTCAGGCAGTTTGTTGCTTTAGGGATTATATGGATGACATCCTCTGGGAACCCCAACAAGTGAAGCAAGTGTGTGAATAAAATAAAGTTTGGCAAGAAAAAGTTTGCCCATCTAAAATTTGCATTTGCTCACCAATAAATATGCTTACCCGTAATTTATGTACTAGTATCATGTAACCAAAAATGGTGATCGTTCGCATACTGGTACTATTATGGCCAGATTTGACCAGCACGTCGGCAAAACGTACTGCGCCTGCCCAAAACCCCCATTTTTCACAGTTTTCGTTGGATTTTTGGTCAACGTTGCATTAGAATTTTGCCTGTTGCAGATGATATTTTTTCTGACACAACATTTAGAAACTACAGACGGGATGTTAACCTTATATGCGGAAATGAGACGTTCAACCGAAGTGCTATGCACAATACATTATGGGTTTATTGTGGGCATTATAACTGTTGTTTCTCACAGGTGCAGTGCGTTCTGCCAGCATGCTGATTTAACCTGACTTGATTGTACATTACCTGACTGTACAGTCTGTCAGCCACCTCCAGTGCCTTCCCTCTGGCCGTGGCTTTGGCATACTCATGGGGGCCTGCAAAGGATGACTTCTGCAGGTTTTCTTCAAACTTGGATGGAACAACTTCAAACTTCAACCCCTTAACAGTGGTGAAAACAAATGAAAGAAAATAATTAACACTCATGTATCCGTGAAATTCTGTTATATTTTATGAGCCGTTTAACTTTACTTTTAAACAATTTCTAATTTATTTACAAATGTATAACTATAACTGCTAGATGAAAAGCATGATATTAGCAAAATCACGTATCCTAACCACCATAGAGCTAATAATGTGTAATTTTGTAGAAAAGGTGATGGAACTAAATTTTACCACTCCGTGCCCAGCAAAGTGCTCTCTACTCTACTCAGGTGATCGATGAGGTGTGGTCTAGCCAAGGAGGTTTGATTTTAAACCTCCTTGGTCTAGCCAACAATGCAAGACATAGAAATAACGTGAAGAACCCACTATCCTCTTTAAGATTTCCTGTCTTCTTGGAGACCCGCTGGCGAGGACAATTCTCTGTTCAAGGATTGTTGGAAGAAGAGGTTGCAGCATCTTGAAGTCTGTTTCCCCAGGATAGACTCACGCCTGCACTTTCTGACCCCTGACCTTAATAGGACGACGACACTATTTAGTGGGGTACTGCTTCTTTTCTGTAAAAAAAAACATCGGAAATATCATCAAGCACATTAATTTAGACTACACATAAACTGTAGAATTCTTTTATTTATTGTCTTACAGAAAAGCACTTGTAATGTCAATTTTAGGCTTCTAAAGATATCTAAAATGCAAAGTTCCACCACTATTTTCCAAGTGGTCTGCTCCATTGAGCCATTTGGGAAGGCGTTGCATCATCATCATCATCATGGCTGCGCCCGTTGGTATTTTTCTCTGCAGACGGAATTTTTCCGGCACTGCGGGTTTTCCTGGTGTTGTGTTCTCTATATTGAGACATAAACGGCAAGATGACTTCGACCAGAGATGGAAAAACACTGGTTGTTCCCGCCGGCAGTTTTGCCATGGACACGGTAACGTTAGAAACGATTTTCTTTTACCGGTGTCGTATTTCCGTATCACTATAGCTAGCTACTAAGCTAGAGCACATTTTACCTTTGCCAAGAAGGTTATGCTTTCGATTGCGTTCGTGTGGATGTGTGTGTGTGTTTGTGTGTGTGTGTGTGTGCGCGCGCGCGTGTGTGTGAGTGTTAATATTTGGTAGGTGGGTAGGATGAGACGTCGAAATGATTGGATTTTGGGCCCCCTGGCGGCTTGTTATGGTACTGCAGCGGAACCACCGGCATTGTCACATGTATCTCGTAATCTAAAGCTAGGGTCACAAATTTTGGAGGATAGGTAGCTCTTGTGCTCGGGAAGATGTAAGTTTGGACCCCCTAGCAGCCTGTTCTGGAACTGCAGGAGAGTTTGTTTAAAAATCTGAACTTCATTTAATATGTCTTTCAGTCCCAGATTTCCTGCCCAAACGGCTGAGCCTAGAGCCTGATAAGAAACTGGCAGCCAGTGCACCTATCTTCCGTGCGGTAGGTCACTTTTAATGAAATATTATGTACCGGTACATAATAAGATATTTAAAATAATTCAAGCCTCATGATTTAACTTAATCAGTTCTGAGAATTAAAGGTAATTAGTGATCAGTGGCAGAAATTCAAATGCGTGATTTGTAATCAGTACCCCCAGTGCAGATTCTTGTGGAAAAGTGCATCAAATTTATAATATAATATAAATATTATTATAGAAAATTCATCTGTCCAGTTTTGTCAGAAGGACTTGTATTCAGTCTCAACATGTTTATCTCTTCAGGTGAAATTCGGTGCCGATGGAAGACATACAAGATTTGGTAAACATCCGACTTTCTTGTCGTTTCATGTATTATGCTCTTTGTTTATGACATTATTTTAAAAGTTTCAAATATAGACTTAAGTCATCATGTCATGTATATGTATACATATGTACACATGAAACTTGCACGCTACAATGCCTATCATGTGTATGTGTTTAGTTCCAGCATGCTATAGATAATAATAATATGGTTTTTGAAATACAGTAGAAGCCGCTTATTTGAAAAGCCAATTTGTCAGCACATTTTTTTCAAATACCCGGCCTTTCCGATTAAGAGACTCTGAGGCTCAAACTCTCGGCCTTCATTGAAACTATGGGGGTGGGGGGTGGACAGGGCATCGAACACATAACGACACAAAGAATACAAACACGAGTCACATTTACGCATTAAAAACAGTGAACTTTATTGAGATCGGTAAATTTGCTTTTAATTTTTTTCGTTGACGTACACACGTATTTTTTTCGTTTTTTCCAAGACTGGAAGAACGCCGCGATACGTTAGACATCATGTGCTATCGGCAGGCTCTACTCGAACGAATAAACAAATTATGCTACGTTGAGTTGGTCTGAGTGTCAGCCTTTTTAGCTTTCGTCTGCTCCCCATGATCTGCTACCTTGAGAATGCTGGCTTAAAGTGACAAGGAAAACAACATGTAAGCCCAGGTCTCACAAAATCTTATCATGTTAGTAATACATCAGAGTTGCAGTTTTGGACTAGTTTGCTAGATAGCATACATGTTAGTACATGGGTACATAAGTTAATGTAGTAGACACTGATGTAGAAAGTTGTTATTCCAGACATCAGGAAGCCAGCCCTGTGCCAGGAGTTAGGTCTGCAGGTACGGGACCTGCGCTTCCAACAACAGACCATTCTGCAGCCCAGGGACACGGCCATCATTATCAGGATGGAGGTACACTGGTGTCAATCATTTTGGTTGTTTGTTTTAGATGTTTTTTGTCTTAATGAAGCTTCGGTTAGGGAGGTCCCTTGGATAGGACATTAACATGTTCAGGGAGAGCCACACCCTATACATGTTAAAGAACCCACCACACAAAAGAGTAGGGGACCTTCCCGGTGAGAGTGGTTCAAACCTTACGGTCTTATGGCTGCACCTGGGGTCGTATTGAGGTCACCTGAGGTAGCGCCAAATAGCAGCTGCTCCAGAACCTTGCCATTCAGCCCCAATAATTGTAAGCTCCTCACCATTCAGCCCTTGGCTGCAAATGACCGCTTGTCATTGAGGTCTTAAGGAAAGAGGTTATGATATAACAAGATATAGTTGTCAAGACAAGATGGAAGTCCTAACGTCATAAGCATATAATCATAATAAATCCATAGACATACGTTGTATATCCATCCATGATCGAAAAAAAGAATGTTGGCATTTTATTTCTTTTTATTTTCATCCAGAAATATATAAATATATTGGGTGCATGTCTTCTAGAAGCATTCAGCATTTTCTAGCAGACATTTTCTGTAGTCATTATTTTGTATTTTCAGGAAATCAAGGCGATAGTGAGCCCTGACTGTGTGTACATCCTGGATCCTGAGGAACCCAGAGACAAGATTCTCTTAGGGGAACTTAAGACTCAGCTGGAGGGAGATAACTCTTCTCCTGTAGCTCATCTCCCACTGGAGTTCAAGGGTCTGGAGGCAATCTTAAATTACAGGGTGAGTGTAGGAGAAATGGTGGTGAGAGACCGTGTTAAAACAATGATGAAAAAAGTGTGTAATATAGGGTTAATGACCCGCCCTGAGGTGTATACGGTGTCATAATTCATGGTCGGTTCCTATAACCACCGAATGAACGACCGAGGCCGCGGAGCGGACGAGGTCGTTTATGAGGTGGTTATAGGAACCGACCATGAATTATAACACCGTATAAACCGAAGGAAAGCGGGTCATTAACATTATTATCATATAGATATTGTCACATATGCGTGTACATCAAGCAGACACATAAGGGAAATAACTCCAGTGTAACATATAAATCTTTTAATTCTGCATTTAAGTGAATTCTCATCGCAACAAACCAATTATTTAAAGCTGAAAGTTACAGGTAGGAACTAAATTTACCGCTGAAGTTTACCGCTGAATTTCCTCAACTGTTTCTCCACCACTATTGTCCAAATCCATCTCTGCGGTTTATCAATAATTTTTTTCCTTAATCTACCGCTGATTTTAATTGTATTTAGTTTTATTAAAACTAAGTTAATTTACTACTGTACATAAACAAGTCTATCAGAAAGGTCTTTAGAATTTGAAGTAGGTTAGAAGAAAACACCACCCTGTCATGTAATGGTATCGTCGGTTACGGACCCGCGGGTCCGTATATCGTTAATGACCTGGGTTATGGGGGAAATGGAGCCTTCTGATTGGTCGCCGTCATCTGGCTATATGATAATTCAAAATACATTTTACTGTTACAGTACTTTCTTGTGCACCAGTACAGGTAACATTTAGAATTATTGGCACCAGACAAAGTGGATCACTCTAAAACTGTTGAGAATCTATTAGCATTATTTCCTTTATACTTAATGCGGTGACAGTCAATACAGCTAATGTAAATCCACGTAAACCTACATTTTGTACATGTGTATATAAACCTAGTACATGGACCAGTGCAGGTTATAGGTGCAGGAAGACATCAGAATGATGATCAGACAGAAATACCTAGCTGCATAGCTCCAATGTTACCTGCACTAAGGTGCATATGCAGGTGGTATTTTGAGCCCTGATGTGACATGTCTCCTTTCTGTTTCAGATCAGTAGTCTGAAGAAGGAGCTGGATGTGTTAGAACCGGCCATACTCCAGGTCCTGACTGATCTGGTAGAACCTAGTTTCATGTCTCTGGACAGGTCCAAACTCAGAGTGCTGCTACAGTATAGAAAAAGGTTTGCAGCTTTTCTGTATTTATGCACTTTTTTTACAGTACCTAGTACATGTACTGTACAACACAGTATGTGCTGTCTAGGCCCATATAAGGAGCAGTTGATAGAAGCATTTTCATATAACAAATGGGAAACAGTTACTGATTGTTTTTTACATTTTCATGTACCTTTACTGGAAATTTGTAGTGGTTGCAACAGTCTGTAAAGCTACTTGCACTGGTGCAAGTGCGGTCGAAAATTATGTGACCTGATGTCTGATTTTTCCTCCACCAGTCTGACAGAGTTCCAGACAGATGTGAGGGAGTATGTAGAAGTCTTGACTGACATCTTAGACTATGATGAGTCTATAGAAGGGATGTGTCTTACTGACAAGATCACCAATAACATGTAAGTATTTCTATTTGAGATTATGCCATACTTAAGTACATGTATGATCCATGTCCAAGAGATGAAGCACATTCTTACAATAAAAGCTTTTTTGGACAGATGTAGTACATGAACTACATCAAGCTAAACTTGAGGATGAACATGTCGAAAAGGGAAAGTTTGGACATACATGTACAGTTTCACTAGTAAATACATGTACGGTCAGGTTCAAGTGTTCCTCCCAGCCCTTTGTTATACAGTCAACCTTGACAACTCCCAGGGGACCAATCAAGGAAAAGTGGTCTTAGTACAAAAAGCATGGTGACAGAGACAAGATTTTGAAGTTCATGTCCTTTAATTCAAACTGATGAACACATGTACAGTATATCACATACACAGTCATATGTTGCACAAAGACTGTCATGCTGTCAAAGTCAATGGCAAGCTGGCCAATTCCATAAAAATATCTCAGTAGTTATCATAAAAAAAGTTTTCTACCACACTTGAAAATGACGCTGTCATCATAGGCAGAGACTGGGCCATGTGTGGTCCCAAATAGTGTTAGTTGTGGTCACGTTGCACAAGTGGTCAGCTTAGGCAAGTCACTTCATGTACGTGTATGGAAAAAAAATTGGGACTGAGAAAAAGCAATTTATATAGAGTTGGTAGTAACTGTTCTATTTATACATGCAGATGGATAGGTAGGGGTAACATCATCTCCTGGTTGCTATGACTACTCTGTTATTCTCCTCAGGTCTGACGGTAAACCAGACCACCTCCGGCATGTGGATGAGATGGAGCTCCTCCTGGAGAACTGTCTGGGACGTGCAGAGGACATCGTCAACAGGGTCGCCGAGGTCAAGGACCTGATCGAGGACTCGGAACAGATCATCTTCATGAACCTGGACAGGTGAGGCAAGCAACCGGAGAAATTCTCTGTAGGGCTGCGTACGTAAGGAGGATAAAAATGTTGTGTTTCCTGTGTCAGTCCTAAAAAAAATAGGGTCGATAGATAGGGATTATCCTTTTTCCTTAATGTCAATGTTGGAAAACTGATTGTACAACGTTTCATCACTCGGGTGTCAGATCATGGAGCTAGAAAAGGTCGATCAACTCAAAAAGTTTATGTCCCTTGCTGTCGTCCACCCCATACATGTCCTTGTCTAGCTCTTGCCATCCTATCCTATCCCATGCAAGACATGTGCACGGACAACATGTACAACAAATGCACACTGTTCACTGTGCTCTTCACACGAGGGAGCTTACAGACATTTAAGGACAAAGAACAACTTCACACAGCTTAGATGCAGAGGTTCTAGATTTAAAAATAGTACATTACTTTTTAGTGTTGAATTTTTGAATGACATATTATAATGAATTTTAAATGTCTCCTGGTGAATTTTAAGTGTCTCATGCTCCAATTCAGCCATCAAAGACTGCAATAGTATAATATTAATGTACATGTGTGCACATGTTGCAAATAAACCTGTCATCATCATCACATTCCCACCCATCTTTGTCTCCCTCCCCACAGCCACAGGAACGTGATGATGAGGCTGAACGTGCAGCTGACCATGGGAACCTTCTCCATCGCTCTGTTTGGAATGATGGGTACAGCCTTCGGCATGAACCTGTTATCTTCACTGGAGGAGGTAAACTTCAGTAGTGTTCTACCAGTGTTATTCTTAGGCCACACCAATTTAATTTGTTGGTTCTCGGATTCGCCTCTTAATTTCATTCTGATTTGAAAAAAAAACAAGATTCTGGTTCAACTAAATTGGAATCAACTAAAAAATGGTCGTATTTTGCCCCCAACAGTTGAGGAAAGCCCTTTTCTTCCTAGCTGTTGCAGTTTTTCCATCTATCTATGCAGTATTTTGATTAGAAGTTCAAAATTCATTATTTTAATATTAACCCAGCCGTTTGTGTTGACTTCATGAATTCACACAAAACTTGTTGTTTTTGTTCTACAGGACCCAAAGGCATTCTGGATCATCACAGGTGTGATGTTTGCAGGCTGCGGGTTGCTATGGAGACGGTTGCTATGGTTTCTGGGAAGGGAGGTTCCACCCACTAGAAAGTGGAGCTGGAAGAATTTCAAACCATCTGGACAGTAAGGACATTTTCAGTCCTGATGATGAGATAAATTATGATTAAATACTACATGTATGTACTGGATAGGAGGGATAAAATTATACTGTTTTACTATAATTTGTGTGTGGACCAGGGAAAAAATTTAAGATACAAGACATTGAAATTTTGACATTCTGGATACAAAGTACGCTAATACAGTGGTAACATGTATGTATATTAAAACATTGAATTTCTGGATGTAACTTAGTGTGTAGTTTATGTACAGGTATGTTTTAATGTTTTATTTATGAACCATGACTGTCAAACCAGAAAACAAGGTGTTGTTATATGTCTTGTCAGGCTTGTTGATATAGCTTGTCAATATGTGCAATTTTTTTAACTTGTAGTATTGCTATAAAAAGCCAGGATATCTGTCAGCACTTAACATTTTCATCTCATGGACCAACTTTTAGGTGATAGTACAGTATAATGGACATGTAGATCCCATACGCACACTTAAGATTCATACTACAAGTTACTTTTTAAACATGATTGTCCACTTCTAGACACTTGTTATATAGGTGCATGTGAGATGTTAAAATGAGAGCTATTTCTACATATAGTTGAGTAGAATTTGAATTCTGTTGTACAAAAACACTAATAAGTATTTGAATTATGTTACATACGTAATACATATTACTTTTTTTAAAAATTCAAAAAATTGTCCTTTTCTGTGAAACAAATCCTTTTCCTTAGCATGCAGGTAATTGGAATAAACTGCCATATTAAAAATCTTCATAAAGGCCATTGAAGGCTGTGATATATAAAGTCACTGTGGTAGAAATTGTAATCAGCAAGATTTCTTTGCAAAATTATATATACCGTACAATGTTACAACAATTGTGAATAAAAATTTTAAAGGCACATTATTGGGTTACATGTTACATTCATCTAGTTATGTCTACATGTCTGTGGTTCTTGTTGTTTGGCAATTCCAAACACAAGTTTCTCAAACCTTACAGTCAATTCCTACACAACTGGTGTGTTGCCTCTAAAGGTGGTTTACCAGTTATGCGAAACAAACAAACAGTACAAGAAAGACCACAAAAAGAAAGTACAGTTCCAGGGTAGGGGACCCAGATTTATTCTCTATTGAGTTATATTATATAAAATGCAAATCCCAACAGCTCTTCATTCTAAGCGGGAAGGATTTCACACATTATAGCTTTTCAAGCTACTATGCATAAATTACCACAGCTCTAGCTGTATGTAAACAATCCAATAGGGTTTGGTTACAAAAGTATACTATGCTGATGTCAAAGCTATATTAAGTACCTTCATGTTTTTACGTATGCAATTTTGCATAGCCCCTTTTACCATAACGTATTTTAAATTGATAATCATGATTTCTATAAAAGCACTTCATAATTTCACTATGTTGCAACATAACGTCATTCTATCAAACTTATAATTTTCACACACTTGGTGGGTATAAGATAAATTTGCTACGGGTGATTTGCATGCAAGTACATATACAAGGGTGGTCGGTGGGTGAGACCCCACACCAGGGATAAGTGATAAAACTAGTTCTCTCTCCTCTGGCCTTCCTTACTTTAGCACCATCTCTCAGTCTTGTTCAACACAACACAACACACACGTGAAAGGCGAAACCCTGCAGTTCTCCATCTGTGCACTTCTCTAAAACACGCGACCAACGTACGTACGCACTACGCAAACCGCAGTAGCGCCATACGTCTGCCCCACCTACCCTGGGCTGGTGATGGGACCTGTCCAACTCGCAGACTGGTTAACTTTGTTGAGTAACGAGGCTGTGATTTGGCCTCGGTGCAAACTAAAAGATGAGCAGTGAGACGTGGGTGCGGGAAGTAGTTTAGCGGAGTGCTGCGAGTTGGGACGGTCTCCGGCGCCAGCGGACAGCGCCGGGTGCTGATCATCAGGGGAGGACCCGAGGGTGCCTGCCGCCATAGGTGATTTCGGCCCTTTTACCCTCGGCACACACACGAGAATGACAGAAGGCGTGTGCACTTCCGATCACCTACGGCGGCCCAGCCTCGGGCAGGGCCAACCCACGGACACGTGTCTCCGTGAGCACAACACCCGGTCACCGCCAGGGTAGGCTGGCCTTGTCTCCTCCATCAGTTAAGTATCAGTTACCTAAGTATTAAGACAGCCAACTCTACGGAAAGTGTTAAAACATCAAAACCTTACACTGGCGTTTCCTTCATTGCTTACAGTCTTCTTACATCAAAATAAAACAATCCGGGCCTGAGCCATAAAATCTCTTTGCGTGACTTATAACTGAAGTCCTCTTTCTTCATGCAAGTCAATAATTATGTGACTTTTCATGCAGACATGACCATTTGGCTCTTTTTCTCAAATTGTCCTTGCATCTGACCCTGCTAGCTGGGTGAAATCATTCCACTTCTTTATATCATATCTACCAGAAACTTTGCTATGTTACTGTGGTTTCCATAGAGCTGTGACACAAAGTGTTGTCTATTGTTGTTGCTATGACAACAGTTGCCATGGAGACAGTCTCAAGCAGCCTGCTTGGCATGAATTTTGCAATATGGTTTCTTCCCCTTGGCATAGAAAGCAGCTCCCTCCAACTCCACTTGGCAAACCTGGGAAGAAAATAAAAAATCATAAGAGAGAGGAAGCAAAAAAGGCCACTGCAATGTCTTGATAGGCAGCAGTTAGTAAATTAAGTGAGAAAAAGACATGAACAAGGGAAGCAGAAAGAGAGGTTGGCCAAGAACCCAACACTTTTACTCTTAACTGACACGCATGTGCATGTGCATGTCTATACAGGAGAAACCTTACAATAAAAAGTGTGGGATGAAACTAATTCTTTTTGTCACAACTGATTCCACTGGCAAGGTTTGACTGTCTACACTTCAGTGTAAAGTTTACTTTTAATCATTATTTTTGGATGCTTGACCATGACCCCTAGCAGGTGTTAAAGGAAATGCAGGAAATGTCAACATTTAACAGAATTCCCACCAGAGTTACACTGCAAGTGTTTTCTTTGTTTTCAAACTCAGGAGTCTAGCAAACATGATGCTACATGTATGCCTTCCCCTTGAATTAACTGGAGAAGTTACATGTTCTCCAGTCAACCATGCCATTTCTTACAGATTACAATTCAACATTTAGGTATCCAGTGATGGTAGAGAAACATTGTCTAAACTGGTGAGCACTCTGAAATGAAATGTTTCTTGCGTACAGTGGTAGGCCGGGGCATTTAGATGGCCTGCTTTTTGTGGTTCTTGCAGAAAGGCTTCTTGCCCTTAGCGTAGAAAGGCTGGCCTTCCAAGTCGGCTTGGCAGACCTACACACGCACGGATGTACAGACGAACGGACACGTACGGGCGGGACAGCGAAGCATGACCAGGTCAAGAGAGATGGAAAAAGACACTTTTTAGCATTTAAAACATTAATGTTAGCAACAGGTTCTCTGTTAACTGGCCAATCAGTCCTGATCAGTATACATCTTCACAGACACATCAAACTCTACTATAGTAACTGGATGAATTAAGGAGATTACTTCCAGACATTTTGATCAGTGACTTTCAGTGTCACTAAAATAAACTATGAGAACATGTTGAAACTTATCACATGCAAAATAACTGGAAAAACAAGTAGAGCTTGATTGTATGTAAACTATGCAGAACTAAGTGACCAGTTCAGAGTTACCAGAGTTAGTTAGTACAACAGAAGAGTATCAGTTGATAATCTTCATACAGGCAAACTTCACCATCACATGACACTCTACAGACAAAAGCCATACACACTTAGTCTTGCAGACGCAGAAAATCCTGAAATACAACAGATTTCATTGCAGAAAAGAAGAGATGCCCTTCCATCTGAAAATCCAGTCTTGATAACATACATGTACATGTACCAGTGCTAGTACTATTCTATCACAGGCTTTTCCTACATGTACTTTGTTCTACAGTTGTACTAATTAATAAGAAGAGATACATATTACTTTAAGGCTTGAAATCAATTCAAAGAGTCTTGAGTTAACATGCCATAATGTCAAGAATATTTTAGATGTTGATTTTTTCATAAGACTTCAGGCAAAGAACTACAGCATACTTAAATGTCAAGAAAGTTGTTAGTTGTTGTCTTCTTGCTAAGTAGGTAAACAAACATCCTGATAATATAGTGATATACAACATCTTGTTTGAAGTACTTACAGCACAGCAGAAGCACTCTGTGTGCCAGGCACAGTTCAGGGCCTCTAGCCAGCGATCGCCAGGCTCGATAGGGAAGTCACACGCAACGCACTTGGTAGACATGCTCTTGGAAAAGCCTTTAAAGTAGACATAATAATAAGGTTACTTTGTTATCACCAGATACCAGTACCAGAACCAAGAGACAGTTCATATTGTCTGTAGTCAGCTATGTTTGTCGTGAACATCATACATCATAATATGATATGGGTTTTATTTGAAGAACATATCACAGCCTGAAGGCTGAATTACCTAACTTGACTAAGAAGCAATGTCTTGCAATTCTACTGGTCCAACTTTACTCTTACAAGTCAAGAAGATGAAGGCATCCAATACAGTTTTTGGGCTTGAAAACCATACATTTCTAAGTCAATATTCTGGTCACTTTATCTACATATTATAGTAAGGTGAATCAACACTGTCCCAATCTATATTGACCTTCCTGGAACAAAAATGCGCTGTTGTTAAGTGATAAGAGGGCAGATATTTTTTTTTCCAATCTTTGACTGTGCACGGAGGCATTCATATACACTGTTAACAATGCGTAGATTCCTACACGAAATATCAGTTTTCAGTTCCACTTTTGCATGTCAGGTGAGTGACAACTGTTGGGATTCGAACTCTAGAACCTTTTGGTCCATGCAGAAGCTGGATGAATGACTGTACTCACAGATATCACAGATCTGTGCACCCTCCCACAGATGGTAGCCGTTGGGGTCCAGTTGGCAGTTACACTTGGCACACAGGAAGCAGTGCTTGTGGAACTGCAGGTCATTCGCTATGATGGATTCCTATTGGTGGGGAAAGGAGCGGGCATTAGCCAATCACAGCAGAAGTTGGCCTAATAAGAGCATATATTATGCCTCTCTCTCTCCCCATATAATATGCACTACACTATGAAAGAGGTCTAGAGATATAGAATACCTTAAGCACCTTTTTACTGCTATATAGTATGTGAGGTATTAAAGGGACCCAAAATAATACAAACTGAAAGATTATTCATCTTCAGTTCTTTATAGTGATTTCTTTCCCTTTTGAACCTCATTGGATGACAAAATGAAATTTAAAGAATACTGTGTCAGAAGGTTTTTGTTCAGAACATGGCAGATACTCTACCCAAGTTAGAGAACATTACCAAGCTCTATTTAAATTTTGAAACTTGGCTAGAATTTTTTGGTTCACCAGAACTTTTCATAAGTTTTGCAAAGGAGAAATCTGTCAATAAATATTATACTTAAAACTTATTAGATATTACCACTTATAAAATTCCAATAAATAGTACTTTTCTTAAAAATGGATTAAACATGCTGTTAACATTCTAACCTATAACATGCAGGGTGTAGGTTTCTACAGAAATCATAATCATGCAGAGATTGGAAGCAGAACTACTATGCGTGCATGCAGGCAACTCACAACTTTGACTGTAACGTGCACGTTGCTACCATGGAGCTTTCGGGATGTCTGTGGATGAAAGCAATGGTGTCATCATGTACACAACATTAAGCATGCCAATGGAGTGGGTGCGAAAAATAAATAAAAACAAACAAACAAAAAGAAAAATACAGCTTTAGGCACTGCAAGCAATGGTAATTATCCACATCACACTCACACACGCACAGACATTGTGTCAATATGTATGGTATATCTACATGTAACTTTAAGGCACAATAAGTACTATATGATAAGTCTGGCATACAAAATATATCTCATTCTTAAAAAACAAAACCGTTAATGATAGATACACACTAGGAACACCACAATCATACATACCACATACAAATTTACATGTACTTAATAAGTACAACAAACAATAGCAACGCTAAATCTGACACACCAAATACACTGAGTTAGACAAAGACATTGGTAGAATCTACCACATAATTACGTACACACAACATACACATACTGACATAGCATATAACTTAACACAAGCATGCATCAAAAACATTAAAACACAGGCACAATGGTTACATGTCAGGCCTGTACCCTGAAAATCACATCTGCACCACCACACTATAGCCTGAAATCCAGCCATATTATAAGTATAAGCTTTAGCTGCTCCGTATCATAAGCTTTGCAGCTTAACTGGTCCATGCTGGATTTCAGGCTAGCACACTAATCAGCTTCACCAGCCACACAACAAACAGCAAAATTACAGGGTATTATAAATCACACAATCTGATGCTCTAGCTGTGATTGGCTACGCAAAATTTTGCACAAAAACAAAATGATAACTTATGACAAAAGGGCTAAATGTCCAACACTATTCTAAGTTATCCCATGGTCTTACCATCATGATGATGAAGGAAGCAATAAGTTACTGTTAGTTTCAACACAAGCACCTGCTTTAATTTGAACAAATCACACTTTCCAGGGACTATTCTTCAGTCAAAAACTTCTTAAGTTAAAATGTTCTTCAGTTAAGCAAACTGTAAAATTGTACTATTTATTTTTATACTGGTGTAGCCAAGGACTGATTCTTGTTACTTCAAGTACTGAAGCTATTGTAAGATAATCTTAGCTACATGCAGTTGTTTTTTATTTTAATTTTTTTTTTTTTCTAGTCATGTAGCATGGAGAGTTTAATGACCCAAATTTTGTGTATAAAGAAGATTGTCTTTATTTCAACTTTGTGACAGCCTTGGCCATGGGAGGCCTGGCTTTGGTACACATACACAAAAGCTAACAATTGATACTTTGAGGGGACCCACCTCAGCAATGGGCTCGTTGCACTTGCCACACAGAGGAGCGAAGAACTCCTTGTAGTGTGTGGAACAGTAGAGCTGGTTCTCCTCCTCCACAAATCCCATCTCAATCAGGTTGCACTTACAGTGAGCGCACGTAAACTCATCAGGATGCCAGCACCGGCCGATGGCAACCACGAAAGGACCCCTGGGTTTAACACAGCAAGTTTGGTAAGAATAATAACTCAAGATTCACATGTGCTCGCCAACTTAACAGCCCAAGTCCAACAGCATGAAAAGTTACTTCATTGCAGGGCTAAAAATACGGGGTGAATACATGTATGCACCTCAGTGCAGGTACAAAATGTAAAATTTGAGCTGTGTAGGTGTTTCTGATGTCTACCTTTAACGGTCCTCATACTGGGCTTATATACAATGTAGGTGTATGTAGATTTTTATTTGCTGCAATACCTACAAAGTATAAAAGAAATAATCGCAATTGTTTCTGAACAGTTTTTAGTATTACACATACACGTATATCAATCCCTGTCAATAACAAACTGTTTTGTATCACAAACATGAAAATACCCAAAGAAATTTCCAAATCAAGCTTCCACTCTTTCTCCGCAAGGTGTAAATAATTCACCTGATGATCTGGTTACAGCTCTCACACAGCGGAGTCCTGGATCCCGCGGCGCCCATCTTGGCGTACACGATCGGCTTGGCCTTACGGTCCTGGCGGTCTCCCCGCACCACTCGTCTCCTCTGGTCGGCCGGACGTCCCACGCCGCTCGGAGCCGTGCTGGTCGTAACCGCCGGCGCGCTTGGGTAACACAGGAAACGGTGTGCACAGGTTAGGACATTATCATGGAAGTTCATCTGTGTTGGTAGTAATCATAGTATGATGCTGAGCGTAATTCCAACACATGGGTACACAGGGATCGAGTTATCAACAACCACTTTTGTCTTTATTAGGATAGGTAATGACCAACCACTTTCGGATATAAACCGCAAGAGTTACGGACACATGACCTTATTCACACAAGTCTTAACGGATACGTGACGTTGGCAATTGGTCAAATACGCTAGGCAGCTTACATGTATATCATGTTAGAATCGTGTAGTGTAGAGAGGTATATATGGTGTAACCGGTATGTACCATATTTGGTGCCATATAGCACCCATTAACAGACTACAAAAGGTTGCAGACTACAATGTAGGTTGGTTGATGAAAATCTAACATTTTCTTGACACTTCCGAAATATCTCAAAAAATAGCAAACAGACTCATTCATATGTGTTTTTAAGTCATATACTACATGTACATTGTATAAAAGAACTGCAATTATTTGTTTCTCTATCAACTACATGTGGACTGACATTAAATTCTTCATGACAATCTCTTTTTCCTTACATGTACATCCTTAAACAGCACATTTTACGGATAAAACATGACAGGTTACATGTATTTTACATTAATGTAATGATGCACTAACCCAAAAAATACCCAAAAATAATAATAATAATAATTAAGTGTGGTGCAAGGCAGGAGAAGACTGAAGAAATATAAGAAAATATGAGGAAAAACAATATATTTCATCCATACCTATGGTAAGAACTGATATAAAAATAAAAGAATGACAGCCTCAAGTACAAATGTAGATACATTTTACTTAGAACATAGATATAAGTGAAGAACAGCTTCATTTGAATAAAAGCCGACTGGCCAAAATTAAATTACTTGCATGTTCAGCATCGTGTCATTTTTATCAGTACATTCATCAATACAGACAATGCTCTTAAATTCCTCTTCAACTGCTCTCTTCATAGAAGTCCTACAATACTGTAATTCCTGACTTTTATACGGTGCTTTTATATCTATGCTTTTCGCTGTCACCTCTAGCTACTGTGCACTTATCATTACCATGAACAAATCATTTGCTTTCTTATTTCTGCACCTATTGCCACCGTGAACATATAGTTCTGTGAACACCTCCATTTTTCTCAGACTGTGAACTTTTCCTTCCATAAACATAAGTGAATTAAAGCAACTCAACCAGAAGCATAATACATGTATATAGAGTAAAGGAAAGAACATAACAGGCGTTTTCTAACTGTACTGAAAAAAAGTTGACAGGAGAAAAACTTGTAACAGAAGTAGTTGAAAGCGTAGATGGCAGACAGAGAGGGCTTCTTTAGTAGTCCACTCCATACCCAGTAGTTTTTGCTGGGTTTCCCTTTGGATCGAGAAGGATCACGTCGTATCCGGGCGGCGGCTTGGCCTTAGCGATGGCGTCCTTCTCGCAGTAGTAGTTACCCTCCAGCATGACGTAGACAGAGTCTCTCAGGTTGGTTCCACACTCGGCACAGTTGAAACACGAGGCGTGGAACAACTTGTCTTTTACCTTCAGCATGGGGCCCCTGAAACAGGCAATACTGAAGGTCAGAAGCTGAACTGTCTTTATTTGTACAAAACTAAAATATAATGCATTACTGTAACAATAAAAATGATTAGTTAGTTGTTACCAGATTGCCTAGTTCTTGTACGGCCTACCCCTCTTTACATTTAAGCAGGCCCTTAGACGAATCTTGACCGTGCAATGATGTATCATTAGAATAACAACCTCTAGACAGCAAGTACACCTATAACCATGTTACACTATTGCCTAACCATTTCTTCCTATAAGACAAGACTCCCCCTCCCCAAGATAAAAAAAAAATGTCCTAAAAAAGAAAAGGTTAATATGTGACTACCTTTACCTTAAATTAAAGAAGCCAGTCAATGAAAATGTAATACAGTACAGCTTGTAATCACACAAAGCCCACTTTCAAGAAAAATGACAGAGAAAAGCAGTAAAACTTAGGAGATAGATGACTAGAAGAGAGGTGTGGTGGTTCTTACCTGTAGGAACAGCGCTGGTCAGCTGAGAGGGGAAAATGTGGAGACAGCCGAAAACAGAGAAAATCAGAAGACAGGCGGGCGTGTCGTCAAGAGAAGATGGCGTCAACATGAAAATAGAAGCTTGACCTTCTTGAGGATGTGTGTGAACACAAAAAGACAGACGAGGACAGGAGTACTGAACAATGAATGGTTGAAACAAGTGAGGGAAGGGTTGAAAATCCATATCGTCAAGGAAGTGTTCCCTGGTCCAGAAACATCAAGTGTAACAATGAGATTCAAGCGCCACTAACAGACCAGTCTAACAGGTCCAGACCTATAAGCATAGCAGTTGGTGCGTTGGGTTCTCGAGCTGTTGGCCCAGGTTTGATTCCCAGGAGCCAGGGGTTTTCATGTTTCTACTTGCCCATAGTTGTTTCACTTGGAAGGGCATAGCTGGATAACATGACCTCATCATTTTTAAATCTAATGATTGTGTTTATATTTTTCAGTTGGATATGTTAGGCTTTTTGTTCCAGTAATGTAATGTAGTATTGCGTCTGTCCTTGGTGCTGAAATGAGCTTCTTTTCATTTTTTGGTACATTGGATATGCCAGGCTTTTTGTTCCAGTAATGTAATGTAGTATATTGTGTGAATTTGTGTCTGTCCTTGGTGCTGAAATGAGCTTCTTTCCATTTTATGAACATTGCGTCAAGAGTTGACTGCCACTATGTCTTGTACTCTTCATATAGTTTGATAAAAGCTGTGCAGACTTACGAGACGTCCCCGTCGCAGCCCTGGCAGCTGGGCACGTTGACGGGCACCTGGACGGCCTTCTCCATCTCCTTGGCAGTGACGGCCTGCAGCTCCTGGGGTCCAGTACGTTCCCTCTGAGACAGGGCAGCCTGGGCCTCCGCCAGTTCTGATGGGGAATAACAATGGGGTGTGTTTAATCTCTAAACAGATCTTTGGGTGGCTGCGAAACAGTACACCACCCAATATGCCAACGGAGCAGCCTAACACTTAAAGGCCGCTAATATAGACTCCCATTGCCCCACAGAATCTGCTTGGAGATGTGTTGTACAATGTTGGTAGTGTTACATGGACAAGTGAAGCTACATGTACACCAAATTAAGGTAACTTAGGCCTAGGAAAAATGTTGTGTTTACAGTTTCCTGACAGACCCTAGCAAAACTCCACTGACTTAAGCCATTTTTGAATCAACCGCTGGTCCACCTTAAGAATTTTCTATCTACGTATGAAATGTCATTTATTTATTTATTTAACGCATTTATTTATTTATTTAACGCATTTTCAGAAGCAACTTTTCAGTGAATCGGGTGAAATATTTGTTCAAAAGCAAACAGGTGGATGGGACCTTGAAACAGTCCTGCCGCTTTGTTAAACTTTATTTGTTGGGTCATTTTAGCCGGAATCTAAAAAAAAAAAAAACTCAGACAATCCCTGCCTACCAACCCTAGTTTTTTTCAGTAATGAAACCAGAAACACAACATTAATTTTCCTAGACCTTACCACATGTGAAGGACAGGTCTTGGTTAGAATTTGCTGGAAACAAAAACCAAAGAACGAACATAACAAAAGAACAAAAGAAAGTGAGTGAAACCTGTGGAAATGATGACAGTGTACCACAGTGAATCTGAAAGGGTTGGAAGTGTTGAATTTGAACCAGGACTGTACATGTACATTTACTGGTAACACAAGGAAATAATGAAAATTTTGTCAAAACAATTGAAGTGGATTTGTAAGTGACACCTGAAAAGGAGTTGAGAAGAAAGGAAAGGTAGAGATGAGGTAACATTGACAACTGTACATTGTAACTATGGGAGGAACAGGGTGGAAACAAATCTTTCACAGAAATAAGTGAAATAAGATGAACAAAATGTGAACGTGGACTCAAAATAGCAGATTAAATGCTCAATAATAATGAGAGGCTGAATGCCCAGTCCAGTACATCAGGCAGGGTGGAAAAATTATCACATTGCTTATAATAAAAACAGTACAGAACTGAAGCAAGTTTTGTTTTTTTTACTCCTAAATCTACTTGGATATTTAAATGTAAAGAAGAATGAATTATATTATTACACCATATGCATGCAGCAGTATATGGTACAATAGGCACTATCAACAGCTACGTATATACAAAACGTGGCCCCACATGCTGGCCCTGGTAAGATGTGAAGCATTAGATGTTGTGTTGCCCTGAAAAGAAGACTAGAAGTGATTTAAAAAGACCTATATACTTGTGACAGAAAAGTGACATAGGTTATTCCATGCAGCTTGTATATATTAAAGCAGCATTGGCTCTGGATATAGATATTTGCTTTGAGTGAAAATCTGCTATACATGCATTGCATGTCATAACATGTGACCACAAGTTAGTGACTAAGTCTTGAAAACTGAAAAGCATACATGGTCTGATGCTTTTTCTTCTGTTCCAAGATCTAAAACAACTCTACTATTGGATAAATTACGGAGGTAACTTACGGAAGTTTCGAGTGACACCACTCTTCTTCCAGTTACTGTAAGTTACAGTTGTAGTAGAGTTTGAATTTTCTATGACAATATTGTTTACCTGGATATCTAACCTTCACCAACGCATACAATACATTGTTTTTTTGGAGTCATTTAGGCAACCAGAAGCCTGCTAAAGTAGGAAACAGTCTTTTCCCCAACACCTCTCTACAAGAAAGAGCGGTTCTCCAAAACCTCCCAAGTTATGACTACACCATGATGAGGTTTAGACTCTACATAGTGAAGATGAGAAGACTGTTGTTAGTAGGAGACCAGTGGAGCGGAGATGTGACCACCAGCGGCCCTGCACCTACAGAAGTGATAATTAAGCAGTGAGAGAAGTGGTGAGTGAGTCTGTATGGGGGATATGGAGTACCCAGACGGTCCATCTGTCTGGAGGCCACGGCTTCCTGCTCCACGGCCTCCTGGTACCGCAGCCGCTCCTGTTCCTCCCGCTCTCGCTCGCGCTGCGCCTCCTGCTCATCGATCTCTGTAACAACATGGCGGCGCGGCAAGGTCACCTACAAGGTCAGTGACCAGGGCAACCTGATGGGCAACCTACTACTACTACTACATGTAAGCCAAAAGGTAGGTTGCCCATCAATATATCAGGTTGTGGTCAACATCGCACAGCAAGGTCACCTACAAGGTCAGGGTTCCAAATACATGTACTGTTTTTCTCAGGTTGCCCACTGGGCAACCTAAACCAATAGTTACATGTAGGTTGCCCAGTAATATTTCAGGTTGTGGTTAACAACGATTTTTTGTAACAACATGGCGGCACAGCAAGGTCATGTACAAGGTCAGTGACCACCATATAAAACTAAAGGTTAAAAGATATAATTACACAAAAAATTAACAAAGTTATTGCAACACACCGCAACTGCAATTTACAGTCAAAATATGCAGGATGTAATAAAAACTAGTTAAAATAAAGGAAGAAATGAAAGAAACAAACTCCGCTGCCCTACCGGCTTCGTCCTCCGCAGTCATCAACTGTTCAAAATCTACATAGTAAGAGGCAATTGTCTAAAACTATACTTTAGCTATGTCTAGAACTATGTCTGAAGGGTTTGACTTCTCTTTTGTAGACCATGGAAGACACAATGTCCCACCTTTTCCAAAATTTGTGGGTTTTGGGTAGTTAAAATTAGAAATAAAAGAAAAAAACTCCGCTGCCCTACCGGCTTCGTCCTCTGCAGTCATCATCTGCAGCAGGCGGAAGGACCGTGACTGGGCTGCGCCGGCGCCGGACCTGCCGACCGGCTCAGGCGGAGGGGGCGCCACGCGGGGCTGCATACGCGCTTTCCTCGCTGACTCCTCCTGGATCATCTGGTACACAGCGGAGGACGTGTCGATCGTACCCGGCTTGCTGTGGGGAACGAGACCACGACACAAACATCCAATCAACATCAACATCTACTTCTTCAACCAACTTTGCCCCAAGAGTCTTTTATAGGTTTAACAAAAAATAAAAGAGTTGGGGAATCGGTTCAAGCTGTTCTCTTGACAAAACTTTAACTCATCTGGTCTTAAAAATGAAAGAGTGGCACACAGAAACAAACACCTCAGACAAAACAGAACATTTCATAATTTTGACCCTCTCAACCTATAGTCAAGGAAAATACAATTACATGTAGAACTTATAGTTTCATGAAGCTCAGACAATGGATACATCAATAATGATCAATTTCTTGAAAAAATGACAAAGATACATTTGTTACAGTATACTATATAATACAAGCCAGAATATAGCATACATATAACAAGGGCTTCTTGCATACATGTATATCAAAGATACATAAAGCATACGATCTGGGAAGTACATGTATGACATGTTTTACTTTTAGATATAAAATTAGTGCTTGCAGCAACACTATTACTTTTAACAATCCAACAGTTACTGTATCAATATAAATTTTTGAGATTAAGTAATATATAGGTAGTACCATATATATCAACCTTAGAGACAGCACGAACAAATTAACAGAAAATAACAGAAGTAGTTAATTAAGACGTTACAGTTACTGTGGTGCCACAGGACCGGCTACCAGAAAAAAGGAAGTATAGTCACCTAGCTACAGGCTGATCTGCAGGGCTATGGTAACAGTACAGCAGCATGGAAGGAAAGCATTGTGGTGAAGAGCATACATGAACAGAGGTCTACAGAAGCAGCGCTCAGAATTATTACTTTAAGCAGAATAGAAAAGCATTTTAAGTCTACTAAGACATGATTCTCTGCTAAGGTTCTTTTCTAAGTTGACTAACTACCATGTGTGGCACATGCAAGCATGGGTGAATAAATGAAAGCCTATGACAGTATCTGGTGGAGAATTTGTGGACATGCATTGCTGATGTCTAAATCTTACATAGTATTACATGCAAACTAATGCAAAGTTATACACCGTATTACAATAGCTTTTCCATGCATGATACGCTTGAAAATACATAATGTTGTGAATGGAGATGTAAACATGACTACTAACAGAAAACAAACACAAAGCTGGAGCCAAATTAACATTTAAAAAATTATTTGTAACCAATCCTCAGTTCTTGACTTTATGTCATGCTGTTATACTAGAAAATAATACAACATAGCATACATGTAACAAGAAGGAAATCATTTAACTTTGTGTAAGACTTTACATTCTTTTATGTTCAAGCCATTCCACCTTGGCCTATGTAAATATGATGCAATTAATGGCAACAAAATGCTGTAACTTCAATGTATAACCAAGGTGGTTATAGAATCTCCTTAAGTAATCAAGCTTGTCACTTACTGTATACACACACAAGGGGTTGCAATCAAGCACTACACAATCATGAATTCTTGGCTGTTGGAGTAATATATAAATAAGGCAGTGAATGAGGTACTATGCACAAGTGAATGGAGGGGATGTCAAACTTGTGAATGGACGGTGCAAACCATGCAGCAGACCTGGTCTGACATCAGTACTTCCCATCCATGCCATGCCTGTGACTGTCTGCCGGGGGGTATATCGTGGGGGAGGGGGGTGGTAGCGTGTCTCCAACCTGTGATCACATGACTCAGACCGGCCAATCTCGGTGCCTGTTAGTTCAGCCTGAAGCGCGAGTTCCACACACACACAAACTGAGGAGACTTCCCAGCATGCTCAGGATTAGACCACGATGCCGACAATCCGAGATGGTGACGCTGTGCCCGTTTGTTTGTTTGTTTGTCCAGGGCATGCAGCTTACCGCTGTGGTGCGGTCACCTCAGGCCTGCCTCCGACCAATCCTGCCAGCTGTCCCTCCAGAGTGTCCTGCACGGCGCCGGCTGAGTACATGCCCAGCGGCGTGTCGTACTGCGCGTGCACGATCTTCCTGCCGCCCGCCTCGATTTCGATGGGCGCGGCGGGTTTTCCCAGCCCGGCCTCGCCCGCACGCTTGATGGCTCCTACATCCACACTGAAGTGCACAATATCAGATAAACACACAGAACAGGGAGAAAGATCCACAGTCTTTAGCATGAACATCACACCTCAGCATGGACCATTATGTCTACTCTGGATGCCATCTACATATTAAACACTGGTCTCACAAGATCTGGAGAGACAATAGGAATTTGGAAAATCACAATCATAAGCTCTTGTCACAGATTCACGAACTTGAACACTGACCAAACTAGATCTGCCGGTGTTTGGGAACAAATTCGGGGGAAGATTGTGAATGTGTGACAGGGACTTTGAATGTAACATGTACAAGCCTTGGCTTCATTGCATTTTTCAAACTCTCAGCGTCTGTCCAAATCTAAAGGACCAGCATTGATCAAGTTTACACATGAGTAGCATTAGCCTTATCACTGGCATTATACCATATACATTTGTACATGAACAACATTTGATATTATCAGTCTTTGATTCTTAAAATATGAAGTTGACAACTTATGTACCAAGGCAGAAAACTCTACACACTAGTAAAAAAAAATAATTGCAAGGCAGGCAATTAGAATGAAGTAGAGTGGAAGCATAGTCACCTAGGACCATGAGAAGGAGCAGGATGGCTGTTGCAGAAGTATGGAAAGGAACATCAGGTGTAAGTGTATGAAGTTAAGCAGAGAGCAAGCGCCGCAGAGGATGTGCATGTACATGTCTGGTGTACATGATTCCATGGAGCTTTACATGTACATGTATGTGTATTTCAATTTTACAATTACAATTTCCTTGGCATAACCACTTCAGCAGCATTTTGAGATAAAATTTCTAATAAAAACGCAAAAAGGTTGTACATGTGAATGAATGATACAAGATATGGCAACAGTTCTGGACAATAATCTACTCTGCAAAAGACTATAGAGAACTACAGGATGAAACTACACAAGTCTTTGTGCCATGACACAAATGGACAGCTATGACAGACAGATGTGGGTGGGGAATTATGCTACATTTGTATAAAAAGGCTTTTAAGCTATGATGCAGAAAAGCTGAAGCTAGATGGTACCTATCTAGCAGCAGAGAAGGTTCAGGCTCACTGGAAAGCAGCAGGAGGGAGGGTAGAAGGGAAACATTGGGGGAACAGGGAAGGTAGAAAAGGTAGATAGCAAAGCATTCAGCCACTTTAATAGATTGTTATAGGAGCTGCTGTTACAGTAGCGCTTCAGTTTGCAAGCAACCTTACTTTCTAGAACAGCTTATATGCTTGGAATATAGGTGTGATTCATATTATTTCAAAGTTGGACAGTCATATTATAATATAATAATTATTCAATAATGAGAGCAACTCTGTTCGAAAAGTAGGAGTTAGAGGTTTCCTTAGTGTGTCTTAATAAAGGTATTTCCATCATTGTTGCATCCTTCTTTAGTTTGATTGATTTGTAGCATTTGTACATTTTGTAGCATTTCATTTCATGTGATATCTCAGTCTGTAAGCTTTTAAACAGAGTTGGCCTAACTACCAAAACCATGAGATAAACAGAATAACTACATTTGATAAGTAAACTTGTACCATGAGTTACACATTACCATACTTGCTTGGAACTTCAACACATGCTGAAGACAAGTACATAAATCTTTACAAGGTCGTACCTCTGTTCCCTTTTTGTAAAGTTCCTTGCTGCCTATTCCCTACATCATTTTTTTGTATAACAGATGTTTACATTATGTCCGTTGTAGACTGTTCTCATTCCACAAAGCAAGGACGTTTCGATATACCGGTAACGTCCTTGCAGAAAGCATGCCACAGTAATTAGGTAGATGGTTGTACCTGGGCACTGCAACAGTAGGTATAGGTGCAGGTGCAGGAGCAGGTGCTGGGGCAGGTGCTGGAGCAGGTGCAGGTGCGGGAGCGAGCACAGACACCGCTCCAGGTGCGGGACCTCCTCCGGGGGCGCTCTGTTCTCGGGAGTAACAACCAGGTGTGAAACAAAGTTACCCTCCCTGTCTGCTGTGGGGAGGGGGGCAGTCTGCCATACCTTTTATACCCACCTGTCTCTATCATGAGCACTCAGATATTGTTCTGTAGGGAAACATAATCTTTTTCAGGTTTCTTTCTTTACCCTCCTGGCTTGTTACTGTAACTCCTGATTTTTTCACTTTCATGTTCACAGTTTTCACAGTCACTTGCCGCCACCGTGAACACCTCCATTTTTCTAAGACTGTGAAATTTTGCTGCCATGAACATCAAGCTTAAGTGAATTACAGTACTTTGGTGCTTGGTGTTTGCCTTCTGCAGGGAGAAAACAGCAAATGCTGTAGGGAATCTTTTAGTCCTCAAAGTACCAGACTATGTAATTTGGGACATTGCTCATCATTGAAGATGGTACAGTGCACAGGTATCTGAAGACTGTTGAAAAAGCTATCAAGAGGAGACTTTCGCAGCTACTGAAATGTAACTCAATCACAAGCAATAAAGAAAATTCTATGCTTTTACAGAAACACATGGACTTGACACCTGAGAGCGATAAGAGCAAGCTACAGTGATTGAATCCACATTGTTGGCTTCTCCAGGGCATCTGTGCCATTTGTATTCTTTCACTGCTCCAGATCTGATGGTTGTACGGTGTATATTTAGAAAAGGCGATGGTGTTTCCTGATAAGGGGTAGGTTGGCTGTGTACTCTTGGAGTTGTCCTGCTTTGGGAATGAAGTCGGACCAGTCAACATACGGTAACCATCTCTGTTTACAGCTCCTGTTGGCCTGTGCTATGAGGAACTTCACTGGTCTCCCAATTGATATCCTTGTCCCAACATGTAGCCTTTCGTTGCAAATGGCATTTTGTCCTCCATAACAGTCAGGATGGCACCAATGGTCCATTTCCTTTCCTTCACAGTGGTCACATGGTCTTCCAAAAGTCTGTTATATATGTCCTGATCATCACGTGTTGTACAATACACTGAATGCTGCTGACAGTTGATTTCAAGCTTCGTCTTTCTACATAATGCTGTTGCTTGTACCTCTACATTCCAATACCAAGAGACTATATACCAAGAGAATATATTTCACAACATTACCTGCATATAACTGTAGGTGTTAACTTACCTGACTTTACCATCACTTACCATCGCTTTATATAATAAAATACATCTTTGAGTACTGCTCAGGCCTTTTTGACTAACCTGTTCTGTGCTTCCTGTAGAAGCTGTTGCCCTTTCAGTGTCTCTGTGACGTTCTCCAGGGCGTACATGTTGATGGGAGTGTTGTACTGGCTGTGGACCATCCCGGGACTGGTGGGCGACCGCGGACCGCCCGTGGCGGGGGTGTGACCCGCGGCAGGGAGCGACGACAGCCGCGTGGGAGCCGCCGGGGAGATTCGCGTGACGGGAGCGGACACCGAGGACACTTTCAGGTGGGACGGTCCGGTCTGTACGGACGTACCGGACTGTACGGGGCTGATACGTGACGGGGAAAACCCCGCCCTCAGTGGCGGTGACGGGACGCTCGGCGGGGGTTTGTAGACGGTTGGGCGCTGGATGCGCAGGGGAGGGGCCTGTGTGGAAGAAGCACTTGCCTGCTGAACAGGGGCAAAAGCACTGCTGTCCCCACTGCCTATGCTACTGACTCCGTTGGCAGAACCAGTAGGGACAGAGGCAACGCCACTCGCACCACCTCCCGGTATGAACGGCTTGGCGGTGGAGTTGTAGAGCTTATTGACTGAACTGGTGGCTAAGGTAGGGGTGGGGTTATACAGGCCGTTGGTGGGGGTGGGGTTATATAATCCTGCACTAGGGGTGGTGTCACTGGGCATGGCAGGCACGCTGGCTGGCTGGAACCTCTGTAAAACATGCGTGAGTGGAACATGCTCAGTTCATGCTGCAGTTCAGGCAACTATCACTAGGGTGACAATGCCCACATGCAGGATGTGAACAAGCCTAATATACACAAGACTCATAGCTGCTAATTGTGTGAATGACTGATTGCTTATCCACAGTGTATTAAGCAAAATTCAACAAGCAAACATAAAGTGTGTAACATAGAACTCATTCTTACACATTAAATGCCAATGATACATGTAAGTGGTATCATACCAATGATAGGTGGTATCATACCAAATTTAAAGTGCAAACATTGACATGTACACAACACATCAACAGGACTAGTCTGTGACAGCACAAGTCAATCTCTCAAATCTACTTGTCCTGTTACTACATTTATGTAACAATTTACTAAACAAACAACACTAACAGTTACACTGTGCAAAGTGAGAGGCAAGTTTCATGCAGGAAACATATAAACATGCAACTTATAAATACAGAAAAATGCACCAGTAAAGTTCAAGTATTTAGGGACAGTAGATAAGAGAACAGTAGACAGTATGACTATGAGGAGTGGAATGTATGGAGATAATGGTTTCACTTGACAGTAAATTTTATCAAAGAAGAGATAAGTTTAGTTTATTAGATTTATTTTTATACTTCCCTTGCCAAAGGCAAACCATTGTTGATATTTTTTGCACGGTTTGGTCTTATTAGCTAGTACTAGTAACATCTCCCATTCCTTTACTGTAAATTTTACAGTTGTTTTTGGGAGTTACATGTATAATGTTGTATTACAAAAGAAAAGGGGGAGTAGTGTAACAGTGTGGTTCAAGTGCCACCAACTGAACTGGTCCGGGCCTTATAGCCTAGCGGTTGGTATGTGGGGTTCTTGAGCTGGCGGCCCAGGTTCGATTCATGGGAGCCAGGGGTGTCCGTGTTTCCACATAGTGTTTCTATGTCCCTTGTTTTTCAGCTAGAGGAGGAGACCTGGTTGTCTCCAGGTTTGTTAGACAGGAGGAAAGGCCAGGCTTGAGCAGGAGAGTAAAGAATAAACTGCACACTGTAAAGAAGTACCCCATCGGTAGGACAAGGGTTAAGGTAGGCAGACTGCTGAGACTGAGAACCCACATAGAAAGGGAGGTCAGCAGATAGAGGGTTAACATTGTAGAAATAAAGATAGTAACAAGAGTCAAGTTAAAAGGAAATATTAATTACCATATAATATCATTGACAGAAATAGCTAGTCAGAAATAGTATAACTCAAAACTCAAGTGCTGTAAGAATTTATACAGACAAAAATGAGTGTCAATGCCCTCTGAGCATTTTTGGTCATATTCCAAGTTTAGATATAAATGACATCATAAATATACATGTACCAAAGTTGATATTAGGCCACACCAATTTAATACGTTGGTTCTCAGATTTGCCCGCTTCATTTTTTTCTGATTTGCAAAGAGAAAAATATTCATTTGCTGAATCTACTCCAAATGTTCATATTTTGGCCCATAAATTTGAAGAAAATCCACGCCTCATCTTGCTAACTTTATCACAGTTTTGAATTCCATCTATCAATGCAGTGATCTGATTAAAATTTTAAAATATTTGAATTACAAACCAGCACAATATGTTGATTTCATGGCTCCTATTGTAGCACATGGGGCTATCAGAGGATGCCTTGGTCTGTTTTTATTTATTTTTTCCTGTTTCTTCATATTTTTCTAAAAAATCTGAGAACCAACAAATCAAAATTCAATTGGTGTGGCCTAAGATACACATTTCAGTTATCTCTGACCAAATTCAATCCAGCCTTCAAGGAAAGGAATCTAGTGCCAATGTTGGAAAGGAATTTTGCCATATATAGTCACGACATTGTCAGTTAAGTTACTAAGAACCAGATCACAGTCACACTGTTGGAAGTCTAAGTGTAACATCCTGTTTTAGATGTCCTTGAGAATTCCTCAAAACAAGTCTGGACGGACTTATTTTAGTCACGTTCCAGTGGCAGCACTGAATAAAGATGTTCTTTTTACACAACCAAGTGTTTTATTCACAGCCGACGTTTTGTTGACCGTCTGTCACCTTCCTCAGGGCAATTCTAACTGGTTCACATTGCACTGCAGCACAGGTGTCACTTTAAATAGATGCATTCCCAAATGTAAAGTATTTACATATCTACCTGGTTACAGGGAACAGTATGTACAGTGCGGCCCCAAACGTACAGGAGAGTGATATATACATAATTGTTTATTACAGCGAGTTAGACAGTCACTGAAACGTTGACTGAATAAACCGCTTGGTTGTGTAAAAAGAGTATCTTTATTCAGTGACTTACACATCTGATGAAACTATTTGCCGAAGTAGGGAGACAATTTTCTTGATGTTTTCTACAAGGAATGTATAATATTTTGATTTCTGTGCCGACCCCCCAAATGGACTAACCCACCTTTATTACCGTTGGCTGGGCTTGTATTGTGGGAGCTGCTGGCCCAGCCGGGGTTGCTGGCATTGGTCTCCCCCTGCCGTCCCCTCTGAAATACACACAAATGGTACAGTCCAGTTTAAAACTCAGAAACACACTAGAATGTAGTGGTAGGTAGATGTAGATGAAGCGGCTTCACCTAACATCTTGCTAATAGCGTGAAAGTACGTACATACATGACATAGTGGGCATTCCGTTCCAGGTCAAAAAGGAAGCCTGACAAAAGTCATGGCATGCAGCAGCCAAACATCATTAACTCATGTTTGTTGACTCAACACCTGTCTGGACTCTTGGCTACTTACCCCCAGTGATGACTAAGGACAAGAAGTACAGGTGGCATTACAGGCATCCTATGCAACTTCAGGGTGGCAAATTATATTCTGGATGAGGAAATCTGTCTGATATTGCTATTCCTTAGCACATTTTTGTCATCATTTCATACTTGAACCATTTGAAATAGCCCCAAAACAAGCCATCTCTTTATTCACTTCAAACAGGTGTCGTGACATCTGCTTACTATATTCTTTTGTCATCTAGTGATTTAGATAAGTACTCTGATAATCACACACTTATCATCACCATTATTAGCAGACTCTTATCAATATCTGTCACTGAGATAACTCTGTCTCCACCATTGCTTCTATGCTGACCTACATATGGTTCTGTGTAGTTTGGACAAAATCTTTCCATATCATCAAAAGTGGTAGTCTTCTTCTTTTCATCTATCTTACATTAGGATTGTTTTTTCTTAATCTTATTTTGCAATTTACAACATTTATTTGCTCATTTTGCAGCTGCTTTGTACAATTTACAGTAGAGTTAAAGACTTTTTTTTGGAAACGGACGAAAGTTCATGCTTGCGCAGAAGTCATCCATATGACGTGGTCTAACATCCTCATCATCTCATATCCTGGCCTAAGCCTAACACAATATGGAATTTTGCTGAATGAATATTTCATTATGGTGACAAATGGCAGTGGAATGTGGTAGTTCCTGTGTGACCCAGCTACTGAACCATGGATGTAAACCGCTGGAAGTTGGAGTAGACGTCAGCAAGCCCGTCACCACGGACACCACAAACAGCCATCCCAGCCGCCAGGACAGGACTTCCCCCATGACATCAGCAACTGGGTCCATTCCACACCAAATATGGGCATTGCAGTCTGGCAAAGCCTGGTCTTCAACCCCAGGAATGTGCCTGCCGAGGTCATGTTTGTCTCATACCTTCATTTTTCTTCCACAGTAAAAATACACAGGTTGTAACAATACGTTTTCCAGCCTGGAACTTGAAAGTGCTAACAAAGAAAATTTACTGCTAATCCAAACATATACTGAACACAGCTTGTTTATATTAGTTATACATATCAAGCTATGATTGCAAGTCAGGTAGGACTTTTATTAAGCTAATATCCTTACCTTACCTTATCACAAAATTACAATTGAGTATTTGATGGTACATTGTAATTTAAATGCAGAGATTTCAAGATGAAGCTACAGCTTAGAAAAACCTAGATATATGGATTACTATTTCAAAGCAACATAAACTAACATATTTGTTTATAACATTTGAAATAATTTTTCAATGAAATTTTGCAACTGTCTAAACTTCTCAAGCAATAGCCAAGGAAACGGAATGTGTCCTTGATACTACTCACTACTCAAACAATTTGACCTTTCAAGTCGTTTATTTCACAACGGAAAACCCAAAGGCTGTTTTAGAAAGTCTGGTCCCTTGCCGATCCTCAATATACTACATGAACCTAGTTGCCTTAACTCAACCTACGTTATCAGATTTTCTATATACAGAAAAAAATGGATGTAATCTATCATTCTAAGACATTCTGGGGGTGGATATTAGAGTAAATATGGAGTTCAACTGGCTTTTATAGATAGAAGAGGAGGGGCTGGTAATGTGAGATTTCCCCAGTCAGCAGGCTATGTTTGGAAGGGTGCTATTTTGGGGGGTCAAATGTGAAGGAGACTGAGTTTGCCTCCAAGGTTGTTTGTTGCCCAACCCTGTATACTATACTATATGTAGGTTTGGACTTTTCAAGCTGGTCAGTTTACATTTTCTATGACATGTATATTTGGAAAATCCCTCTTAAAGGCATCCAATAAGATTTAAGTCATCTAACGAAAAGTGGATTTTCAAGGTCAATTTCTGATCATTCTTGTAATGTAGTAAGTTGAACCAATCCTATCCCATGGCATACTGATATCTGTGGGGCAAAAATGTGATGTTGCTGACAGAAAACAGTTGCTTGTTTTGTATCATAGGCTGGTTCTAGCTATTTATGGGTGGTACCCAAAAAGTAAAGAGATGCCTCAAGTAGCTTTTTGGACTATATCTATAGATTGTTGTTCAATACAACATGTGACAACAGAAATAAAGATGCCATTTTAATCATAATTATAACAATAACATATAGGGAAGCATGTTCTTTCTACTGACAAAATTCAACTATATAGCTATTTACAAAAAAAGCTGAAATAATTAGATTAAATTAGATTACAAATTCCAAGGGTGTTGAAACGTTTTCAAAGTGACCAGACTGTGTTTTCAGCTGTTCCAATATCTGACAGCAACAGTTCAGATAAAGGACAGCCCTGCAAGGCCACAACCCAGATTTTGATAGATAAGATTTTTACCACACTTTTTAAAGTCAATGTACACACATTTCTAAGTGGAATCTTTCATTCATGGTCAATTATGTTTATAACATTAACATTATGCCTTTAATAACTAACTCCGTACACATCAAGTAAAAACTTTTGAAGGAGAACTTCCTTGCTTCTTGGAAGACCTTTTGCACTCTAAATGTCTAATTAGGTTATTGTTCGGGTCAATGCACAAGTCATTTCACATTCTCCCAGAACTACTTTTGGGACTAAATTTCTCTCACATGTAAAATTGGTCACACTCAAAGCCATAATGATGTAATTTACATAGCACAATATATAGAAGTGTCACCACTATATATATAAGGTCTCCTGTAGGCTATATTTGTAACATACCTAGGATGGGAGTGTCTATGCTATAGTATTGAAGTGTCGGCATCTATAGATGCATATCTATGGAGTAATTATACTTTAGGCTGCGCTGTATCAGATGTCAAGATGGCGACCGGGGTTACTACGGGTCATGGACAATCATTGTCCAAAGAACAAGTTCCCAACTTTTGCTACAAAAGGAAAACCTGTGAACTCCTGTTTTGTTTGAGGCCTCACTTCATTGTTTTACTATACATTTCTAGATGGGGTCACAACACAAGGTCTTGCTGGAGTTTGATATAGCTTTTTGCCAAGAGTAAAATACCAAACTTAATTTTCCATGTAGTTACACTTCTGGCATGGCCAAAAGACATGTATAACATATAATTAACAAGTTCCTGAATAAAGACAAAGTCATCATATTCAATTTCGGAGAATCTTCACATTCCAACCACATCAACTATGTCATTCTGTTATTTAAAAAAACACAGCATATAAAAGTGTACTGTTGAACATCCCCCTTTCGGATATCATACAAATATAGCTTATCGGTAACACATAGTACTTTGGTAAGTTCTTATAATACTATCACATAAACAAACAACTCTACCCCCCCCCTCCCCTTAACCTTTAAACTCTTCATGGGTCTAATCAATATTTGTTTAGCACTGCTGGTGTGGCTAACTTAGTAGGTTATAAGTATAGGTGAGGGACTGTAATTTTTTTAGATTTAGCATATATCATTTGCATTATACCTGAATTTCTAAACCTGATTTTAGTTATCTTTTGTATGTAGGCATATTAATATTTTGTTTCACGGGTGTTAATTTGATTGTATATTGGAACAATAAAATGGGAAAGTTACAAAAACATAAAGCATGCCCGTAGCCAGGATTTTGATAGGGGGGTTCTTCCCACTGCTTGAGGGGACCTCGAGCGCCGAAGGCGCGAGGTTCGTAGGGGGTCCGGGGCATGCTCCCCCGGAAAATTTTGAAAAATGAACCTTCTAAAATGGCATTTCGTGCATTTTTGAGAGGATTTCCAAGAAAAAATCAGAGATAAATTTTTATTCAATGACAAAGGAAGCAGTTTTTCTACGATTCCAGTCCATCTTTTCAAGAAAAATATTGGACCTTTACATAAAAAGTGGACCAAAAAGTGGACCTTTACATAAAAAGTGGACCAAAAAGTGGACCTTTGAGCCTTGTGGGGGGGTTCGTCCGAACCCCCCGAACCCCCCCTGGCTACGGGCATGTAAAGTCACCTGCTCAAGTTATGAATTACTTTTGTGATCTCTTTTTGTCATATATTGGCCAAAAACATGATCCAGTTATTGAATCTGACTGTATCCCCAATGCTATTATCTTGGATTTAATAAATTTTGTTGTCAACAACAAGCTACTAGTCTAGACCTCTGATATTCATCATACCAACATGCCCGTAGGTCATGTGATTGAAGTTGGATTTGGTTCCCTTTGTAGTTGAAGGAGGGCCCAAAACATGTCTGATAACTTAAGTCTAGACTCTAGTGCAACATGACCTAACCAATCAGAGGCCTGTTTTTCCACCCATGTTGATGCATACTGCATTTCACGATTTTTTCGCAGTACGTTTACAGATTTCAGTCACTTCTGTACCGTGAACTTATCATTGCCACTGAACATCAATCGCTAACTTTCTTTTTCCTGCACCTGCCACCACTGCGAACATACATGTATAGTTCTGTGAACACCTCCATTTTTCTGAGACTGTTAAATTTTGCTACTGTAAACATAAAGCGAAGTACAGTTGCTTTTGGTGTTCCTGACTGAAATACAAAACCTAGTTCGTTAGAACAGTCTACCTTTTAGGTGATTAGGTCAGGTCTCCTGGGTTATGTCTGTATACTAGAGGGGATCCTGGTTCAAACAAATGTCTTATCAAAAATTCATGGGGAAAAGAGGGACACATATCATATATCCTACCCTAGTGTGTCCTGAATATAACAGTCAGAGTATTGGTATGTACAGTAAATTAGATTTTGGACACCTCTGTACAGTGTTAAAGATACCCAATGCAAATTCAAAATTAAAGGCATCAACTGATGGTCAAAACTAGATTTTCAAAGTAAATTTTTTGGTCATTCTTTTAATGTAGTATGTTGAACCAAGCCTATCCTATATCATACTGATAACTGCAAGGCAAAAATGTGCTGTCACTGACGGAAAACCGTTGCTTGTTTTGTAACGTAGGCTGATACTAGCTATTTATTGACTGTACCCAAAACATATAAAGAGACACCTCATGTAGCTTGTTTTGGGGCTATTTCTAACAATTCAAGTATGAAACAATGATGAAGAAATGACAGTATAAGTTACAGATTTTCTCATCTAGAATATTTTTGCCACTCTGAAATTGCACTGGATGCCTATAAATATAAAAGATGGCATGTAGATGTACATTACCTGACAAGAGTGAGCTCTAGTTGTCCATCGTTGGTCTTGATTATGTTCTGTGCCTCGATATGTGTCAGTGTTTCTGCTGCCCGGGCTCCGATCCTCAGTACCACATCCCCTGGAGCAATGTTGGCCATAGAAGCCCGACCCCCAGGTGTTACCTGTGGACAAAAGGTTGTATCATCGTAAACTTGGGGACAGAGAAATTTCTCAGAAAAAGGGGTCTTCTTAGACCAAGTGGTCTTCTTATGCAAAAGGCATGGAGAAAAGACAATACAGAAAACTGCAGCAAAATTCAGTATCATTTTACAATTGGCTATCCCATTGACCAAAAGACTGGCCGATTTCATCAAGATTTTTTGCTAGTTATCATAAAAAAACATGCTTGAAAATGGCACTGTTGTCATAGGCAGAAATTGGGCCATGTGCCAGTCCTAGTTAATGCTTACATCTATGGAAAAAAATCGGGACCAAGAAAAAGCAGTTGTGGTCGGCAAGTTTGACTGTATCAAGTTATTTCTTAAACAGTGATTAAGGTGTATTTCATCAGAATATTTCTTGACTTGTGTTTTAACACTCCTTTGAAGTACAGTTCTGCCAATGATGATAAATAGTAGCCTGTGTATACACAAGCTCTCGGCTGGAGGTTAATGACCCGGGGGGCGGCAACCTAGGGCGGCGGCCGCCAGGAGCGCGATTTAGTCAGGCTAGATAAATAGCAGCTATAATAACAAGTACACAATCTGACTTCTCTATGGCTTAGTACGATACAATGATGCCAGAAATGCTGACAAAGACATTATATGGATGCTTAGTAGCTTGGATACAGCAACAAGTGATTAGCCAAAATCATCAACCAAGGGCTTGGAGGGCAACTGACAGTGTATTATGTTTCTCCAGTGTGTTTATACAGGGTGCCAGTAAATGGACCCAGTACTTGTGGTATGTGTAGAAGGACCTTGGCACTGGGAGGGGCTGGATAGAGGTGCAACTTGTGGTGTGTGCAGTATACTTGTACTTCTAATATTACTTCTGCATGGTTTCTAGTTCCTAGATTTGGCAGGCAGGGCACACATGGGACCAGTTACTCTAGTAGTTAACTTATAGGCAGGGGAATGCTTGCTGCAATTTGTGTTTCCTGGTCACCAGATTTGGCACACATTTCAAAGGATTAACAGATATTTAGTTGTTAAACACTCCTGGCGATTATTCTAAAACAAAAATAGCCATTTTGCTTTCATTTGTACGATCTGATGGAATGACTGCGGCAATGATAATGATCACACATACACAGTTGACTGTACCACACATAAATAATTTTTTCTTGTCTGTCTTGACTACAGTGCAGGAGCTCTGATATCTTTAATAGCTTTCAAAGTAAATAATACATTCTTTACAAAATGGGCACCACACCCCTCAAGAATGCATTACATAATTCATAAAGGATGTTTCTAGATAGCAACCAAAAGCCACACCAACTCAACCACTCATTATTCCCTCAATTTCATCTTCTGGTGATATGCCTATCTGAAATCCTTATAACACAAAGACTTGAAAGAGATACCATTGACATGAAAGGCTCACTGTATATGCAGTATATTGAATTTCACACTGGTATAGTGTGATAGCATCCAAATTACAAAAAGCCTATTCTTGTAAAATATCATTTACTATCAATTTGACACTACTTTTACTTTTTTTTTCATCATCTCAAGAAATTACCATTTCCTTCCACATGTAAGCATTTCCTTACAATCTATTCATTCAATGTCATTTGTCTTCTACCTCTATCCAAGGAGGTTATAGCGTTTCACGATAAATTCCTTGCTCTAACTCCCCTTGCTCTTGCTCTAGTCATCTTCTAAATGACTTTCCTACAACTAAAAAGAATGTAAGTTAATACATAGCTGTCTACCCTTAAATTATCTGCAATCAAGTTCTTCTGAGGTACCTATTTTGGGCATTCATAGAGCTGACATGCACCCACCCACCCCTAACTATGGGATATCCTGATTATACACTCATGCAGCTGCCAATCAACTATGACTGATTGATTGACAGTTGAAAACTACAAGTTTCATCGCCCTGATTAAAGCCCTACTAGGTGATTTATCTCTCACGCTGGCTTCAAATTGTCTACAACATGCAGTTATTTTCACACTCCTGGGCAGGGGAGTAGCAAGCAGCAACTGACCCAAGAGGAATGTCTGGGTAATTCCAAACATTTACTTTAACCCCTCAGCAACACACTGTGGACAGGGTTTTTGACAGTCCAGTTTGCCTAGCTGTAGAGGGCACACTGATACTTCCTGAACTCAGCTCAAATCTACAGGAATCAGGCAAATTAGTGCTTTGCTGCTGATAGACGAATCTGAGTTGGTTATGACCATATAAGATCGGGTCAGGGATAACTTGTAAGCTGATACTTGGTTCTATTCCTGTGAAAAGGTTTCGCCCTCCCACCCGTAATGCACACTCATTTATTTATGGCAGGGTAAAAACGGGTGATTATGTTTCCTACTTTATAGCTCCTAATACCCGTAAGGAAAGCAAATGTACAGCTATTTTACGGCAAATCCCTCTAATTAAAACCATAATTAGTTCGTTTGTAATTAATTGTCCGACTGTTAGGAAGCCCGCAGAAGCGGAACCAATCGCAATACAAACTTCGCACAATAGACGTGTTTGTGCAACATGGAACAGCCGTGTTATTGTGTGTCATCGTTTTGAAAACAGGGCGGGGAGTTAGGGCAACCGTTCACGATGATCTCATCCTAGGAAAAAAAATCCACGTCTGTGAGTGTTTGCAGACCTTTTAACACAAACCAAAAGTAAAAGGCTTGCGTGACAGGGAAACTAGCCCTGCCACTTCTGTGCTCTACTTCTGTCAAATGATGACGGCATGAAATTATAGTGCACGGGCGTCGTCTGCACGGAGGAGGGAGGGGGGCCTACATTTAGCTCGCGTACGTACTTACAGCTCACTGCAGTTCGCAGCTCTAAAACTACAGTAAGACGGCTTGACAGTTGTGTGTCACGAATGTCTGGAAAGTTCTCTGACTAGCTGAGGTGGGGAGGGGAGCAGGGCTAGTGTCGGAATGTCCTGGCTCCGTTGCGGTCCCCAGCACAGCGGTCCGCCTATTTTGGGCTGCGGAAGATAGGTATGCCCGGAACGCACCAACGGGACAAAAATGAGACCAGGGCAGATTCGTAGCAAAATCTGTGAGACAAAAGGCTGGCAGGGGGACAGAATAATACTTCAGTCTCTCCTACAATCATAGACGATTTCCTTCCATAGACTGTCAGTTCTATGAATTACAGGGTTCAGTGATCATAACAGTCCGCTAAGTACAGTGAAAGTTGACAGATTTCGTGAGGAGTTCTTACCCTAGAGATGGACAGCGGCGAGGAGAGATCCTTCCCGCCCGAGAGGCGGAAGCCCCAGGGCGCGGGCCCCGGTAGAGTGACCTGGTATTGCTGGCCCGACGCCATGCTGTAACGTCCTGTGTACCAGAAGCAGTGACCGGAGAAACTTTGCCTCCCGTCCGAAGGACGGCGATGTTCGGTGAGGGACTTCCTGGGGTTTGCACACGGCACGTTGTCCTATCGAGACTGTTTTGCACACGGCACTATTAGGCAGTGGTATGGTCCAAAAAAGGGAGACCTGTTTACGACTTCGCATCTAAATTTTGAGCAAAATTCTTATGAGTAAGCAAAAACAAAACTAATCCTTACTGACAACTATGCTACTGTACAGGTATTAATGATCTTCGGACTTAACATCAAGTTAATAGGTTTCTTTCAAACGCCCTTGATACATATTACCCAACGGCAGTTGTTTTGGTACGGGCCCGCCCACGGATTGCAGTCGAAACAGGATTTGTGCCAGACAGAGGTTCAAATTGGATAATTGAGCTTACTCACGGCAAACCTTCAGCCAAGGATGGACCTGTACAGTCCAGTGACGTACAGGTTTACTCAGTTAAAGCAAAAAATACACCTGAACCCATTTTCATGTCGATAACGGAGGCACCTGTACTGAGACCGGAGTGGTTCAATGCAAGGCCTATACGGCCACTTCTCGGCATTGAACTAGAAATTAATATGAGAGAAACATGGCTATGTCAAGAGATGATGGTGAACAGTTGATTTGAAAGCCTGTAGATTGTAGGTTGGTGGGAAACACTTGTCAGGGAGGGAATTCCAAAGCTTGGCCGTACTGAGAAAGAAACTGTCACTGTAAAAAGATTTCGAACAAGGAATTTGAACGGTGAAGTTGTGAGCTAGTGGAGAACTAGAAACAAAGTTGAAAGTTTTTGCCATGATGATAGTTTTTCTCCACCAAAGAAATCGACCAAAATTCTATGCGAGCTAGCTCGAGAATCGAAATTAAAATCTTGTCAACATTTTAAAAGCTATCTATTCATCTGTTGACACAAGATAAACGTGAGATCCTGAAAGTAATAAAAGATTTTTTTTTAAATTCGTGTTTGCCACAAATATTGAAATTATATTGGACTCGAAAAAAGAAAAATTCATATTTGCAGAAAGAACTTGATTAGGCTACGTTGCATGACAGCATGAAACACAGCATATTGATAATCAAAATGCATAACTTTGCTCTAATTCATACTTATCCTAAGACTGACGGCGGCATTTCTCTCGTCAATCAGTAGTCATAGAAGTCACTCTTGTTCATGATTTTTTTTATAACCTGGTCACTGTGGTTAGTATTAGTATATTGTCTTGGGGTAATGGGACTTCGGCGCACTGTTATGTCAACTCCATTTATATGTTGACTGTATTTTGTTGTGTGGCGCTGTTAGAATAAGTTTAATTAAAACTTGAGTGCAGTGCCGCACTGTTATTGTTATTGATTTGTTATGTATTTATCTATGAATTCTTACTCAATATTACTTCTACGTACTTTCCGAAATTACAAAGACAGTACCTTCAAAGGTCTATTTGATATATTTAAGGCGTGAGCAGAGTTTCCTGTGTAGACGTATGGTGTTACAGACCTGAATGAGTCAGGGAAAGGAGCGCTTGGGGGAAGACGCACCTAGGATATGACAAAATGGTAGAGACTGACCAAATGACTGATTATTTTCAAGACATCAGTAAGGCAGAGCTAGGAAGAAATCAGTGTGTTCCCCAACCGACACTAGCAACAAGAAATGCCTCAAAGTTTTATTAAAAATCCCTGCCTACTGACCCTATTTTGTTTTCAGGTCCGTGATCGGAACATTAATTTTTCTAGTCCTAACAAACCTGTGAATTTGTAAGTTGCAGTATGATTGAGGAACCCTGCACCTCTGTACGGTGACACGTTATAGAGAATAAACCATTGTATTTATCCTATTTGACCAAAGTTCCAAGAAAACTAACAAAAATATGATGCGCAGTTCCGCCAATGGCCACTGCCGTAGCCCGAGGCGCTTCCTACCAGTCGTCAGAAAACTTTGGTCGGAGGGGTTGACTGATCGAAATAAACTGCAGAAAGCAATGCTGTGTTATGGGAACTCAACACAATTTCTTTGGAATTGTCAGAACGTATACATATATAACAATGTATCTGTGTGTGTGTGTGTGTGTGTGTGTGTGTGTGTGTGTGTGTGTGTGTGTGAGGGTATGTGTGTGTGTCTGTCCATGTGTGTGTGAGTATATGTGCGTATGTAAGAGAGTGTGTGTGTGCGCGCGCCTGTGTGTGTGTGTGTGTGTGTGTGTGTGTGTTTGTGTGCCTGTGTGTGCGTTCGAAGCTGTAACTCATAATCTGTTTGCTGAATTGGTATGTAGCAGGGCATTTAGTATGCGTGAGATGATGCACGCTCTTTTTGTTACACCGTATCAACCGTTTTCCTTCTTGTTTCAGGCTTTGAAAGGGAATACATGTCGGTAGATTATGTAATGAATTAGACAATTAGAACAAATAATGCAAGTCAGGAGGTAGTTTGTATAATCAAGATTTATCAATTCACTGCATTCCATGGTAGGACTCTCGAACATGTGACACGTACCTGAGACAGAGAGGAATGTCACTAGGTACTAGTGCTATCAATTATGCAAATTAGGATAAATTAGAATTTGCATAACTGATAGGAAAACACTATAATACTGTAAATCGTACAAAATGAGCGAATATATGTCGTATGTTGCAAAAGGATTGGAAAACGATACTAATGCTATGGAATGCCGAAATCAATTCAGGAAAAGAAGAAAATGTGAAGAAATGAAAATGAAGAGTCTTATTATGAAGGAAACTTTTTTTGCCAAACGTTTCTTTTATATATATATTCGCACGCTCGCGTCAGAACATTGTTAAATGGAAACCATGCAAATGTAAAGAGAAATTTTACAATAGTTTTCTTTGCTATGATAAGACTTCCATACATTGTATCTGCGTGCGTATTGGATACTGTATATGACGTTGCCACTGAAAGAGCTGCTTGAAGATAAATTTCCAGAGTCGAACGCTTTTGATGCGTTACAACTTAATGCGATTCTCACTCTGACCACAAGGCGTCGCTTTTGATCAACCTCAGTTTACACATTGAACTTTGTAAACGGAGCACTTGTTATCTTCGCCAAGGTTACGTTTTCGTTTAGTTGTGTATGTGTGTGCACGTGGTGCGTATAACGCGTTAACTCGAGGAGACTTCCATGAATTGTTTTAATATTTGGTAAGTTGGTAGGTCTTGAGATGGGTACCACAAGAAGTAGGGTGAGTGATATCGTACATGTATCTGTACAAATTAAAGTCAAATTCAAAATTTCGTAGTCGTGTAAAATACTAGTAGTACGACGCTCGTATATCCAACTTACGCCTATTTCTATGCTATGCAGACGAATAATAATCATTAAAATTTTATATTGTAATAATTGGAGTATAGAATGTCGGCATGTGAAGACAGAAACTGTTACAAAGTAATCATTATACAACTAAGACATACAAATCAATGATGTGTGTTGATTATAATCCGTTCTATAAGGTATTATCGACGTACACTTGAAAAAAAAATCTCACACAACAGTGTATCATCATTGTGTTAACGTCCTTTAATAAGGCATTAGATCTAAGCACACGACAATGTACTAGACAACAAAGCAGGATCTTACTATATCAAGCCATATTTCTATTATGACGTACTCAATGACGTCATTACCAGACAAGAAGTGATACCAGCACAGAAAAAAAATTAAAATGGCAGACCGGTGCAAATATATATAGTATCTGGCTTAACATAACATCCCGTACAAATATGTGCACTCCTTATATGTCATCCAATATTTATATATCACTCCAGCCTTGGGGGCGTTATACTCCAAATATAGCCTAGGAGGCGATAACTCCAAAATTATAACTTCTCACAAACCAGCCTACAACATATCCCCAAACAAAACAGCTGGAATGTTAAACAATTTTCTGACATTTTCTTCAGATAAAAACATACCTCAATTCAACAGTATATTCTCTAAAAAACAGACTTCGGTACAGCAAAAACGTATCATCTATGAACGAGCTAATATTTACATGCTAGTAGTCAACTTTCGGCCAATTCCAACACTTTCTCTAGCTACCTAGTCTTCATGACATCAAACTTCACACAGCAATCCAGCCAATCGCGTCACAAGATATACTCTAGTTCTCCAACACAATAAACTGTGAGCAGAGATATATAAACTCAGAACTCGGCATAGCCCAGACAAAACTTCCATATATGGACAAAGAAGACGTATATGGCTATAACATCCAAATATGGCCAGTCTCCATAGTGCGTTCTGTAAGAAGTATAGTATACAACCGTGCGTACAGATATAGATAGAACCAAAAGGAATATAGTACAAACCTTTACCTCATTCTCCTCTAGGGATAAAAATGATACAACAGTGATAATAGTATAACTCTGGGTTGCTTGTAGTATAACATCACAGTGATAATGTATAACTCCCATTTACTTGGACTAAAATATCTCCGATCTTTCACTTTACAGACAATAAATGTATGATACATGGCAAGATTTTCCACAGTCTCGAGCGGTCTCGCGATACTTTACGAGACTCTAAAAAACAAATTTCCTATAGTCATGATTGTTAATAAGGCAAGAATTGGACGGTTACAGTAAGGGCACAGCATGGTAAAACTTTAACTCTCTACTCTACACAAAACATTCTTCTTAAGATCATCTTAGGCACTTAAAATCTCAAGTCTCAGTGATTGTCAGTTCATCAGTGCATTACTACCTTCTCAAATTCATCTTTTCTCAATTCAAATCTCCACAGGCAGCACATATGAGAAATGCAAGCCACAATATAATACAAATTTAGTCCTACAACTGGACGTCAATAAAATACAGTATGGTCAACTATGACGTCTGTAATATCAAACTTAATATTTTCGGTGAGCCTGTGCAAATACATGTGTTTTAGATCAAAACTCTGGTCTCGAAATAAAACATTGTTTAAGCAGCGAATATTCCATGAAAGTCAAATTATTTGGTACACTGTTACCGTTCTTATGAGGCAAAATGTGGACTTGATATGCAAAAAAAACTTTGGTGATACTTATAATAATACTTTTCCTGGATGTTACAATGACATTTGATTGTACTGGCCTGTTGTGCCATCGGCAGTAAGTACATACTAGTACTCAGGTCCATCGACAAACGCTTGAAGTATAACAGACAATGTAAAACTGTGTCTAAAGTTAAGTTAGTCATTTCTAAATAGTAAAACATGCTATTACAGATGGTATATGAAAAGCATTGTTGTAGTTTAGCTATCGGTAGAATGGGGCGAGAAACATTGACCAGAAGACCGTACAATGTAGCAAAGTCAGTTCTGAACCATGCATCAGCATTAGTTTTCCACAGTTGTACAGCAGACTTTCCATGATTTGAAAATAGCAAACAGCAGAAAGCAAGCTATTGGGTACTTTTTGGGTATACAACTGACGAATTGTCTGCCACAGACGTTCTGGAAGGCACAGACGGCTTGAAGTAAGTTATGTTCTGTGAAAGGGCACGTTGTGGTATTGCTAATTTCGAAGGCACGCTGGAAGTATCATTATATTAGTTACTTCAGCCAAGTAGCGATTAAAATCGGACACACGCCTCACGACAGTCGCTTAAAAGAAAACCACTTCCATTGTTAGCGTTAGAAGTTCATGTCATGTTTTAAACCAAGTACACTGTACTGATTTTTTCAATTTTTGGCGTTTGAGAACACTGCCTTTTGCCGTGAATACTCTTTCAGTGCCTATCGACAGTAAACAGGCTTACTGAACACGGCGGCAATAGTAACCCAAAGCCTTGCATTTCTCACAGAGGTGCTGCGGGTGTTCCTTGCTCTGGTCGGACACATCAAGGCCATCTGGCTTCTCCAGAGGGCGCTGCAGAGAGAGACGAAATGTGGAAATACCATCAGTTTTCGCCAGGGGGCTCTGTAGGGACGAGAGAGGGGAAACAACTCAGTCATGCGTGCAATCTCAGTCAGTGACAAAAATATCGGTTTGAAACACACACGTGAAACAAAAAGCAATGCGGTATTGCTAAGTTCAAGCGGTATGCAAGCAGTTTGTTCGATACTTCGTGCACACAAAATAACGCAGCAAAAATCAGCCCCGGTCGTGCATCAGGAAAGACTGTTTCTACAGTCTCATATGAAACAAATACGCCAGCGCATTTTATCTTGAACTTAAACTCAAGTCGAAGGCATGCCCTCACACCCAAAGCATTCGCATCAAACCATAAACATGCGTGAAACCGGTGTCGTATTTCCAGTAAATATGCTGATGTTATGACCCGCGACTGGTTCATTCAACGCGCCGCTGGAAATAGTAGTGAACCAAAATTGAAACACAGCCGTGCGGTTTTTCCATCCTTGTTATTATTTTCACTCCCTCTGTATGTGGATCTGCGAATCGCCACTATGCCTGGTAACCACCCACGGGTCCGGCATAGGGGTGTTCTATCGCCTCCAGTCTAGTAGCCCATAACACGCTACCTGGGCCCAACTGAGGTACTCTCCAAGCAGAGGTTTGGATTTTGGCTTATTTTGGGCGTGTTTTCAGGCTTTTTTTATCGGGTTGATATCTTTTTTACGCCAACCCAAATAAAAGATACCAGTACAAAGAAAGCCCGATATAAAAGCCTAAAAATACGTAAAAAAAAGCCAAAACCCAAACCTCTGCTTGGACAGTATAACTGAGGGGGGCTGTGGTATTATTTCCTTCAAAATCCTTGGGAGCATGTTGGTCCTGGAACTGGCCTGAGTAGGCCCTGGAAAATTGAAGTCTGGCATTCAGGCTATCATTCCTGCTATCATTCTGACAGTCGAATTCCACCCCGTAAAGATTCCCCGGAGTGCGCAAATTGACCTAAGCGGGCGAGCAACACTCCCAGCACCGAGGGTGACCCCGTGAAGCTCACGGTGGGCTGGTACCAGGCTACCCTACCCGGCATGCACGCAGAGCGCCGCGCGACTCACCTGTTTGTGTGGGTACACGTTGATGCGGCACTTGATGCACTCCTGGCCCATGTTGGCCCAACTATTCCCACTCATCCACTTGCGCTTGCACTTGGGACACTTGTACTCGCCGAAACACCGCTTCTTCCCCTGGTAGGGCGTCAGTCCCTCTCCCTTCGGACGGGCCTGGAAGGAGCAATAATGTAACGGTCAATTCAGGTCTATGTAAAATGAGAAAGAAAATGAACAAGTTCAGCGTATACAAGATTGTCTTCTGTTGTTCTCAATTAACAGTGCTGCATGGTCGTGCCTAATTTGCCTTTAAATCTAAAAATAAAACAAACAAACAAACAAACAAACAAAGTACAGTGTATTATGTGATCTTTTCCTACGCCCGTGCTATGAAATGTGTCTATTTATTTTTTGTCACATGCCCAACAGTTCAACGTGATAGATCGAATCTGCAGTAATAATCTGCTTCGCTAAGTGTCGCTCATGGATAGCCTGCTGTGGTTTTCTACGTCCGATTGTGAAAGCATGGCTGCATGCTATCGTCTTCTTCATCGAAAATGTTCAGCGGTCCTCTTCAATGAGGCCCGGGTATTGTTCCAGTCAGGTTTCAACTAGGCAGAAAACGCTGAAACTAGTTTTTGGACACAGTGGAGTGTGCAGGCATCTGCAACTCGTCACGATAATTCCTCACGTAATACTGAAAATGGGGTCAGGTCTGCTCTGACGTATTTATGCAATCGTGCTTTTCCGCTTGAGTATCATATATATAATCGTTTTATTTATATGTTCAAAATAGGATTACAAACGCCTGGTCTCTAGTGGCCTCTGTTTCATAAAACGTCTCATAAGGTGTTTCAGAAGACGCAAAATGTAGAACACAATATTAAATTGGGGTCAGCCAACAAACTAAAATCAACCATAACAATATCCGTATTAAACACGTCCATATATATAAGGCATACCGACTTATAAAACAAGCTGCAATTTGACCTAACTGGATGAAGTACTGTACATAGATTTGTTTTGGAATTGAAAAAAAATTCGCCAGATACTGAGATATAGAGTCGAATGCCTCACTAAAATCAACGATGCTTTTTACTTGTACGTAAACCCCATGTGTTCTCGCCGTTGTGGTAATGACAATGATGATTACATGTGCTCACGGGCGGCCTTCACTACGGACGCGCCACGGTGAGCGGGACGGGCGCTGGGTGCCCGGTGGGAGGGGGAGTGGTCTCGCTGTAAGTCAATCCAGTTGGCTTACGGGGCAGGCAGAAAGAATGTGGCGCTCCTACCAGGCCAGCTACTAACTGAAGACATCTGGTGCTGTCTGTCACTCCGCGCGTTCTGTATACATTTGGAAAGGGCGGGAAGAAGGCTAGGGGCCACAAAAAGGAGGTGTCTGTCGTCTGTGTTACATATTGTATGCACGGCTCGGTGTACACGATGATACACAACAAAATGATCCTTCTACATTTTGTTAGTTTTCTCTAGCTATCATGAAACGTCGAAATCAAAAACTGAGAGAAAATGGAAATCTACAACAAATAGAAATGCATTTATTTCAACCATCAAGCTTACGGCGCAAATCTTTGACCTTGTCTTTTTGGCAGACACGACCAAGGTGAAGACTGAAGTTCAATGCGTTGCCGGTCTTTGTGAACTTGGCAATCGATATTGACTACCGCCAGGAAACTGCCAACATCTACCACTGCTCTCCTCTGTTCTCTGATGCTGAAACTTGACACTACTACCCTGAGTCTGTCAGGATTTTCGCCAGGGGCCAGGGTTCACATCATGTTTACTCTGGCTTGTTTATCTGAGAGTTCCATTGACGATTAATTCCTCTGACTCAGGATAAAGTAGAAGCACCGGCGATGGTCCTGGGACCAAAAACACCAGAGGCATTCCCCTCTGCACAAGCTAACTGAGCCGTACAGTACATAGGAAGAAGAGTGTTCTCTCTCAAAAAGTAGAATCCTCGACCAAGAAGGGATATTAAAGAGACATTGTTTATTCTTCTTGACCCAGAAAACGGGCATAGGAAAGACATGGACATAAATCGAGGCATAAACGCTTGAGAAGATTAACATGTTGAAGGAAACATGTAACACCTGGGGCCATACGCTCCGAGCTTGTGTACATTCGTCGAAACAAGATGGCAGCCTGTCATGGCGAGTCTAACGTTTAGCTGGGAGAATCTTGTCGTATGTGACTTTTATATGTGGGGGGCAGGATGTCTGGGCAAGTTCTGATCTACAAATACTGCAGCATTCGGTATTACAACGTGTGTGCCGACGTCTGGTGATCAAGAGCAAGATTTGATATCAAAACTGCGTGTTTCAGAATTCAGCATTGCCGTCAAAAGTCCACAAAAAGACGAGTAGATCACGATGAGTCTCTCACTTAATTTAAACCGACGGAAATCTGGAATAAATCAACCCATAAACGGTTAAACGTGCGTTACTTCTCTGGAGGTGACCAAGTTCTATTCGTCCAATGGTCTGGCCGTCTACAAGATATTTCCAAGCCGAACTTAAATTCAAGGTTATAGTTCTGTACTGTACTGTATGTACATCTAGCCAGGCATCTTGTGGGAACGTGGAGTTTCTGGGCATAAGCCAAGTCGTCTTTCAACCACTGATTGGTATCTAGAACTTCAAATGAACATTTCGCGATGTCGCTGTAGCAATGCCCCGTGTGGTTTATTTCCACAAGAAACCGTCTCACCGGGCGCTGGTTACACTTTGCTCCGAGTTGGAGACCTTTTAGCGTCATATCTAAGAGCGCCCGTACAGCACAGCTAATGTTTATTTACTCTAGAATCCCCGCGACAGCTTACAAGTCGCTTATGTTTGAGATACAAAAGCTGAGCTTGGCATCAGACCTCGCGAAATAGTTTAACGAGAACTCGACGAGAACTAACAAGTAACACTGTGTCCGTGATCAACGGGCCTTGGTGTTTTAATGATTTAAAACGTGATGAAGAATACTATATAACGAACAAAAAGTGGAAAATTCTGCCTGATAGCAAGTGAAAGATCGATAAGTTTGTTGGGTTCTCAGGTCTCCAAAAAGTCAACTCTGATTGAAGCAATGAAAAACATACGAGGCAATAAACCAGGAAAACAAACAATAGACGCCGTATTATACTCTCAGCGCTATATTATTAATAGCATAACAAGCAAATACATCGCGTCAGGCCTCTATCTGCAATGTCTGCATGAAGGATCATGGAATGTCAGGTTCATGACCCCAGCTGAAATTCCACAAGCAGCTACTTTATCATTTACAGCGTGTTTCAAGGTAAACTACATTTCCGTAAAATTCCAAACAAGAAATAAAGATACAAACATGGAAATCCGTTGCAGGAAAAAACGCGGACGACGAACGTCTTTACTACCTCCAGTTTTGAACATAACCGAACACTTTAGTGATGATCTTTAGTGTAGGTCAACTTCAGGTCAAATTTAGCACCAGTTTTCGTAAGAAAGCGTCAGTCTCACTGATGTTTTATTACCAGCACATTGGTGACAACAAGGCAAAGGCGTTGTTGCAGATAACGGCTGGATGATTCGCACTCCCCTGCCAAAGGGCTATGAAGCAGTTTTCTTGTCCTGGCTTCGCTGTCCAAGATTGCTTTAGCAGTACACACAAGACAAATCACGTGAAGTTCGAATAGCGAAGATAAAAGTATCGGTACATCATTCGACAAACACTTATAAATAAATTAATTGAGAGCAAGGACACCTTGATTGAGCGTTTCTGAACTCAACAGAACTTAAATTAATAGCAAAGACCACACAAACAGGACAAAGGAATGTCCTTTTATTTTACCTACAATTTTACGTCTTTGTGTACGTTGTTAGCATGGCTTATTTTTGACGCGCTCTTCGGCATTTTTATCGTCCTTTTTTGTACTAACCGTAGTATTGGTATCTTTTTTGCTAGCAAAATGGGTCAGCCAAATGGGTGGCAAATTGTAACTGCCTGGCAAATCGACACTGTCTTGCTAATTAAAAACGATACTGTCTTTGCAGCCACCAAAAGATCTGCTTGGAGATTACCACATACGGCCTGTCCAAAACAGATTCACCAGAGACCAATCACCATGACTACCGGAAGGACCAGATGACCACCACACCAGCGTTTGTTTGTTCAGGACCTCCTAACATGCCTGATCTCCTAATGACGCTTTCCGTTTTACGATGATGGGTTTTACTCTTCAGGACGTCGACTTTTTCTCATGCCCACTCATCATCTCATGCTTGTTTTGTGGGATGTTCTATGAGATCACACTACTTGTGTCTCCGTTCGTAAAATGGCACTAGTAATAAATCAGCTTGTAATACATGTAATAATAATATCCATTTTCTTTCACAGTTCATTGTCACTATCGTAGACATGAAAAATTTCATTCAAAATTGCATATGTTTTTCCTCTTTTGTACAGGGATTTCCTTGTTTTGGGACATATACAGCCTACTATATACATCCGGCCTACTGTGCGTAAGACTCCTTAGGAACTAGCGTCAAATGTTGTTGTCGTCTTCGGACAAGTTGAAGGAAGAACGCATCGGTTGGCATAATTTTGACCGAGTCGTTGCTAACGCATTTTTTCTGAACAACTGTGAAACTGCATTTGTTGAAGTAAGCGTAGAGCTACCGTGACAATCAATGCTTCACGTCTGAAGTACTTGATTGAATGATTGGGTTGTGATAACAGTTATCCCATCCTGTAATCCAATCTTGTACATTTGATCCCCCCGGTCTACAACCTTGTGGGGAAAAAACGACAATGGCCAAGCACGACACAGGGTGGAACCGATTACAGTAAGGCTGCTGAGGAATTTGGACACATATCATGCCAAGTTGTTGGTTTTCATTACTCTCCAAGTTGAACTTTTCGGACGTTGTTAGTTGTTTTGTCTGGCATTCTATGATCACCTTTTCAAAAGTTTGCCCTCATGACGTAGGTAACGTCCGCCATGTTGGGTGTTGACAGATTTGAAATTTGCATGGTTGCACCAACCAACATGGCGGCCGTGACGTCACATTTAGACACCATATAAATGAGCACGTGGGCAGAACGCACTGCGCCTGTGCGAAATAGAACTTTGGCAGGACGTCTCGTTTAGGTCGTATCCGCGTATTTTAGGATAACGTCTCGACTATAGTTTGATAGCCGGAAAAGGTATCAGCTGCAACAGGCAAAGTTTCTGTGCAAGGTTGACAAAAGTTTGTGTAAATTTTATGGTTATTTTGAACCCCAGTTTCAATGTTCTTTTATCCATGTTAGGACATGAACTTGCAATTAACTTATTTATCAATATCCGTTTTCGCACAAGCGCAGTACGTTCTGCCGACAAGCTTACAACATGTATGTTGTGTGAGTCCAGTGTATTTTGCGCCTGCGTGGTACGTACTTGTGATCCTACCTGGGGGCAGTCCTTGATGTAGTGGCCCTTCTGAAAGCAGAGGTGGCACAGGTAGGAGGGCGGCGGGCGCTTGGTCGGCTTGCGCTCCATGGCCAGCGTGTTGATGGACAGGTCCGAGAAGTGGTCGGCCAGGGCAGCGATGTCTCCCAGAGAACCGTACGGACTCCCCCCGTTCCCGACGTTCCCGCCGCCGCCGCCGGTGTAGTTGCCGCCTCCGCCTCCCCCCATGGTGCCGCTCGGCGTCCCGCCCGCCATGTTGGCCAGCCCCGTCACGATCCCGTTCGCCAGGCTGTTGTTGATGTTGTTCATCTGCGTCATCTGCGCGTGCGCAGGAGCGCCGTTCATGCCGTTGAACATTTGCTGCCGCTCGTTGTTCATCCCTCCGGGCGCAGACGTCAGCCCCAGGTTCATGTTGTAATTCCCGCTGGGACCGCCAGGGGCCAAGTTCAACTTGTTGAATTGCTGCGGAGAGGAGAGAGAAAATTTAGAAATTTTCTAATCACCCGGTCTCTTAGTTATGTAGTTTCATGTATTGATTTGAAATACATGTATTACACCACATCTACACAAGAAGTAGTTGAATAGCCAAGCTAATTCAATTTGTCGAACTAAAGTCAAAGTCAACATTTTGTTCGATAGTTGTGTTAACCCTGGAAAACAAGGGTAAACACAATCGAAACTTGACAGTTCAAAGTACCTTCTGTAAACCCCTGGACTGTCGTTTGCACAGAAATGTTCAGAAAATGTATAGGTAATTGAGTAATAAAATGTCATAAAGAACATGCAGTCGACATATGGAGGGCTGGGGTGACAATAACTTGACCTTGGCGTGTGTCGAAACGAAGGAAGCCAAGGACAATCAGCCTATAACATCATTATATTGGTTCAACATAGGGGCACTGAAGAGCTTTCTGTGTGTGAAAGTATGCTAAGCACTTCTGGGCAAGGCTTCGGGTCAGCCCTAAAAAGCCAAGGACAAATATCGCTGGGTAGTGGGTACTACAAATTACAATGTGCCCTCAACTGGGGACGTTTGTGAGAGGGAGACTACACGTTAATCATCTTGATGTGTAAAATGATGTACTGAATATTTCTCATGAGCAAACCACCGTCTTGGTAGACTCTAATACCAGGCTTCTCGTAGCAGCTGGAAAGAATAGAAACTGGACAAATAGACAGATAACATGGCAGGGGAGTTGGTCCGATAAAGCGCGGCAAACTTTAGCAAACTATTATGAAACTATATAACACCCTGGCATTTTATCTGTCTTCCCGAAGCCTGGTAGAGGCTACTAACCTGGGGATTTAACGCTAGTGTATGAAGGACTCAATGTACAAATCTACAATTTATGTTTCTGTCTATGGACTGCGTAATACAAGCTGGAAAAATCGGAAGAACAAAACATATACACAGCAAACAAGGGTTCAAAAGGAAGCAGGATGAAAAAAAAAGAAGAAGAAATACTCTAGCATAAATATATCTGGAACAAGACGCCCTTCACGAAAGTATCCTTGTCATATTAACTCTGACCCATGTCAGAGGTTACAATGCAGTGGTACGAAGGTGAATGACCTAAGTTATGAATAAACTTCTATATTTATAGACTTAAATGTTTATAGGAATGCATAATCATATAAGATAGCGACACTATAAACAGTTTAGGAGACGATATCGACAGATCCACACCCAGTGGGTATTCCAAAACTGGGACAACGGCGCCGAAAGGCTCCCAGTCAATTCTGTACATTGACGAAACTTAATACTAGTATGCGCAGTAAATACTATCTATTGCCTTTGGGGACAGGGCTTTCGAACTTCTGGTGTATTATAAAAACCAATATTCAAAATCCATTCATTTTAAGAATAGCAGTTCCAGACAAAAAGATGGATAACGATAGAGGATTTGTAGGTGAAAACTCGGCAGAAAAATGCACTGCTACCGTCCCTCCCCATATATACCGGGAAATGCCCCGTCCCTCCATGTGCACCACATTCCAGCTGGCTCCGGCTTCCGTCGTGTGACGCTCGGTCTACTTTCGTCCCGCACAACAAACGTCATAGCAGGCACATACCAGCATGTACAGTACACAGGGCCACGCAATGTCAACACATGCAATGCAGGGGTCTCCCTATAAATTCTGAGGGGAGAGGTGCTCCCTAATCGGCAAATTTTCATGTAAATACTAAGAGAAAACCCTAAATTTGAACATTTTGGGAGAGGTTCTACTTCTAGGATATTGGGGAGAGGGGGAGCACCCGTGCTCCATTGCTTGGGGAGAGCCCTGCAATGTATTCCACGCAAGGCCTCCGATATAAAAAAAAAAGTGCACTAACGACACGCTGTCATATTCATGTATATTCCTACATTATCTTAGCTACTCCAAAACGAAAAAAAAGTTTTATTACGGGTACAAAAAATGGCTCCGAGGCTAATTTTTGTTCACACCACTCTGCTCAAATTTTTACATCAGCTTTTTGATTTTGCATACTTAAACATGTCTACTACAAAGTCTACAAGTACAAGGGTGGATAAATTTTGAATGCCCGTCAACGTGGCTAACATGCTTTATTCAAACTCAGTAAATGTAGACAAAATTTATAGTTTCCTTCCACAAAATCGTTGACATACGTGATAGCTTAAATAAAATATAGCACTTAATTTCATGGCACGTAAGCAAACCTTGTTAACTTTGGACTTTGTACTTGCCACACAAGTAACGTTCCACACGTACTAAATACTACAAAAGGAAAACCGTTTTGACAGACAAGGTTTTGTCCCGACATGAACTAGCAGTAATATGTCGGGTGACATGTTTACGTCAGCTACGATCACGTGATCAGCAGAAAACTGACATAGTCGGAATTTCTACTTTCAGTCGGAATTTCTACTTTCAGTCGGAATTTCTACTTTCAGTCGGAATTTCTACTTTCAGTCGGAATTTCTACTTTCAGTCGGAATTTCTACTTTCAGTCGGAATTTCTACTTGAGCTAAAGCCGAACGACCTATTGCTTGTGTATCGTGAGGTCATCGCTGCAAAGTCACTGAAAATGCTAATTAATTCGTTTGCCAATATTGAACATAAATGGGGGACTAAAATAAAGGGTTGTGCAAGGGGGTTGTGGATTCGGGAGGCGGCTGGAAAGAGTAGAATTTAGAAATTGGCCAAATAGAGCGATAACATGCCAGGGGAGTTGGTCCGCTAGACAGTACAGTCCAGGTGCGGCAAACTGTACTCTCTACTGGACCAGCTCTCCTGTCATGTTATCTCTCTATTTTATTGGCCAATTTCTACTCTTTTCAGCCGCCTCCCGAAGCCTGGTAGAGGCTTGGCTTGGTTTGTCGTGGTCTCGATTGCAAAGGTCGACCGTGAACTAGCTAACCCACAGCTCAAGTATTCCAAACGCCACCCGAGCGACCTTATTACTTTATATACAACAACAGTCCCCGGCACATGCCAAAAGAGAAGTGGAATTCGTTACAGAATGCTTCTAGTTAATGTTAAGGACGTCCTGCCTGGCATTTCAAAAATTCGCAAGCTAGGACAAATGTACGTGAACAACTGTACCGAACCTTTTCTACTTATCTTTTCTAAAAATGGCGCATATGGCAGAGATAGTAATCTGGTGGCACATGGTACTTGGAGCGTGAAGTTTGTTAATTGGATTATAGGAAGACTATCTGTTACGAATTTCACCAAATTATCATCCAAGAATTACTGCTAACATAACAATTACAGTCGTTATTCTTGTAGTTATAACTTTTGCTCGTGATCAAGGTAGATATTCATTTATACCTTTAATTTAGACACCTGGCCCTTATGAACATATATATTAGGTTACTAGGTAGGTAATATTAGGTTCTCAACGAAAGAAAACCTCTCTCGCGTAATTCCAGGACATTTACTACGACTTTATCGTTTACGAGTCTTTCAGTGCGTAAGGTCTAAAGCTTAAGCAAAACAGTCCTGGTGGTTTGACGTAAGAGCACCCGATCCTAGCCACATCTGGATATGGCGTTTGGCGCTGGTTGCGCACTTTTGGAGTAGAACTGGGATACAGGAGTAGGTAGTGTTGAAATACATGCCAGAATCCGCCCTGAAATGCCGTATACTCGTATACTATATATGATGGTACGTATATGTCCGTATATCTGTAACGTTACATTAGTCCGTATAAAGGCTGCTGTGTTTCTGTATAGTGATGGACTGACGTTTCCAAACGTAAACCGAGCTCAGGAAAACCTTCTGTGGGGAAATGACAACAGCGCCATCACAGCAGGGGCCGCGAAGGGGAGGGTGACAATCTAGAGATGTTTTCCGTGACTTCCAACTCACTACAACCATGACAACCAACCTACACATATTCCATTCTGACATGTAATTTTTGGTTGAGTCTGTATATCGAAGTGCTGTTCCTAAAGTCAAGTGTTGGTAAAAGTTCGATGCGTTCTGTCTGTGTGTACTTGTTTAGTCTGAGTTTTCTCATGTATTGTATGCTGTCGTGCAACAACGAACAAGCAATAATTCTCTCGTTTGTTGTCTTTGTATCTTTGCCACAGAAAAAAGTTAAACAAGAAAGTAAGACCTAAATTACAATGAACGCCATGTCATAGCCCATACTACCACACTTTGTACATTTTGGAACATACATGCACTGCTACATTAAAAACAAACAATGTTATTCATTGCCAAGGATTATCACATGAACACAGATGTATATATGGGCCTTGTCGCATATTATGTATGGATGAGCGGCTTATTAACATAGACATGTGAAGGGCTGGAAATAACTCCAGTCGTGTTAAACGTCTTTAACACCATTTCCCTCTGTAAACAAAATCCAGTCGTTATCGCGGAGCTCGGCGTCCGGAAGCATGTGTAGGTCCTCCAGTCATCTCTGGAGAATGTCTAAATATGTCATATTCTCACCATTTGATAAAATTTTCTTCCCCAAGTTTATGTTATTTTCATGATGTTTGAAGATGTGAAAAAGAGGATGGACATGAAAGAGCCCAACTGTCGCCCCTGTGCGCTTTCCTGCCGGCCTTGCCCCTTACCTCGACCCCTCCACCAAACCAGCACCACATGAGCACACGTACCAACAGATTAAACACTAAAACAACACGCACGACTCAAGAAAAACTTATAATTTCACTGGTGATAACAGCCAATCAAGGAAAAAAAATCTCTACATTACCGAACACGTAGAACCGGTAAACTAACACCCTCGCAAAACTATGTCACTTCAGTGTATACAAATCCAAAATATTTGCTGGCTCATAAACTTGAAGATACATTCATTCCTTCGGGAAATTTCGTTTCAAAAGACAGGGGAAAAAAACCCACATCAGTATTCCATGACCCAGCTTTCACAACACCAGAAGCACGTTTCGCTCAAATTGATCAAATATAACAGTATAAAATTTCTAATCATTTCCAGCTGGTCTGGGTGTATATTTAC